AACAGGTTCGTCTTCATCAGAAGAAACAACCAAGCGACGGCGACGTACAGGTGCAGGATGTATAGACACAGATTGCCTAGAAAAGGAGACAAAGGAAGTAGGTCTGTAAAAACACATCTATATGGAAGAACATGCACATTCCTATGCAATGCGGGAGCAACTTGCAAAGCACGAATAAGATAATGACTAACAACAAAGAACCCACTGCACAAGGAATCTCCCTACAGTAAAGACGATTATTACTTCAACTGTGGGAAAACAATTGATTTGAAGCTGACCAAGTAAGCTGAAGCCACAACTATTTGTTTATTTTGGTCTGTATAAACAAAAAAGGGAGAACATTCGTAGATAATTAGTATGGCCACTGAAAGGTAACATTGTATGTCTGCACATTGAGAACACGTGTAAGTTAGCGAAAGGCGAAGAAAGGGATACAAAAGGCCATCCATCGGCGATTGTATTTTATGGTGACAACTTAAAACCATGTATAAAAGCAGAAGACCAAATGTAATTGAAAAGCATTGGTTGCAGTTCTTTTTGCGTCAAAATAAGTATTCTGTGCAGACTGGAGCCCTTTTGTTATCAGGTTTAAAAGAGCACCAAAAGCATGCAAACTGGAATTCTAGGGAGCAGACAACACTGGCAAGCGAATAATTAGAACGACACATACTGTGACAAAGGCTGAAGTGTTGTTGTCTGCAAATTGACACCGAGGCCATTAAGATTTCCAGAGTCAGGATTCGCCGATTCGGTTGGCAAAGGATGTCCAGTAGGGATCTCAAGGGACGATATTGGAACATCGGTTTTTGCAAGAGTAACTGCAGGACGACGCGCAACACTTGGACTTCCAGTTTTCCTGCAAAAGTCCAACAAAGCTGTATAAGGTAAGGACAGTAAACCGAAGTACAATGCAGGATACTATGATAAGTAAAAGAATTCCAAGAGACAATAGTGGCGTATGCACAGTTAACAACCAACCAAACGAAATAACAATGGCGGGCACATTTGAAACGAAGGGTGCAAAAAAAACCAAAGTCAATTGGCAATATGCAAACAGAAGCAAGGTAAACAGGAAACTAAGACCTAATGTAGGATATGGTAAATTTGGTACAAGAAACATAGTAAGTAATAAAGGGCAGAGAGACTTCTTCTTAGCAGATGGTTTCTTCGGCTTCGCTTTCTGCGAACTAATGGTCTTGTTCTGCACAGTAGCATCTGTAGTGTCCGAAGCAAGTTCCCTGATACAGAGATGCTCAGGAAGGAAAGAAAGAGACACGTAAAGCTAGTAAGTAAGTTAACAGGAGGGAAGGTACTGTGGGGATCGCTGTGGTGCAGTTTCTGGGGGCACTTCCTCACTTCTAGGGCTAAGAAGCAGTTAAAACGGGTGTGCAAGAGTCATTGACAAATATAAGCAGGCGTTAAGTCGAACGCTTGAGGTAATACAGGAAAAGGCAAGAAACTGACCGCGCATAGGAAACAATCTCAGTACGACCAAGTTCAGGAGAAGGAGCTACGACACTGTTGTTGTAAAGAAACATGTCAGAAAACGACATCAGAACGTGTATAAGCAGCACTGAGCTAGCAAAGCAGACAACAAACAGACAACCTTCCCAATGCAGCAGATGAGGGTGAGGATACAGCAGCGATGCGCCTACTGGAACTTGACGGTAAACAACGCATGGAGAAGAAATGTCAACACATAGGGAAAGAGTTCGACAGCGTCCAAAGAAGAGCTTGTTAATTTTGTAAAGCAAAGTGGGCTGTACAAAAGACCTGTTGTAGGGGCGACGTGGAGGAGTAGAAAATGCAAGCTGAGAACTCCCACTGCAAATTTAAGAAGGAACCCGAGTTCAAGACAATCAACAACCAGCGAAAAGAGGACATGTAAAATTGAAGCATTACCTTGGTGAAGCAATAGAAGAACCATGGTCTACCGAAGCGGTCTGAATTGTTGGAACAACATATGGAGACGTAAGAGGCATCAAGTGAGGACTGCAACGGAAAGTAGCGATTAGTAATGAACAAAAGGGGACTGTTCCACAAACTGGAGAACACGGAAAAAACCTGTTAGGAGGTGGTGTATGGGGCATAGCATTTCTTGACCGGCGACTAAGAGTTGGTGAGCAGGAATTTGGCTGTTCTTGCTCATTGACAGCAAGGACCGTGAACTCTGGCGGGCCACGAGCCCCATATTCCGGTTTTGGAAGCTGGACGTCAAAAGTAAAGTCTCGTCCTTCAAGAGCCAGAAGTTCTTGTGGAAGAACATTGCGCTGGTAAGGAAACCTAGTAGAGAGATCGTTAGCAGTCAAGCCCACAAGAAGGTCAGCGGCCCTACCCAGCAGAACAAAAGCTGCTGATCCAGTGTTGTCATCAACTGTTACCCGAAGTTTGTAACTGCAAAAAACGTGTACAGGAGCGTATGAGGACACGAGAAATAGACAAAAGGTATGGGGGCAAGAATGAAGAAAGGAATTACAAGTTCTGTGTTTGTTGAGGCACCAAACGACGGTGGTCATCACACCATTTGTCAACACCATCATAATCTATGGCTGCTTTGGAACAAAGCGCACAACCCAAGTAGTACCACTGCATAGAAGAATCAACCGAAACGATCCGACCAGAGCAATGGTAACGCGTAGACTAAAAAAAAAGTAAACGGAAGAAATGATTAGACGGACAAACAAATGAAGTGAAAGGAACAAAAGCAGGTAAGTTGGAGAGCAAAAGGGGAAAAAACATACATCGGCAACAGGTGGAAAACACAAAGCAAGCAGTTGTGACACAGTCTTCGTACATTCAGCTTCGAAGGCCGCTGCCTCAGTAGGAGTTGCAAACCTCGGAGGGTAATATTGACATGTATTAGTGCTGGCAAAGAACCTAACGGAAGCGAAAGCAAGGAACGCAACAAATTAGCAGTAACAAAAAAGACAGCTGATGATGCGAAGGGAAAAACAAATATGAGGAGGATAAGAAAAGACATACACAGATTGGACCAGGTGAGCCATTTCAGAAACAGGGTTGAGAACACAACGTGTGCCTGGAGTACTGGTCAGAGAGTAACCTCCTACAAAAGGGGTGAAGGTAATAAGGAAAGGAGGAAGGGAAATGAAACGGAGAATAGTGCAGCGGTAAGGTACATGCAGACCTTTCGTAGCGCCAGTGACTCGCAGTGAGCAAACAGCAAGCATGACTGGCCCAGAACGACCAAGGACAGCCAGTTCCTGACCATTGAGATTCCGAGCTATATCACTCCACAGACTGATATCAAGAAACATGTGACTGGGCAAAAAAACAGCGAAAGTAAGCAACAAATGTAGCACAGTCGATAAAGCAGTGGTGTGCATGTGTAACATACTTTTCATTCTGAAGCACCAAATCACTCCGCACAGTGGTACCGAATGAAGTAACAGTGCTAGAAACGCCTGTGATGCTAACAACAGCGCCAACGACATCTGACAGAGGCACAAGCAAGAGAAGATAGGAAAGGGTGGTAAGCAGTACAGTGCAGAACGGACAGCAAGAGACGTAAAGAATACAGGACAAGACCTGTCAGATAGACCGATGAACGTATGCGGGAATGAAGCGAGCTGAACGGGGTAAATTCGAACGCATCTGGCCAGAATGAAGGTGACGAACGGGTCACGTCTTCGAACTGTGTAGCAGCAGAGAGGACGATGGTCAACTTATGAGAGCAAGAACGATACGAAGGGGCCGGTGGCTTGACGCGGAAGTTGCTCACGAAATAAACGCTACCCAACTGCAGAAGCGGAGAGAAATGGCGCGTGAGCTCCGAAGGAGCCGTGCCCTGAATCAAAGTACCCTGGCCAGAAAAGAAACGAACATCAGAGGGCTGTAAAAAGAAGGGAGGCGCAAGATTGCATGGCAAAATAAAGAAGAAAGCAGCGCTGACCTCCTCATCATTCCACAGAGTGCAGTAGTTGAAGATTAATGTAGGATTCTTCAGCCCATAAGACCCCCACGCATGAAGGAGGCGCAGCTTCAGAAGAGTCTGAAGGCCATCGGAGTCGCTGAGGTCAAGAAGCAATTTATGGGTCACCATGGAAGAGCAATAGAAGAAAGCAAGCGAGCAAGCAAGATAGAAGAGGGAAAGTCTGTGAGGAGCATAAATGAAAGGTAGCAAAGCAAAAGAAGACTTTTGTGGGGAAAGGAACAGATGAGGAAGCGCCAGACCTGTCATTTCTCAGGGGAAAGGTGAGGAGTTCCGAAAACCGATAAGTTGCAGAGAGAAGAGAAGTCGCTGGCGAAGCAACCCAGGCTAAAAGCAGAGAGGAAAGAGAGAGAAAGCAATGATTACAGACGAGAACGCAGTAAAAATGTGTCAAAGAAAAACAGTGTTAAGACGTGACTCTATGAAACAGTAAACTTGTAACTTGTTCTGGTCACCATGGAAGAGCAATAGAAGAAAGCAAGCGAGCAAGCAAGATAGAAGAGGGAAAGTCTGTGAGGAGCATAAATGAAAGGTAGCAAAGCAAAAGAAGACTTTTGTGGGGAAAGGAACAGATGAGGAAGCGCCAGACCTGTCATTTCTCAGGGGAAAGGTGAGGAGTTCCGAAAACCGATAAGTTGCAGAGAGAAGAGAAGTCGCTGGCGAAGCAACCCAGGCTAAAAGCAGAGAGGAAAGAGAGAGAAAGCAATGATTACAGACGAGAACGCAGTAAAAATGTGTCAAAGAAAAACAGTGTTAAGACGTGACTCTATGAAACAGTAAACTTGTAACTTGTTCTTTTAAAGAGATAATATACATGCAGATTATTTTTCATCCTGAATAAATTTCTCATGAAAATGACAAAAACTGGATGACAGTGCTGCACATAGACATCACCAATAGATCAATAACACACAAGGACAATAGAAGGCAAGCAGGATTCCTCAACTAGAAAGACAGTTTGGATATCCCCGCCACTGTGCAACCATCAGTTTGGAACTAGATCAATGCCAACTTCAAATCGAGATTGCAGACTATTGTTCAGTGCTAAAACCTTACGATGATATATATCAGGCACAGGCGAGTACCTTCATGAGGCATCCACATGAATCTAGCATGTTTGTCCTTAGAGGATATTCCACCACCTAAACCAAGGGAATTCAATTTCATAGGATGACAAAATATTTATGAAAAGAAAAACCAACTACCGAAGTTATCAGGAAATGAAAGAACACTTACGATAAATGTATTTTCTCCAATTATGCCTGATTTTGAAATGAGATCCATCAATATGCCATAGTCAACTAGCATATATGGAGGTGTCACACTGATGTAATCAAATGTCCTGTCCTCACCTGCAGAAAAATTGATGCAATCAAGAAGGCACAATTTAAGTTTTTATTCAAATTGTACAAGGTCTATGATCTCCTAAAAACAGAAAGGTGGACTAAACTCCATTGACATCAATGAAGTGAAGATCACTCCATACGCCAAGCTCGTGCATCATCTACTTTTGCACCCAAGTACCCAACTGAGCTAAGGAGAATCATGGAGTCTAGGAAAGTAGATGATACATACCTACAAAATGCTGTGCCTGCTTTAGAAAGTTTTCAACAGGAACAGCATGTACAACTGACAAGTCTAGGAATCCAGTCCACTCCAAATTTGGTTGTAGAACATTTGAAATAACCCAGGGATCCATCTCAACAAAATGAGCCTGAAACAGTTGTAGCAACAAGCTCAACTACAGGGCAATAATCGAATAAACAAATCAAGTACAGCAAAAGAAAATAACATATTCATCAGATTTAAAGCTCATTCTTGGCGGAAATATTCAACTTATCCTCTAGAAACAAACTTCCATTGGGTGAACATTTACAAAATGAGGGGAGAGAAAAATGAAACAAACACATTGTACAGAATTAAGTTAGTGATACCTGAACACATCCTCTACTGATAGCTTCAATACCAACTGATCCAGTACCACTGAACAAATCTAACCAGCGCCCAGGCCTTAGAGATGCAGGACAGCCCCCAGCTGCCTGCAAAACACAGCAGATTCTGGCGGCATCAATACATGTATATACCAGGACCATTCTAACAAGCAATGCAAAAGAGCATGAGTAAGCCAACTTCATAGCCGAATAGCAACCTTTTCAGATACCAAAATGCATGAAATGATCTGGTTAATAGAAGACGAAAATCGAACTTTAGGGAAGAGTAAAACCTGCAATATGTCAAAAGCTGAACCTTTAACCACTTCCATCATTGGCCTGACATCCATCCCCTTCGGCGAAAGCAACTTCTTTCTTTTAGCCTTTCCTCCGAGTACCTAAGATTCTCACAAGATCATTAATCAAACAATGTAAAAGCCAAGCCTGAAGATCAGAATCCGTGAATCATAACTACATTAACCCTGGCCTAGATGATTAAGACATCATTCCGGACATATAATTATCCTGGAGCTCATATGTCCTATCCTTAAGTCTTTGACCACTAAACTACTCACACAGGGAAGCAATCAAGCAACCCATACCTGAAGCAGCCTGTGGGTAGTCCTTTCAGGTTCAGGTGCCTTTGTCAGAAACACAATTATATATGGTTTCTATTATTATATTAGGTAGGATAATTATTATTATGGTTAGTAGAGATTTAGTCCAACTAGGTTATTCGTTAGGGTTTTCCAGTATTTCCTATATATATGTACTTTGGGTTTACGTCATAATCAATCAAGAAGAATATTAAGCAAAGTCTCCTAAACCCTAGTTATCCTCTCAACTCCTAATTTCTCACCTCATCTTAGTCCAAGGCCTCGGCCGATTCCCAATTCTATTCTGTTCTTTCTCATCTAAATCCCTAATTCTTTCTCTCAAACCCTAAATCCCTAATTGTCACGAGTGCCGAAGATCAGTATCGAGAATCCCTAGAAGCGTGGTTCTCACAGTGGTATCAGAGCCTGGTTGTGGCACTCGTACCAGAGCTCCGGTTGCGAATATGAGTTTATCACAACTCTCAACCGGGGATGAGCGCATCTATGAAGACTTCGAGCCAAACATCTGCAAACAGGAATATCCGCATCGCATCAAGCTATTCTTTTCCTTGCCTGGGTTCGAAGCTAAGCACCTAGATGTACAAAGAATTGAATCAAATGTGCTAACAATTACAGCAGAGCGTTCGTTGGGTTACGAACGCAGATGGATCCGTTTCGAAAAACAAATCGAATTCGGAGAAATCTACAATGTCTCACAATGTCGCGCTAGCTTCAGAGAAGGCAGTTTCACCATCAAGGTTCCGAAAATCATCACCTCGCAGGATACGCGGAAATCGTTGATCGAGGAAGAAGAAGTCGCCGCAGACGGTACGACCAGTATTGCTACTGACGTGATTCAATCTCTACCACCACCGCCTGTTTCAATCGACATCCAACCTGGGGACGTAGCGATTGAGAGCTCCGCTTCCAGCAATCCTCCCTTGGTCCCAGAGTCATCTGAACTGCGCGAAGGCGGGTCGGCGCAGGTGGAAGATGCGGACAAGAAGTCACCCCCGGATCGCGCTACCAACTGGCGATTCCGGAAGAAAGAAGAGGTCGTTGCTACGAGAGGGTTTGAAACCCCATCCCTGTCGCTGCCTACCAACGACGCAGCTCCTCTTCTCGGCTCGTCAACGCCACCAACTTCGCCGACCGACGCGAGCTATAACCACCAGAGCTCGGATGAAATTCTGGGCAAACTCCACGGTGGGAATGAGCAACAACGGCCGCCGGCTCCAACCGTGGCGGCGTTCGACAGAGAAGCGATGGAGGAGAAGACGACCGACCCGCCGTTGAAGAAAGCGAGGCCAGGGGTGGGCGATTCTCGCCGCCGACGGGCGCCGCTGGCAAAGAAGGAGGTCGATGTCTCTCTCTCCTTCTCGATTGACGGCGAACCCAAGTCGCCGGAGACCAAGACAAAGAAAGCGCGAGCGGGAGAGGAGGCGTTGGAGCAGTTGTTCGCGCCGCGGGGAAAAGATGGCGCGGGGAGGAGGAAAGGAGCGACGGATCGAGGGGGTTCGTCGGAGAGGAAAGGATGGACGGCGGACGGTTCGCCGAGGAGGAGCGCGCCGCCGAAAAAGAAGAAGGTGAAGACGGCGGCGGTGTCGGTCTGGCCTCGTGCTCACCGAGCAGTGTCTCCGGGAAAGGAAACGACGGAGAAGAAGACGAAGGAGGGTGGCGGCGGCCCTCTCGAGAACACTAGGTCACCAGGCCGGGTCGGGGAGCATCAGCCGCGAGTCGGGCGGGCCGACCTCGAGTTTCTGGGCCACACTGTTTGGGTCGCTGAGTTTGTTGGGCCGAGAAGCTGGGTCCGCAAAGCACAGCAGCAGCAGCCGCACCAGCGCTCTCGTTTGGACCAAGTGGTGCGAATCTCTAATGCGAATGGGCCAAGCAGAGCAGGCCCATGTCCTAAGGACTGGGAAGAGACAAAGAAGTCTGCTGGGCTTGATCAACAAAGCGGCCCGAGTCAAGTGAGACTTGGACCAATAATTTGCTCTCTTATTGGATCTAAATTGCAAGTGAATATTGAGCCCAACTCGGGCTGGAAGGAAGTGGGCTTACATGGAGTCCTTGGGTTAGTCAGTAGGCTCTTAAATGAGCCAAACCCAAGTGAAGTTGAAAGGAAGATAAAAGGGCTTAATATTGATTTAGGCTCTAACTCTTTCTTCCAAGTATTTGTGGGCCAAGTCAAGGATAAGAGCAAAGAAGATTGGGAAAGGCTAGAGTTTAAATTCACCACCAAGACCAGAGAGGGATTTATGGAGCAGCAAGAAGAACCATTCTCCAACTCTTATTTCGTGGACTTCGAAAGAAATGAGGAAGAATTATTCGACTATCGAAATCGTGACATATGTCACGTGGGTGGAGAAGCGTCAAGGAGAGTTGGAGTTGCGCTTGGAGTTGCACGAGAAGAGTTCCTTCGTGAACTGGAGCGCAATTGGAAACGAAGAAAACGGAAGGTCAAGGAGGTAGAAGTCAACTACAACCTTGAGGTCAAGGTTGTTCTCAAGGGGGATGGATTGTCAGAAACACAATTATATATGGTTTCTATTATTATATTAGGTAGGATAATTATTATTATGGTTAGTAGAGATTTAGTCCAACTAGGTTATTCGTTAGGGTTTTCCAGTATTTCCTATATATATGTACTTTGGGTTTACGTCATAATCAATCAAGAAGAATATTAAGCAAAGTCTCCTAAACCCTAGTTATCCTCTCAACTCCTAATTTCTCACCTCATCTTAGTCCAAGGCCTCGGCCGATTCCCAATTCTATTCTGTTCTTTCTCATCTAAATCCCTAATTCTTTCTCTCAAACCCTAAATCCCTAATTGTCACGAGTGCCGAAGATCAGTATCGAGAATCCCTAGAAGCGTGGTTCTCACAGCCTTCTCTTCCGTGACTTGCTTTCCTCTTTCAGTCTTCTTCCCTTCTTTTCTTCTCCTTCCCTACCATTACAACCAAGCCATAACCAATGCAGTCAAAATCGCGCTTTAAAACTTAAAAACTTACGATTTTACGCTTTTGGGTCACCAAAACGCTTTCGTTTCCATATAAAAACTTAAGTGTATAAAATCGGACTAAATTGCGCTTTAAAACTTAAAAACTTACGGTTTTACGGTTCTAGTTCACCAAAACGCTTTACGTTTTTACGCTTTTAGTTCGCTATATGAGTATTCTTTTCATGACATTAATTATAAAAAGTATATTTTTAAAGTAAATCACTAACAATATGATACATTTGAGATTAAAAGATACATACTAGGTACTTGGATGCATTCTACTTCAATAGAGTAATCTAATTCACCAACTAGGGTTTTCCCAAATTCATTAGCATAGAGGGAAAAGTGGCTTATCGTTAAAATTTATGTTTACGAACTTATTATTAAGATGCTATAAGTTGCTCTACTTTAAACATGAATCACATGTATTTATTAACTTATCTAAATTCTGTGTATTCATATTTTGCATAGCATATGTCCTACTTAATAGATTTTTAGTTATTTTTCAGTATGCGTCAATGGGTAAGGAAATTTGGGCCTCTCCCTAAACCCCTAACCCAGCCCATGTCTGTTATCCCAAATCCTCCTAGCCCATCCCTTCATCAGTTGTGCAAACCCAGCTCGATACTTTGTAGCCTAGTTCCGGTTTTCACCCATTATCCGTCCCAAATCTTCATCACTTCGCCTTTATCCAAGCCCATACACCTGATTGTGAACCTCAACCACATCCCTCTTACAATCCAGGACCCCTTTGTTACCTCCTTCTTGTTAACCTTTCTTTCCCATCCATACCTATCCGTTCCCCCCCTTCCTACTCCTCATTCTGTCGACTGCCCTGAACCCACTAGCACTGATCCTTCATCCTTAACCGTGGAGCTTCCCCTCTCCCCCGAAGATTTTCCCTCTTCCCCCGTCCCTGACCAAAACCCCCTGGCAATCATTGAATACCAACCCTTTGATCACGAGTACCTCACGTCTTGGAGAGAAGACCAAGATTTAATTCGCCTGGTTGAGGTCGGCAAGGTCTTCCGGCAACTTCTTAAACTCTCTACCTCCGGATTGGGGAAATCAGCGGATGAACAATTCGAGGAATTAGCGTCCATCTCCAACAATGAAAAAAAGCGAAGGCGCAGAACTAAGCTGCAGATGGAGGTGCATCGGCTGGGTCCGCAAGCTTTTTCTCAGACAACCCCTCTGTCCCGAACAAGGTCTCGGAAAAGCAAAGATGATGATTTGGCGCCCAGGTTGGACGCATAGGAGCCGCGCTCTGGTTCTTGTCTTGACTCATTTTCTTCCATGCTGGATTCAATCGTTTCGTGGAATGTTCGCGGTTTGGGCGCGCCTGATAAACGGGCAAGGATCAAGACTCTTGTTAAAAGATGGAACGCTTCTGTTGTGGGACTCTTGGAAACTAAGTGGAAGGAATGCTCTCAATTCCTAGTCTCCTCTGTTAGTGGAAGTAGAAATACGGATTGGGTGGCTAAAGATGCTCAAGACTCTCGTGGCGGAATTGTTGTCCTTTGGGATAAGTCGCTTTACAGCTTAATTGATTATTGGGAAGGTGTTTTTTCTCTGGCAGTTAGACTGAATATCACTCGAAATAATGGCACTTTGGCCCTTGTGTTTGTCTACGGTCCCCACGACAAAGAAGGTAAACTGGCTTTCATTAGGGAACTCGATCATATTTGCCAAGTCTATGATGGCCCAGTTTGTTTGATTGGAGACTACAACCTCGTACGAAGCGATGAAGATTTTATAGGCGCCCCACGCTGCAGGGAGATGATGAACGAGTTCAACAGTTTCATTAATCGTAATGGTTTGATTGATCTACCGTTGAGGGGTGCTGCGTATACCAGAAGTGGAAGTGGCAGGGATGACTCCTTTTCTCGGATTGACAGGGCGCTCATCAACTTGAGGTTCGAGGAAACCTTTTCTCCAGGTCCGCTTCAAGTGTTTGAAAGAATTGATTCTGATCACAATCCGATCATGGTTAATTGGGGCTCGGTTGAGAGGGTTCATAGACCGTGGAGATTCGAAAATATGTGGCTCCTCGAAGAATCCTTTTTGCAGGGCTTAATTGGTTGGTGGAATGTTCCTATCAATGGTTCGGGCCTTCTATTCCGTGTAGGACAACGACTGAGACAATGCAAGCAACTTATCAAAATTTGGAATGTTGAAATTTTTGGCAGAACTCACAGAAGGATTGAGAATCTCATCAGGAGAATCAAAGAGATTGATGATGCTAATGAACGTGGTCTGACTAATGATTCCAGCATTGTTGAAAGAAGTCTCCTAAAGTGTGAATTGGATCGTGTCATTCTTATGGATGAAATTTCTTGGCGGCAGAAGTCTCGGGAGTTTTGGCTTAAAGTTGGGGATAAGAACTCAGCTTACTTCCATCGAGTCGCTAACAGTAATAAAAGAAGAAATAGTGTCCAGACCTTGCTTGTCAATGGCAGAGCTGTACATGGGAATACCGCGCTGAAACAGGCCTTCATTGATAACTTCCGAGACAGGTTCTTGGAACCTAATGGCGATCGACCGTTCCCGGAGGATTTCAAAAAGAACCTCTTCTCTTTGGAGGAAAACTATATCCTCACAGTGCCGTTCACTGAATCTGAAGTTTGGCAAGCTATTAAATTGTGTGGGGGAGATAAAGCTCCGGGTCCGGATGGTTTTTCGTTTCAGTTCTTCAAAAAAGCTTGGAGGATTATTAAGGAGGATATCTTGAAAGCCGTTGATGAATTCTACATTACGGGGGTTGTGCCTGAATCTATTGCTCATTCTTTCCTCTGTTTAATTCCCAAGAAAGAGTCAGCAGTGGAGGTTAACGATTTTCGCCCGATTAGTCTCATTGGCAGCCTGAACAAGATCATCTCGAAACTGCTTTTCTTAAGGCTGCAACCGTTTATGGGTAGAGCTGTCTCTCGCCATCAGTTTGCTGGTATTAAGAATAGACAGATTCATGAAGCCTGCCTTATTGCAAATGAGTTGTTGGATAGCAGGCTGAGGAGTGGGCGCCCGGGGCTTATTTTGAAACTCGACATCGAAAGAGCTTTCGATTCGGTAAGCTGGGGTTGCCTCTTCAAAGTTCTCAATAACATGGACCTGCACCAAAGGTTCAGGAAGTGGATTCGAGGAATCATTTGCTCCTCCAAACTCTCAGTTTTGGTTAATGGAGAGGCGGGAGGTTTCTTCGGAATGCAAAGGGGTCTGAAACAAGGGGACTCTCTTTCTCCATTCTTGTTTAGCTTGGTGATGGATATATTTCATTATATTTTGAAGAAGGCACAGGAATCAGAGCTTATTAATGGTTTCTCTATGGATGATTCTGACAGATCAGAGGCTATCAACCACTTACTTTACGCTGACGACGCCATTATTTTTTGTGGAGCTTCAGAAGAGGAGGCCTTTAACCTCTCTGCTGCCTTACTTTGCTTTCAAAATATAACTGGTCTCAAAGTGAATCTTCACAAGAGTTTTCTTTTTCCCGTTGGTGATGTGGAGAATATGGATCGTTTGGCTGAGATCATTGGTTGCGAGTGGAAATGTTTGTCTACCATTTACCTCGGTATGCCTCTTGGTGCCAATCCTTCTTCTACCTTGATTTGGAATCCTATCATTGTCAAAGTGCAGAATAAGCTTGAAGGATGGCGGGGTAAATATCTGTCCCTTGCAGGCAGAATCACGCTTTGCAAGTCGGTGTTGGCTGCTCAACCGCTATATATGTTCAACCTTTTTAAGGCTCCTTGCTCGGTGATCAACACTCTCGAAAAACTTCAAAGATCTTTCATATGGTCTGGGCCGAAAGGGGAAAGGAAGTTACACTTAGTGCCCTGGGATATCTGTAAAGCGCCGAAGAAGCTGGGGGGTTTGGGTGTCTCGGACTTAACGTTACGCAATCAGTCCCTTCTTTGCAAATGGTGGTGGCGGTTTGTTCAGGAGAGAAATTCTTGGTGGAGGGAACTTATTAGACAAAAGTTCCCTAATGCAAGGTCCGAATGGTCGCCGGGGCAGCTCCGTGGTTCAGCTGGTATTAGCCCTTGGAATCAAATTATGAAGTGTAAAAATCTGTTTTGGAGGTTCGCGTACATATCGCCAGGGTCCGGAGCTTGTGTTTCGTTTTGGTATGATGTGTGGCGGAATGGAAGTGCGTTGGCGGAGGCTTTTCCCCGGGTTGTTGCTGCTGCCGAATTGCCGAATTGCCGGATTGTTGATCTCGTCAACTTGAGTGATGGGAGAATTTCTTGGGATTTAACTCTCAACCATTCTCTGAGAGGTGGGGCTGAAAGAGAGCGAGTGGACCTTCTTAACCTTCTTAATAGTCTGCCTTCTGATTTCTTTCTTGCAGGTCCCGCTAGACCGGTATGGTCTCCTAATGAACAGCAAGGTTTCTCTGTGGGGTCTCTTTATTCCCAGCTCATCATCGACCAATATTCAGGGGTTGTGATTTCCCATTCAGAGTTGTTTGGCAATCTGTTGTGCCACATAAGGTGTGTGTTTTTCTGTGGATTGTTTTCCATAGGAAAGTGCTGACTCATGACGCCTTGAAGAGGAGAGGATGGTCTCTTTCAAGCCGATGCGCCCTGTGTGAAGCGGATGAAGAAACGTTAGATCATATGTTCATAGCATGCCGCTTCGCTAAAGACGTTTGGAGAATGATGAGAGCCTTTGTGCAGATCAATACGGGAAACTTGGACATCTCCTCTATGATCAAGAACTGGCGGGATAGGCAGCCGACCAATGCCAAGGAGTGGTGCACTAGCGTCTTTCTTCACGCCTACTGCTGGCGTATGTGGCTTGAGAGAAATTCCAGGATTTTCAGAGGGCATAAAGAGCTGCCAAATGTTGTTTGCATCAGAATTGCAAGGTCAATTGCCGATTGGTTGATTGCGGGAGAGAAGGTTGATAGGTTGGAGGCTAATCTCTGGTATTGTAATCTGAAATCTCGCCTCCTCCCTAATACCGACCAGAACCGGATGCTTTCAATCAGGGAGCAGGGAGAAGATGCTGGCGCTTTCGATCCTCCTAACTGATCTGTGTTTTGCTGTTCGGTTGGTCCCTGTTACCATTGATGGAGTATTGTTTGTTCCTGGTTTGATTTCGTTGGGTTTGGGGTGTTGTTTGTAGCCTTCGTTTTGGCTGTGGTGTTCCCCTTTGCCTTTTCTTTCTTTCTTTCTTTTGCTTCTCGCTGCTCTTCCTCTCTTGGATCAGCAGCTGTTAACTCTTGTTTGTTTTCCTTAATATATTTCACCTTTATCAAAAAAAAAAAAGAAAGCATTAGGGTCGAGACCGTAGCTTTCCAGTAACGACCTCTTATCTCCAGTAGCCAATTCGCTCTTCGGTTCTGGCACCAACAGTGACAGTTCAATTCACATATACAGAAGCGGAAAGCGTACTAAGTCGAGGTAAGAAACTACGGTAGGAGATTAATAACAAGACGAAGAAGCTAGAGCGTGTGGTTACTTACTGTAAGAGCAAACGACGGCTGTGTAATGGCCGCGGCGGCGAGCGAAGGAAGAGCATGACAAATCGAAGGGAGCCCGAGCAGCAGGAGAACTTGAGAGAAGATTGGTGCTGAAGTAGAGAGCGGAGAGTGTCGGTGACGATGAAACCGCCATTTTTCGTCTCTTTACCGGAAGAGTTTCCTGCCGGAATCCCAAATGCCAATACTTGTATTGTGAAAACTGAAACGCGGCAAATTGCGGATACGATACTTTGAAGATATGTCACGATATAAGAACATATCAATATATTTAACGATAGGCGATAAATTGATCTGACGCCGTCTCATTGCCTTTCCCGAATCTCACCCACAGTTTTCTCGGTTCCTTGTTCGTTCGTTGTTCCCACTCGCTGCGGCCTGCTGCCCGCATTGTGTCTTCCACCCGTTCAGTCCCGAAAGCATTAAAGACAAAGAAAACCCTGTAAAACCCAAAATTCGACGTGCTGTTTCCCCAATTCACAGCTCCGACTGGCAGCAAAATTCTATCGTCAATGGAGTTCCGGTCCGGCCTTCATTTCCTGGCGGCTTCTCTGTGTTTCCTCTTGATTTCCCCTCGCTGTGCCTTCTCTGACGAAATGTACCCTCGCCGCTTCTATAAATTTCTTCATTTTGTTTTCTTTCATGACCTCTGCATCGGTTGTCTAATCACCTGTTTGGTTTCTTTTGTTTTTTGAAGAGAGGGGTCAGTTCTGCGATTGAACAAAGGCTTGTTCTCGAAATCATTTGATCCCACCCGCGTCACTCAGCTCTCATGGCGTCCAAGGTCTGAACTTTCGTCCTTATTATTTTCTCTTGATCCCTTCTTAACTGATATCTCATGTGCCTTAACTCTATCTTAATTCTTAATCTTGACCAACAGGGCCTTTCTTTACAAAGGGTTTCTGTCAGATGCTGAGTGCGATCACCTTATCGAACTGGTAATTGGCCAATGTTGATTCTTCTTCTCCTCTTCTTGCGAATTTCATTCAAATAGAGGTGGGAAATGTGCGAAGTTTGAATCGGAATAGTCTTTCTGTGTATGTTTGGATTCTCGATTGATAGGCTAAGGACTCGCTTGAGAAATCAATGGTAGCAGATAATGATTCGGGGAAGAGTATAGAGAGTGAAGTCAGAACAAGCTCTGGAACTTTTCTGTCGAAATATCAGGTGGGTCTTCTCAATTTTGATTCGACTTGAGCCTAATTTGTGTATGGGACTTTACTGTGACAATGGTTGATTGGCCAATTTGTTGGGAACTATTTTAGCTACTGCTGCTTTGCTTCGCGAATTCCATTTCTTGTTTATGATTGAGCTCTGGCTTGAACTGTGAAGGATGAAGTGGTTGCTGCTATCGAGCAGAGGATTGCTGCTTGGACTTTCCTTCCAGTAGGTATATGTTCATATACATTGCACAGCCTTCTCTGCCAGCTGTGTGAGCAGAAAGCATCATCTTTCTATTCTCTCCTGACCTGCATTTTTTTCGTCAGAAAATGGAGAGGCGATTCAAATCTTACGCTATGAGCTTGGTCAAAAGTATGAACCACATTTTGACTATTTCCATGACAAGGCTAATCAAGCGCTTGGTGGACACCGGATTGCCACCGTTTTGATGTATTTGTCTAACGTAGCAAAGGGTGGAGAAACGATATTTCCCAATGCAGAGGTAATTTCTTAAAGGTTCTCTTTTCTGTTGCTGATACATTGTGCTTTTGGCTGATGCTTACAAGTTTTCTGTGTCTTTTTCATACAGGGAAAGGAATCTCAACCAAAGGCTGACGACTTGTCTGATTGTGCCAAGGATGGTTATTCAGGTACTGCCTTATAGTTGAAGTTATGATTTTGTATTTGAAATTATCCGTGCATGAACTCAATCTGTTGCAAATTCAGTTTCGTGATCATATGCCCTTTTGACTAAATCTACGAACCAACCTAGAACAGATTAGGAGAAAATGAACTTAAATTTAAGGGAAGGAAGATCTTATTAGATGATATATGCTTGTTCACCGGACAGTGTCAGAACAGTCTTTGTTGCATTGGCAAGGCACGATTGAACATTTTCTTATCTCGTCATTTAGAACAGTCGCCCCAGTAGCTTGATTTGTGAACTAATTATTGCTTGATATTGTATACGTAATGAATGATATACTGTGTCTTTTAAACAGTTGCGAGTTGCACTAAATGGATGTCATTTGCTTTGCTCTCTTTCTGCATAGGCCCAATGAATATTTTGTGCAGCTAATCATAATTGTAGTGTTTCATTCACTGCTTGGACTCTGAATCTGATGAAACTTGCTATTGCCTAATACTTCTGCAGTGAAGCCTGAGAAGGGTGATGCACTACTGTTCTTCAGTCTCCACCCTGATGCAACGACTGATCCACTCAGTCTGCATGGTAGCTGCCCTGTTATAGAGGGAGAGAAGTGGTCGGCAACAAAGTGGATCCACGTCAGATCATTTGAGGAATCCATACATGTCGGCCAAGCAGAATGCAGCGATGAGAATGACAACTGTGAGAAGTGGGCCAAAGCGGGGGAGTGTGAGAAGAATCCCAAGTATATGGTTGGTTCTGATGAGTACAGTGGATTCTGTAGGAAGAGTTGCAATGTCTGCTCTTCTCAGGAAAAAGGCACAGAGAGAGAGGGAGTGAGCTCAGTGTAGTCCATTGAGATGAGAACGGAATCAAGGCTTTGGGTAGCTCTATTATAATGCTCTGTAGTTGTAGATATCATTTTGGCAGGCATGTTTGCACGGAACTTGATAATGTTATAGAGCATCAGTCACAGTCGTTTACAGTGAAAAGGGTAAGAAATGAAGTTGGTATCTGTAGGTCTGGTAAGTGGCATCCTTAAACAGCAGGTCTGGTAAGTGACATTCTTAATCAGCAGGTCTGGTAAGTGACATTGTTAAACAGCAACAGCGTTTACAGGTGGGCATGATCTGATTCACGCTGAGAATTACATTGAATCAGGATATCGTATCAAAATAAAGGGTAAATAAGTATCAAGATTGTGTCAGAAAGTGAAAGTGCATTCTATATAATTCGGTACGGTTCGATTTTTGGCTCATTGTGTTATGTTTTTCTTTTGTTTACATGAGAAGATAATACGACGACTTTGAGGAATCAAATCGCTCTCGTCTGATTGATATATTGGATCGTTGATTGGAGTCTTATTTGATTTGTTGGAGTCAAAAGTGAATCAAAATTACACTCAAATCAATTTGGTCTGGTTTAGGTTTTGATTCCATATGGCTTTTGACTATATTCTTGAGAAAATCTAGCAGTGAATTTGAGTTTCACAATCGGATTAAATTGGACTTTAATATCGTCCGATTCGACTTGGTTTGATGTAATTGAATCATTGACACCCCTAACAACATTGGATAATCAAATGGAGTTGAAACAGAGGGAATTAATATGAGAGTGAGCTCACTCCAAGAGAACCAACCCAAGTGAATAAACTGTGGGATAGAGCCAAGCATATGAATGATGCTATGCAATGCAAGAGAGAGAAAGAAGGCAAACAAGCATGCATTCACGCCATTTTCTATCAAAATTATGTGAGAGAAACAACTGTAATTTCTCCCCTATTCATTTTCTTTCATACTAACAGAAGAAGGAATATATATCATGCAAATGTTGCTAATACGGGGGAGAAGAGAAGCTCCTCCAATTTCCATGCAGTTCTTGCCTCTTCCTTCTCTCTCTCTCCCATTCACTAGTTAAACGTTTTCTCCCCCCATTCTCTCTTTCTTTCTCCCTCTCATCAGCAGCACCCTCTGTAATATATTCACGACTCTAATTGCATCACCATTACACCACCATAGATTCCCAAGAAAGAAAAGAAACCCACCATCACCATTGCAGCCATTCATCCCTTCATTCATCACAATGGGAAGGCCTCCATGCTGTGACAAGTCTAATGTGAAGAGAGGGCTTTGGACTCCTGAGGAAGATGCCAAGATCCTTGCTTATGTAGCCACCCATGGCATTGGCAACTGGACCTTAGTCCCCAAGAAAGCTGGTACCCTTTTTTTCTCTTTATTCAGATGGTGCCCATTTTAACTTAATTTATCCCCCACATTATCATTTTAGATTAGTGAACTTGATGATGGTTTCTTGCACTTATTAGGGTCTACTTTCTTAATCCTTTTTTCTTTAACAGGACTGAATAGATGTGGAAAGAGTTGCAGGCTGAGATGGACTAATTACTTGAGACCTGATCTGAAACATGACAACTTCACTCCTGAAGAAGAAGAGCTCATTATCAGACTCCATGAAGCCATTGGCAGCAGGTAAATCACATTACAAACAACTAAACTGTAAAAAAGAAAGGATCTTTAACGTGTTATTAATTTCACCTCACTGACCTGTTTTAACTGCTGCAACAGGTGGTCAGTGATAGCAAGGCAGCTGCCAGGGAGAACAGACAACGACGTGAAGAACTACTGGAACACCAAACTGAAGAAGAAGCTGCAGAAGATCGGGATCGACCCGATAACCCACAAACCCATCTCCAAGATCCTCAACGATTTCGGCAACATAAGTGGCATCAACATCCCTCCAAGCCCAAATACAACAACCAATTCAGCAACCCACCAAGCTGGTCCCTTTATGAGAAAAGCCTTCAAACCAGAACCACCTTCTTCTTCTACCACAGCAACACCAACCTCATCTTGCTCCAATAACAGCACAATAATGATGGCCAACAACAACAACAATGACCATACACCTCAACAGGACAATTACAATGGTTTCTTCTCCCTCACGCCACCACCATCTGCTGCCGCCGAAACGTTTCTGTCCTGGGACTTCTCTGCCTCCGCCTCTGCCTCATCATCTCCCCTGCCTTCTGCCGAAACGTTTCTTGGCTCGCCAAGAGAATCGTTCTCGTCATCATGTCAGCAGCAGCAGCAGCAGCAGCAGCAAGTGGAGGCTCAAACTACTCAAGGGTTGATGTGGAGGGAGTTTCTGGTGAGCGATTCGACGCTGGCATCTTCGTCAGGTTTCCAGCATGAGCATGATGAAGAGAAGGCAATTGAGGAAGGGCCATCAGCAGAATTAGTACCACCACCATCAGTAGCAGCAGCAGATTTCTCAGCCCGAAGTGATGGTGATGACATGGTAGGTGCATTGTGTGGTGGTGGAAGTAGTTCGTTTGTGGAGAGCATGTTGGACAAGGAGAGGGAGATGATGCAGTCACAGTTTCCTCAGCTTTTGGATCGTCTTGCTTTTGATTACTGATTAATTGATGTTAACTCTGTTTTTTGTTCTGCTTTAGACTTCATTAGCTTATCTTTTTGTTTTCCTTTGTGGTGACGAATTCACGTCAAGCTTATTTCCAGAAGGCATATATGTATCAAGGATGGGGAACAAAAGGAGGTAAAAGTAGCATGACGAGTTTTTCCTCTCCCTTCTTCTTCCTCCTCTTTGCCTTTTGGCGGAAAGAATTGTTAGGTACTAAGGTAGTATATGCGGATTTTAGGGGGCCCAACAAAAAGATTTATAATCATTAACAATCTCACCTTTTAGTAGAGATTTATAATCATTCATTTTGAGTGATTGTAGGTGGGCCCAACAAAAAGATAATGCATGCATTCTAACTCAAAGTGAACAAAAAAACGACTTAATCTTATCATTACATGTATTTGCTAAATACCTCACTTCAAATCTCAACCTCCAAACGACCCCTTAGTATATGGAGTGGGAAACATTATTGACACATTAGAAGTTGCAACCATACCTTTTACTTGATCATAGTACTACATAGGTAATTTTATCTTTTGAAAGTAATAAATAAAGTGTGGATCATGATATCCCGTTAAAATTTGAATATGGAGATTGACATTACATGAGTGGATTATAGTTGACCAGGACACGGTTTCGATCATATGCTTGATTGGATGAGTGACCCATTCATGACAAGAAGGAAAGAAATGTTACTTGATATTGGCATGATGGCTATTTTGGGGGTAATTAGCATAAATGGTAACAAACCTTTGCACTTAGTATAAAACGGTCACAAATCTTTAATTTATAACAATACGGTAACAAAACTTTGAAATTGTATAGAATGGTCACCGCTATTTAATTTGTGACCGTTTTGTTTTAAGTGCAAAGGTTTGTTACCGAATCGTTACAAATTAAATGTTTGTCATGTTTTGAGGTCGGGTAGTTTGTTCGTTAAGTATATGACACTAACCACTTGAACGAAATATAAGATGTCAGGCCATGTGTTCATCGACATATTTGCTTTGCCGAATAAGAATGCCCTCAGTTGACCATTTTTTCAACTATAAGATGTCAGGCCATGTGTTCATCGACACTTTTGTTACCTTTCAATGACGATCATATCATTCACATACATTAACAAAACCACCATACAACTAGAGCGAATTGTAACGGTGATTGAGCGTTCAAACTTTTGAACTTAATTCGTACAAAACGGTTACCAAAAGTCTAATTTGCAACGACACGGTAACAAAAGTTTGAACTAGTGTGAAATGGTCACACTGTTTAATTTGTGACCATTTTGTTCTAAGTAAAAAGTTTTGTTATCAAATAGTTACAAATTAAAGGTTTGTGACTGTTTTGTACTAAGTGCAAAGGTTTGTGACTATTTATGCTAATTACCTGCTATTCTGGGGGCTTTGTCATCAATGTTAAAACCTACTCAAACACCTCATGAATAGAAATTTACGGGTTGATTCACGATGAATTTTCACCAACTCAAAAATAACTTAGTTCCACAAGTTTGCTCAATTGTCAGAATGTGCATAAGAGGTAGTGTGAATTGTGTATACTTTTTCGATATAGTATTTTTATGATAATTTATATTTTAAGAGTCATGATTTACGTCTGGATCCGACTATATATTGGATGAAATGTAAACAACTTTGATGAACTAGAGGTTATGGAGAATCACCGAATGAGGAAAAATTATTTTTGACAAATCATATTTTTGTTTTTGACGAATTCTCTTTGCCCTCCGAAGAAAAGGGAACAATAAACATTCAACAAATAAATAACACAAAATAAGGCCTCCTTAAGAAGGTAATTATACTACCAAAAAACTAAAATAAAGACGTGGAAAACTGGAAATAACAAGAAAAGAAACTGAGATTTATACAATAAAAGAATTACTAAAAAAACAAATAGTAATTTAGGGAAAAGGAAAGGAAGGAAATTAACCTGCTAAACAAAATAGGATTAGATTGAGCCAAAACCAGAAGAGGCCAAAAACCAAAACCGTTAAGTTCGTTAAGGTAAGGAGATCACAAAAAGCTCCGAAGAAATACCGAAAGAAATATCGAAAAATCAAAAAATCAAAAGAAAGGGGAAAAAACATTGATTGATTATTATCCAAAGGTGGATTTACAGCAATGGAGGTGAGCAGCCAAATGTTGCAGAGATCATCGGTTTCGTTCCGGCGTCAGGGCTCTTCCGGACGGGTCTGGGAGAATCTCAACGCCGACCGAAGCGGCCCGCTTTTGAACGTCAGCGACAGGAGCGGCCCGCTTCTGACCTCTTACAGCGGCCCGATCTCCGCCGGCACTCCGACGACGGCCGGGAGAAGGAGCCACGAGATTCAGCTGCTTCGGAACATAAGGAGCGGCAGAGAAGAGAAGTTCCAGCCCTCGCACGAGAATCATCGTCATAGGGATTCCGGCAGCGGTAGTGACGGATTGTCAAGGGTGTCGTCTTTGCCGATCCAGTTGCCGACCGGCGATCAGAAGTACCGGCGGCGAAACGGAGGCGGCGCATATTTCTTCATCCGGTGCTGTACGGGTTCTCCTCCCACTGCTTGATAATTGAAAATGATGATGATGATGATGATGATGAATATTATTATTGTTAAAACTGTATCATATTATTCCTTAATTTTCTTATCCGCCATTGGTTCTTTTCCTTGGATATGTATCTCTCTCCCGGTTTTGGACTCGTTCATTTCCTTCCTTTCTTTCCATTTCATGATCCATTGGGGAACCTCATGTGCTCAATTGAAATTTGTGATTCATCGGATTCGTTGGCAAATCGCAATACAACATTCACAAAGTTCTCTCATATTGGAAAATTTGTTCATAAGTTGGCATATATGGTAAAAGTAAAACATTGATCTAACTCGAGTTAGGACCTGTTGATAGAACATAAATGATTCGATCACTTTCCTTGTTTGCGAAAAAAATTACTTCTGCATGCAGATCAAGTTTTTGAATTAACAATTCTATCACACTATCTAATATGGATCAAAGAAAGCTAGATTGATTGAAAGATGGTTATTTTTCGAAGGCTCTCGAGAAAGCACAAAAAAATGGAGTCAATATTTGCGTTCTCAAGCACAATTCTAATCAATTTCTATCACGGGAGACTAGATTAGCTGAAAGATGGGTATTGGACCCTAGAAGTCCATGCTTTTTCGGACAATAACAAGAAGAGTTCATACACAAGCACGGTGCAATGAACCAACTAAAATTCAGAGGAACTTGGTTGTACTTCTTTGGCATCTTTTATTTCAACCACTTCTGCAAAACCATATTCTGGTAAAGAACGAAAGAATCCCAATATACAGATGCTAAAGAACTCGACAATTGACACTCGCTTTATCCTCTTCATTAACCAATAGTCCCATACTTTCTCGGTCTCGGGGCTGAAAATCAGCCTTTCCGAATAAGAGCTCTGCAACATATAACTGAACTTATCAGCCCGACAGGCAACCAAACTTACATCGGTCAAGGGCTATACATCTGATTTCCACATCTCAAAAGACACAGATAGCAGAATTGACATATCTCTAAGCACTATGACTTGAATCATGGCGGCGATGAACTTTTCTTTTCTCTTCATTGGGGACCTGTACAACACTTGAATCATCAGAACTCTGTACAGATGAATGGGCGCCCCAAGATCCAAAACCTTAATCTCTCCGCTGCATATTAGACCGTTGTTTGGGGGCGAAATCGATGAAATGAACCCATTTTCCCGAAGTGAGTCTCAAGTCAACATCCGAGCTGGCTGTACTTAGTATGGTCAATGTTGTTTAGGCGCATACAACACAGAATATGTTCAGGCAAGTCTTCTGCCTTGTGTCCCTGTTCCAAGAGATAACATGATAAGGTAAGTTGCCCATGAAGCTAAACACGTAATCCGTCATCAAATAGGGTAGCAAAACGGATTGATTGTTACCTGAATTGTCAGGCCAAAGTCCATTATGCAGTACTTCAATCTGTTATTGAATGTTTCAAAACCTTTCCGAGAGATGTAGCTGAATCTGTGCATATCCAAATCAATCTCAAAGTAGTTCTCTCCCTGCCAAGTAAAAGTTGCCATGAAGTAAGTGAAGGTTACGTCTATATGAACTGCCAACCTTTAACCATTCCAGAGCAGCTAATGCTACATTATATAATGTTTCTCCACTATGTTCTTTCCAACAAGATTTCAGCTATGGAGACGAGAGTAAAAATGGACAAGAATAAAGAAAGGTTTTATTATCTGTTACAAGATTTGGAATTTACCAAGTAAAATTCGTGCTGAGGCCGTGATAGAACAGGTTTCTCATTGTAAGCATTCATGAGCTTCTTCTCGGTAGCACTTAACTGAAGGTCATTGACATTTGCAAGTCTGCCCAAAATTTTCAATCTTTCCCTAAATGGTGCAATTGTATCGAGAGGGAAACCTTTGACCCGTTCAACCTCATCATTAATGAGTTTCTGCAGAAGAGAGGAAAATCCATCAGAAAAGTAAATTAGCAGCTGAATCTAATATTGTATAAGAAAAGGGCAAAGTATAGAGATGGAAATAAACTCAACAGACCATAATATTTTCCCGGAAATGAGTGGGGAGCTCTTTTGAGTAACTCTCAGACAGCTTAAAATACATAACCAAATTCATTCCTTCTCCGTCACTTTCACCGTGCAGAATTGAGGCAGGATATAATGGTACCTGTAAGAAGATCAAGATTATCTGATAGAACACTGAGAAAAGATATTCTATGTTCCACAACTATTTCCACTGAGAAGAGTATGATGTGAAGATATCACTACCTGAACATTAACAACAAGAACAGCTGGGACTTCATCATAGGCACTAAGCGTTGGGAGTTCAACATATCTAGCAATATGAGGAATTTTTCTCTCGGATAAGAAGATGTCGGCAGCAAAAGGGTGAAATGCAACACATTCTGGTGCAGGCTCTTTCTTCTTGTCCCTGGAAACATAAAACATACGAAGTGATGAAACACAGCAGTTAGCTCCACTTGAGCACAATTCATTAACTGGACACAGCAGTTAGCTCCACTTGGCTCTAAAATGAATAAAACACAATCAATGCCATACACGGGTGTAATATTTGAAGAACTGGTCGACGAAGAGTGATAATTAGACATTCACCAAAGGTTATGATTGAATAAAGCTAAATGGAAGTGTCGCAGAAACCAATATGAGGAACCACATTCAGTTTTGAAGAGATGAAACAATGAAAAAGAATCCTTAAACTGACAATGCTGGTTCTCACCGGAGGTAGTTCCTTCCCCGTACTTTGAAACTACTTGGCTCAAGAGGAGACCAACAACCTGAAATCTTCTTATCAATGGGGCAGTGAGGAAAAGTAGAACCAGCAACTGGCCTCTGGGAAAGTCCTTTTGGAGAAACTGAAATTGAAAAAGGAGAAGAACAGAGAAGAGAGGTGATGAAAACCGAGTAAAATAACATATTTGTCAGAGCAACAGTTGTTAATATGAGATTGCATTTCCAAAATCAAAAGAAAATCCCTAATAAGGTAACGATATGAGTGGTAAGGCAATCTTTTATTTGTTCTCGTAGGTACTCTTGTTTGCTTCAAACTAAAAATGCGTAGACAGTTTCCATTAAGGAGATTTATTCATGGATACATGACCAAATTGTTTACTATTCCCATTAGTAAGTCGAAAGCCAAATACTGCCACCCATGTCCCCACAACAACTAATACAAGCTAAAGGAATTCAGTAAGCAATGCATCATCCTATATTCCTATATCCAAAAACTACAGATGTCTTCAGAGCATATCAAAAATTAAATTTGCATGCACGCAAGCATTCACTTCTGTAAGTAAAATTGAACAGGTACAAAGTGGTGGAACACTTACATAATGTAGGCACAGGGTCTTCCTTCCATTTAAATGAAAGTCTAAGCATAGGTTTTTTCTTTGAGCTAGCAGTATCAGAATTCATCGATTTCTTCTTTTCCACCGTAGGACCATTTGAAGGAATACAAGGCAAGCAAGCATTTTGTAGAATCCCACAATGATTATCAGCCACAATACTCACACTTGAAACTTCCTCTCCAGCAGCAGGATTCGCTTCCCTTTGAGTAGCATCATTCAGTCTCGAAGAAGAATGCGTGTGCTTGGGCTGCTCATTACCGCTTCCACGAGAGACATCTCGAGCGGAATCGACAGCTATGCTATCATGAGGCGGACCACTTAGGCTAGAACCATTGTCATTAGAGTCGACGACAGAGTACCCATCTACAGATTTAGTGGCAGATAAATTTGTTTGCAGGTAAGAATCTCCATTCAACACTGATATGCTACAAACTATAAGAACCTAAAGGGCTAAATTGTGTACCTTCATAAACGCTATAAAACTCGTCATCCCATTCAGATTCAAGCTCAGAGGTGGCATCACACCAAGTACCATCCATGCTTCCTGTTGTTCAGAACAAAGCCAACCAATCAAATACTTACCCCAAACCCTACTTACTCAATCAGAGACAGAAAGATCAAGAAAAAGAATTGATTTTTTTCTCCCGACCTTGAAACACAGGATTAGAGAAAGTCCGATCGGTTTGGCGGGTAGGATCGAGGGTTTCAACCTTGCGAGAGGAGACACGCCGCTTGATAATCCGTCTCCGGGATTTCCTCCTCCGCCTCCCACCTTCTCCATTGTCGCTCTTCCTCTTCTCCTCGACCTTCCTCTTGGAAGGGAAAGGGAATACGACACACCCTTTTCTCCTTGCCGAAGCACAAGCACCCATTTTTCCTTTTACTTTTCCTTTTTCTTTTCTTCTCTCTTTTTTCCGCTTTCCCTAACTCGCGAGCTTCAACTTGGCACCCAATTGGCAGTCAAAAAACTCGGTCGCGCCGGCGGGGAACCCTGCAGGCGATCTGTGCATCTGGGGGGAATCCCGATCCTTCCGAAATTCGGTGAAAAGGCCCCACGACTTGCTGAGAAGTCAATCGGGCAGGAGGAGAAAATGGGGGAGAGGGAAAGAAGGAAAAAAAGATCAGAGAGAAAAACGAAACGGCGATGAAAAAACGGGGAAGAGAGAGAGGCAGGCAGCCAGCTTGGTAATGGTGATGGCTGCCGCGCGGAAACGGTAGGTTCACTCGTTTGGTTGAACAGGGAGCAGGGGTGGGTCCTACGCGTTCTGGGAGTTGGCTGGTTCTTCTGCTCTCGGCCATCACTATTTACTCTGAGTTGGTGGGGGGGCGTGCCCGGCAGTTCTCCGTCGAATTTGCCGGTGATGGGACAATAAAAGAAAAGGAAACAACTTTGTATCCCAAATATATAAATAAAGGGAAAAGTTATTTAAATATTTTCCTTTCCTGAAGAGGTGGGCAATTTTGATTGGATGAGGTTCAAAACGTGTATTCACTTTTTGTTTATTTGTTGATGGGAAGTTCAAAAGTGTAATTGATTTCGTAATCTCGTAATAATAATTATTGTTTAGTTGACTAATGATGATGATGATAAGGACCGTGGAGGCTACTGAAAATTGATTTGTAAATATCTTAGCTTCAGTATAGCTTTTTTTTAATGAGATAATTTTAAATGGAGCTCGTTTAATCTTATCAAATTTCCTCGAAGGCACAACCCCATCTAATCTTAATTTTGTATTATGTAATACGGTTGGTCAGTTTGTGTGATGTTCCTGTGGTGTGATTTCGTTGTTGGTTAATTGATGTTGCAAATAGATAAAGACTCGAAAGTATTAAGGAAAAAGATGATTAACCATATTAATGGATAGATGGGTAGATTAGATCAACTTTTGTTTATTTTTAAAATGTGAAATTGAACACTAAGTTAGTTTGTTGGTGTGTTTATCATTTTTTGTCTTGTTTTGTATTCACATTCCTTAATCTTTTGTTCTCTGATATTTGTCCGTGACAATTTAATAGCACTCGACTTGAACACACTAATTAATGACTCAACACATTGGATAGTATTCTCTTGATACTCGAGATGAGATTCTAGTTGGTTTAGTTTAAAGTTTACTTGTGCATTCCTCCAAACAATTTAATTGCGGGTTTTTGCTGATTTGGTACCCAAATTGGACATGGCAGACGTTCATCCTAAAGTTTAAGAGGTTGTTATAGAAAATAAAATAGATTGAAGTAGTAGTGTAGGGCTGAAATGTAATGTTTGATCAATTTATGGTGTGTTTTGTAATTAGAACAACATCTCTACTATGGTTTATAAAACTTGAAGGGCCATCCAACATATTTTACCGTTCCTTTTATTTCCTCTCATTTAGATTATCGCTTTCGCTTTTACCAACGGTATGCCTTTACTTAGACGGCACTCAACTTTCAAATGCAATTGCAGATGTATTATCCAACCAATGTTGGCATCGATAGGATTGGAGTATGGACAACGGCGCTTGGATATGGACTTCTAATTTATGGGACTTTAAAGGGCTAAACTTTTAAATACTATGGCTCACTTCCGGCTACGGGTATTTGGTTATGAGATTGAGTGGCTAATGGCTATGTTAATGACTATCTAAAGTGTTGGGTTTACATCATGTGACGAGAATAAAGAAAGTCATTGTTGTGTGGTGGATAGTAATGTTATGATGTAATTGACTAAAAATGTTCACTTAAGAATGCTTGATGGACTTGTAACTGCTTACATATTAAAACACTGGTACAAACATGAATATTTGCATTTGTAATTTTGTGCGAGGAGTTAATTTGTGCGAAATAGGAATAAATATCCGAGAAGGTTGTGTATTCATTATGAGATTTATGTATGGTGATCATAGTATTATACGTGCCTGCAATTTTAAACTTCAACAAAAATCTGAACGGGAAGAGTGAAGTACGTACATTTATAGCACATATCATCACATAATTGAATATCACGTAGGGATGACAATTATCCATGAGGTGGATAATTTTAGTGAAACCAAAGTAAATCCAATGATTATTAGTAGGGTATGTCATATGTGTGAGGTATACATATGTTTGAATTTGTATATATGGGTTTTTGTATGGTATCTATTGTTATTCTAATTGATTATGGGTACAAATTTGCCCATGGTAGTAGTGAGATAGTTTTAATTGCACATAAAATTTGGGCCTATTCGTAATATTTTTAAAGTTAAGATATTAATTTGTATCTAAAAAAAATTCGGCACTATAATATACTTTTCATCGATTTTGTGAATTTGTTTGCAAAAAAAAATTAAATTTTGCTGTTAAATGATAAATACTGTTTAAATTTAGGTATCAACCTGTAATTCTAAAATGTGTGTATGGGTAAAAAACACAAATCCAGCCTTAGAAATAGATATTATCATATTCCATTGGGGTGCGTTTGGATAAGTGGATTTTAAATGTAAGGTATTTGAAATATTAGTATTTGAAATGGATGTATTCGAAATATTAGCATTTGAAATACATGTAATTCAAATTCATTGTTTGGATATTCATTTGTAATTTGTTTGTATTTTGTATTTTATGATTTTCAATTTCAATTTTTAATTTTCTGGTCACTTACTACAAATTTTGGTAAATTACAGTTTGGTACCCAAAATTATTTTTTCTTACAATTTAGTACCTAAACTTTTAAAATTTTACAAAAAGGTCCTGAAATTTTGATGGTAAAATTACATTTTGGTACCTTTATATGTTTTGCCTCACACTATAGTACCTAAACTTTTCATATTTTACAAATAGGTCCATTCTTTTGTTAGGAGGTATTTCAAATCACTAGTTGTTGAAATGTATTTGAAGTTGACAAAAAATACACTAGACATGTATTTGGAAATCACCCCATGAATTTGACACAAATCCAAATACCAAATGTAATTAATATCCAAACACATGATTTGGTATTTGAAAATTCAAATCACAAATACCAAATCCAAATCATTGTATCCAAACGCACCCTTGGAGTATTTGTATACGCTTGACTCTTTCTATTCGATCTCCAAATCCTTCTTTCCTGGACATTGGATTCATGAGACTCTGCTAAACACCAACGCCTCCTAAATAACAAGCATCACAACATTATATGCATACAAATACATATATTGCTCAACAGTACTCAACACCCCATGACCTTAAATGGTGACATGTTGCCATTAGCCACCTTCTTATGATCCCCCACAATCCCGTCGTTCCCAGCAAGCGCCCTGTACTTATCCTTCCTGGTGAAACTGGTGCACTCGTACGACAACGTTGCGGCGATTGCTCTCTGGATGTAATTCGCCACGTCATGGCTCGACTTCCCGCCGGCGCCGCATGTCAAGTCGTAGGGCAGCTTTTTCAGGAACCGCACGTCGTACACCGGGCTAGGGTTCATGAAGAAGTAGAAGGGGTCCATCCCTTTCCACCCTCGAGCCGTGGTGCCGTGGAACATGCTCATCCGATTCGACATCGCCACCGGAACGAGCTCGTCGGTAAGCTCCGCGAACAGCGCCGAGAACCTCAGCAAGAACGGCTCCCTGCAAGGTTATACGTGGAGAAATATTTTATGTAACTGTAAATTATATATGTTTCATAAGTATTATACATCGTGACGATTGGTTCAAATATTTGGAGTTTTTGGATAGGTTCAATTTTGAATTTTTATCTTATTTATTCATTACATTCTCTCGTGTGGAATCGAGCAGACTAATCATCATAATAATTTGTGCATCATTTAATTGGAAAAATAAAAGCCATAGATCCCTCTAAAATAAGCGATATCTATACCAAGTTTAATCACATGATATTTTTACCAAAAGTTTGAATATATATCATATTAAGAGTCAATGTGCATCTCAACATTCCGGTCTGTGTACATTCTTACTGCAGGTATAAACTTGATTCTTATAACATTCATTGACAAAGACGTTAGTCGTCATATAAATGTCAAGATGTTCCAAAAACTCAACATTCTAATGGATCAATACGTGTTAGGTTTGATTTTATTCATTCTGTACACATTAATTAACCTAGGATAAACATTCATTTTACACTAGCTAGCCACCAGGGTTTGTTATTAGACCTGTCCTAAGTCAGGCAAACTAGGTTTAGCTAGCTTGGTTAAGTAAACTTATAGTGGTCTTGTAGAATTAGGCTAGTAATTAGGTAACTTGCCCTCCAATTCGAACCTCTTTCTCTAATTGTTCCAGTCTCATCAATGCAAACGCTGATAGTTAATTAGGTCTAAATCAAAAAATTAAAGTACCTGCATGTGGTTCCCTCTGGGCAAATGACGAGGCCCCCGTCTTCCAGAAGCTTCTTGATCATGCCGGCGTCGGCGGCTCGGTCCCGGCTCAGCCGGACGGTCTTGATGGGAGAGATCAGCTCGGAGAGGCGCGACAGGGAGTAGGTGACGGCGGGGATGGGGCGGCGGAGGGCGGTGGAGAGGAAGATTGGGTCGAGCAAAGTGCGGTGGGAGCAAATAAACAGGACTCCCGTCTGTTCGCCGGATTTGGCGGACGGCGGCGGGTTGCCCTTGACGTGGACGCGGACGCCGAGGGCCCAGAAGGCGTGGTAGACGAGGGGCATGGGGAGGAGCGAGCCGGCGGCGATGCGGACGCAGGCCAGGAGGAAGCCGACGGGGATCCATAGGATGATGAAGAGCGCGGTTAAAGGAGTGGGCTTTTGGACCAGCCGGCCGTCGTGGAAGACGATGGGCTTTGGTAGTTTGTCAACGGGGACCGGTTTGACCTCTGACTTCGGTGGCACTATGTATCCTTCCTGTTCCAAGGACACCCCACAAATGTAAAACGGAAATTTTGGAATAAAATTCGAGATAATAACAAGGTATTATAAGTTTATACCGGCGACAATGATCATAGGTTTTGTTTGTTAGATGTAACAATGTTTATATGTTCAATTGACAATAAATAACTTATTGAGATAATAACAAGGTTAATTTTCAATACTTAAATTTGTCGTCATGATAGTCACTTTCTGTATTATCGATATTTAAATAATATCTTGAAAATTTTATTTATAATAGGATTTTGAGATTACTAATAAGTCGTAATATTTCAATAGTCACTCAGACCATAAGTTTTGGTAAAAATAATAAATCTCTTTATTTGCTTACTCAAGTGATAGAAAATTCACTTGATAAGCGGATTGTCATTGTATTAAATTTCATTTGTTGTTATTTAGTTACCATAATATTGATTTATATACACTAAAATCAAAATTCCCTACTAGAGTAATTTATATTCTGGAAAAATAACACATCTAATTTTAACTCCCGACTCCGTTATTGTCTTATTGATTGACGGAGCCAAATTTTTTTGCCTTTGTCCTAGGTGAGATATGAGTATTTGGTCGCTGTACTAGAGAGTTTATTGTGACTCAAACCTTACCTTGCAAAGCTGCATGAAAGGATGGTCCGTCTTCCGGTCACCGAGCCCAATCTCCGGCACCGCTCCGCCGTCACCAACCGCCGCCAGCAACGCATCCGCCTTATTCATCCCAACAAGAACCCCCGCCGGCCCTTTCACAAACCCCGTCGCCCGCCCTCTCACCGCCCCAACCTCCGTCCCCATCACCACATCCGCCCCCAAAAACTCCTTCAAGAACGGCTCCACCATGATCCTCGGGTTCGCCGTCAGCACCCACCTCCTCCCGCACGACGAGAACACCCGCCACGTGTCCGGGTGCAGGTCCCCCGAGTAGAACTTCGGCAGCACGGCCCGCGCCACCGACTCGATGTCCGCCACGCGGGCCCCAGCAAAGGCCGCAAAGATCAGCACCTGGATCCCGGCGGACTCGGAGATCAGGTAGTAGAGGGCGGCGGCGAAGGGGGATGCGAGGAGGAGGAAGAGGAGGCGGAGGACGCCGCCGACCTCGAAGGCGATGAGGGCGAAGTACGGGAAGGAGCTGCGGCCGCAGAGGAGGGTTCCGTCCATGTCGGCTACTACGGTGTCGTTCTCCCTGCCGATTGATGGGCAGTCCTCCACCGGCGGGAAGGTTTTTGATTTTGCCGCCATTTTTATTTTTCTGGCTGTGGTGGTGGTGGGGAGAGAAGTGGCCGGTGGAGAGAGAGTGTTGCCTTGTTGTGGAGGGTTTGGTTCAGTTGTTAAGGGGTATATATATATAACATTTGATCGTATTTAACAGTGTGGAAACAAACGGTACATAGGGAATAAAACATTTGATTTTTATCAAAATTAAGGCGATTGCCGATTAGTACGATTATATTATGTAATTGTTCGATGGAATTAATGAGTTTGTATAAAATATATTAGTTGGTGTTCCAGGACCATATATATAGTTTGATAATTTAGTTAAGTTTGGCACTCAGTCTACTTTTAACCTTATGATAGAAAACAACATTATCACAATTCTATGACGTTGGTTTCTAATACATTGTTGTTGATTCGGAGAAGAAGTGTATTTCGATCCCTGGCTTTAGAGGACGAAGATGTAAAGTTCGTAGACATAGGCGGAGCTAGGCCATTTTGGCCTTGTCCTGGGACAGGGGTAATATTTGGCAGAGAAAAAAAATACCACCCATACAAGTAACATAAGGATGTTTTGTCAACTATATCACAACTCATTACTTGTTCATTAATTGCTAAAAATTAGTCAATTGATTCCATTCATGACACTATTATTCGACAACAGCTTGTACATGATGAATTATCTCGAGCATTGATGGAGATGAAAGGTTATAAGTCATATATCCGTAAGTTCATTTGCTTATGAAACTAGAAAGAGCATTTTTAGCTTCAGCTGTATTAAGAACAACTTCAAAGTTGGATTGACGATCAGTTAGCTATGATTATTTAATGGGATACACTGAAAGAGACTTACTTAAAAGTGTACACAACGAATGTATTTTGCATTTGTTTCGGAATACGAAAACTCGTCGTGGTTGTTTATGCAAAATATAATTGTATTAGTTGATTGTTTCTTTATCTATGAATGAATAATATGAATATTATTATTTTTAATTATATTTATTAAATTTTTATTAATTATATATTTATATTTTAAAAAGAGGACAGGGGTAGTTTCTAATCCTGCCTCCGCCACTGTTCGTAGACGGAATTTCAAGATTGTTAATAATGTGTCTCATCAAATTATCACGATGATAATTAATTAAGATCATGTACGCTTGATAAAGGCCTTGGCCCGGTTGTTTTCCTTCTTTTTGTCGTTAATACACTTTCTAGGTCAAGAATGCCACAACCTGTACACTTTAAGAACTCTTATACAAACCACATATATATGTGAAGTCAAAGACATAATTAACAAAATCAGACTACTGTAGGACTTGTTGTGCCATCAATTAGGTAGCCCAATCTGTCATTTAACGACTGAACAAATTAAAGGCGAACTAAAGGCAACTCCATAACTAAAACACCGAAAAATGTCCTTCCACGAGCATCACAAGCCATAAGTGATCATACACATAGCAAGTTCGACAACAGAGTTGAGCATCCTCTGTAACTTGGATTGGCCCGCCAATCTTGCCGGTGCCATTGCCATTGAACCAATCACTTTGCTTGTAATAAGGTGCTATTGAATACTGATGATACAATCCCCTTCCATTGTGCTATATACCAAACTTTTGAGCGTTGAAAGCGAAGGAATGTTCGTGGACTGAGAAACCTAGGGAACATTGGGGTTGGAGGGTCTTAAAAACTCTTAAATTCAATCTGTTGGAACAATGAACCGAAAAGGAAACAGAATCATGCTGCTCCTGTTCTTGAGGGGGACTTCGGTTGGCTTCGTCGATGCCAAATTCATGTGGCTTAGGTATAAACGATCTAATAGTTGGGCACTGTAGGGTTTTGATACCTAATGACCATTCAATTTTGCCTTGTCTCGATCGGCAAACCACCAAAAATTGAGAACCTTATTACCGTACACTGTAGCTAGCGCCAATGAGATAACCTTTGGTTATTTGCTAAGAAGAAATGATCGTGTCAAATCATATGATGTTATCATCCGGCCATTGATGTGATAAACCCCCGCCATTCAGTGTATTGATGATAATCATCTCAAAATTTGACAATTGGATGTGTTTTTTTTAGACAATAAGGAAATGGTTATGCATTGCTTGTTTCAATTTATGGTAAAACGATGATACGTAGATATATTTTCCATGTTCCATCACTTACTGGAATTAGAAAGGTCCATTTTTATCATTTTTTTGTCAAAAGGAAAAATATTTGTACACTTGAAGTGCAATTTAATGTCCCAAACGGTCCATATTCTAGAAAATGTGCATTCAAACAATTAAATATAAACATATCACTCCCATTACATTTGTCATAATGTTAAACTCTATCCAGATCTCCATCCGATTGTCTAAACGACCATTGCGTGTTGGATTTGGTAGAATGGTGGTCAAATATAGAAGTCTTGCCCGTCAAACATTTGCTAAAATTCATTGTGTTTTTGCAACAAAGAAAGAGACCACTAATTACGAATTAAAAAAAAATCCTTTTTGGACCCATCGCGCGATCACAATTATGTAATTTTTCGAATCTAAAATTCACCAAAATTTTGATTTTATCAAATATAACAAACAAAGTAGCACATTAAACAAGTCACCCCATTAGTCCACGCCTAACATTTGATAAACACACACTGTACTTTCACATCAAATGTTCAAAGCCAAATTACACACCTTAACGTACGGCTGACTTCAAGCCAGTAATACTCGGTCCAAACTAGTTAAAAGTACCCCGCCAGTTTCCGTTGAATTGGGCCAACAGAACTGTAGAAGTATGAATCACAGTCAGTTATAATCTAATCAATTAGGTATTAGTTTGAGTCTTGAGATGACAAAGGGATCCAATACAAGAAAGCATGTGGCGAAATCTGCTTCAAACCCGCCAATTCCCATCCTGTTCGTTAGGGGTGGGGACAGTTGCTGTGAAACCGAAACCGCACCGAATAAGTGCGATTTGCGGTTACCAAAAAACCGCTTAAAGGGGATTTATGCGGGTGCAGTTAGCTAAATTGGACAATTTGCGATTTGTAGACTGATCGCTAACCGCACCAAATAACAAATTAACCGCATAATTAACCGCGTATTATTTGCTATGACTATTTCTCCATGCACAGACAAAACTAATTTCGCTTCCCACACTTAATTTGTCATGAAATATCAAGTGAATTTCGTTAGTGTGAGTATCAATTGATCTAGTTTAGTCTCCATATGTATTTTTAACTTTGATGGATTATTTACGTCTTTTTATCTATAATATCTATCATAAAATCTGAACGAAATGACGCTAATCATGTCATAGACTATATGAACTTTGAAGATTTAGTCTAGTATATATGAGTAGACGGTTATTGTGGTTAGCCAAAACTAACCGCTAACCGCAATTTGACGTTAGTGGTTAACCGTTTGCGGTTGGTGATTTCCCCCTTTTGCGGTTGCGATTAACCGCATTATTCCGTGCGATTAACCAAAATCGCACCATTTTCCACCCGTACTATTTGTCCTCTATGTTTTATGGTTTGTTTGCCTACAAAGCCTTTTTGTTTCGTACCTAATTGTCCCTTCTTTCTAACATCCCGCATCCGTATAGAAAAAGCAAGGTTTAGGAAACCGTACCTGAAGTTATACCTGAAAGTGAGATGTATGATATTTATACTAATTGTTTAACCGTGATTGAACAGTTACCCACTGTTAAAATTGCTTATATTTTCTGGTATCTGATATTTCCGATCCGACCTACCTACCGGTATGATTTCTTAAACCCGGCAAAAAAGAAAATTAATCTGGGGTGTGGGGAGATCACATAAACAGATCGCGGACGTCTGGACCTTCTCATGGGCTACATTACTAAGTGAGCCCATCAGGAATCATTAAATAAAAGAATACGCTTCCAAGCTCAACAATGTCTGGCCCATAGCTCTTCCTCCTTTCGGGGGCCCAGATTTGAAGAAAAGCATCCCCTCCCCTGACGGCCCGGAGAATGAAACCCTACCCTGGTAGCACTAGGGTTTCTCCTTCCCTTCTTGCTTATATAAAAAGTTCCTGGCTCCATCTATTCCCTGCAGACTGCCGCGCTTCTCCTTTCTGGTTCCCCCAAGTATTTTATCGTGTTTCCTTCCGATCGCATGAGGCCTGAGCTACCGTTTTCGTGAATCGTGATACATTCCATTTTAATTTCTTCCTCGATACCGGGTTTTCATATACGTTGTCAATTGTTTTTCCGTTTGTGTTTTGGTTGTTGTTCTTGAGCGTTCAGGTGATGAGAAAAATACTGCAACAATATGATCGGAGAAATATCTCCGGTGATTACCGATGTATTTAAGTCTCTGATGATAGCCAACTTTTCAAGTCTGTTAGCAATTTTTTTTTTTTTGAATTTTTCATCCAGGCTTTTGATTTTGATGGTGGAGAGATGTGATGAAGAACAATTGGTCCGTGTTTCTGATTAAACCGTGACGGACATCCAATTTAATTTTACTCTTAGTCTGATCTCTTCACCATTTTCAGTCTTTTTCTCTCTTCGTTTGACTCGAAATGTTTGTTCTTCTCTCTGTTTTGTGAGCTCTGTGATTATCTGCCCCTTGTGGGCAATATATGCTATTCTGACAATTGCATGAGCAGAAATACTTTTCAAAGTTGTGATGAGAGCTATGCTTTTATTTGACAATTATTTTTTGTGTTAATTTTGAAAGTTTTCTACTAGTGAGTAATTTACTTTATATTTGTTCTGCGTTGATGAGTATGAATCAAAATTAACACATGTCAGACTTCAGAGATTTTCCGAGAAAGTCAATGAGAAGAGACATTCATATTCTGAGCAGAGAAAATAAGTTGTTTTTTTTAACATTAGTCTGGATATTAGGGTTTGCTTCTGGTTCCAAATCTATCGAAGAACAGAGTCTTTTCAACGTCACTGGTAAGAGTTGGCTATCCCGAGTGACTTCTGGTTCATGAAGTCTTGACTGGGTATGTCAATTTAGTAGCTTTCAGGTTATGCAAGGGACATGGGGAGAATCTATCTCGAGTAGAGCCGGCAATCTTGATCCAATCCATTAGTCCAATCCAGTCCAATCCATTTAAATTGATCCAAATCCATTTAGTCCAAATCCATTTAATCCATGGATAAATGGATTGGATTCATGGATATCCACTAAATCACTAACCTATACCAAAAATCAAAACAAAACAGTCGGAGCCTGAGCCCTGAAGCAGTCGGAGCCGTGGTGGGCAGGGGCCAGGGAGTGATTCCGGCGAGCTGCTGTGCCCTCCCCTCCTCCCTCCCAAAACCGTCTCCCAACTCTGCATCCTCTCCAACCGATTCTACTCCGCCTGGAATTCCACCCCTTCTCTTTCCTTCCACCACTCCGACGCCGGCCGCGGCGGAGTCGGACAAGAGGAGGAGAAGCGAGAGCGATTCATCGACTACATCAGCTCCACCCTCGCCCGCCGCGCCCCTTCCTTCACCCTCGACGAATTCCGAATCCAAGCCCCCGCCCTCGCCCTCCCCTCCTCCCCCGCCTACCACGACGACCGCGTCGCCGCCTCTCTCCCCCTCTTGAACCCACCTCGTCAGTCGTCGCCTCCAAAAACCACTGCGACCTCGTCGCCTCTCTCACCCTCTCTCACCCACCTCGTCGCTTCCTATTCCAGACAACACCGTTCGCGCCGCCTCCTATCCAGACCCACCTCGTCGCCTCCTTCACGAAGGTCAGAAACTCGCCTTCCTCTCCATCATTTCTCGGCCAGCTCCATCAAGGAACGTTAATCACTCCATTCGCCCAAACCCACGAACTGAAATTTTGTTCGTTGCTTCTCCGCTCCGCCGTCTCAAAGGTTGAACAGGTACTTTCTAATCGAACCTCTTCCCCATTGTTTCACCATTGGAATTTCTGATTTTGTGAATTCTTGCAGACTTGCAGTGAACTTGCGTCGGCGCAGGGTTAGTTCAGTTCTCCCGCTTAATCTTAACTCTATATATAGGTATCAGTCGTCCTCTATCCCTAAAATTCATTCATTGTTCTGTTCCTTCGATTATCTTTCTCACAGCCTGAATTCTTCAGCTCTCTTTCGTTATTTGTTCTTTTGAATTACTGGGTATGTTTGTCTTCGTTGCCTCCTCTTTCGGCTGCAAGAGTAGATCTGAATTGGATCGATTTCTTGACAGCTTTGTTCTAGAGGCACAAATCGAAATCCTTCGGTTGGGAATTTTATGTCAGATTTGGCTCTTCTCCTTCTCTGATTTCCCTGTCTTTGGCACATTATTCATTGCTCATCTTCTCCATTTTTACCATCCCGCTGCTTGTATATACTTATTGGTTGCTTACTTGCTGCTGAGTTTGTGACCACGTATCTGGGCAACATGCTATTTCAGGATGTCTAGTCAACAAATGAATGTTATGGGAAATGATGATGGTGGTAGTTCTGGAGATGAGGCTCATTTTGCAGCAATGTCGACGTCTACGGTTCGAACAAGTGTTCAACGAAAGCGACAAAGAACTTCTAAGGCATGCGAGACATTTACTTTTATCCCTGGGAATCAGTTTGCAGATAATATATCAAGAGCACAGTGCAAAAACTGTCCCAAGCTTTATGTGGTTGGTAAAGGTATTTCTAATCTCACTCGTCATAGTTTTAAGTGTATTGGACGTGCAATTGAAGTGCCAGTGTCGAATGTTGGAAGCTCAAAAGCAATAGATCAAAATAGATTTAAGGAGCTAATGGCTATGGCTATCATAAAACATGGGTATGAATTTGCAATGGTTGAGCATGGTGGACTTCAGGATGTGATGGCCTACTTGAATGATGATTTTAAGTCATTTACTCGGAACACTGCTAAGTCACATTGTTTGAAGATTCATAAGAGGGAAAAGGAAAAATTGAAAACTATCTTGAGCAAGGTTCCTGGCAGGCTTTGTTTGACTTGTGACTTGTGGACTTCTTGTGCTACAGAAGGATACCTTTGTCTCACGGTTCATTATGTGGATTTTGAATGGAGGTTAAATACTAAGATCTTAAACTTCTGTCACATTCCCCTCCACATAGTGCAATAGTTTTGTTTCTAGCTATATATGATTTGTTGAAAGAGTGGCAAATTGAGAAGAAAATTTTCTCAATTACATTGGATAATGCCAGATGCAATGATGTTATGCAAAGTTTGTTGATCGATAAATTGAAAGAAGATGATGCTTTGGTATGTGATGGAGAATATTTTCATATCCGTTGTGGAGCTCATATTCTAAACTTGATTGTGAATGAAGGGTTAAAACAAATTCGTGCTTTAATAGATGTAATTAGGGAGTGGGTGAAATATGTCAAAGGGTCTGAATCTCGAATGATTGTCTTTGAAGATTGTGCAAAAAGAAGTAATTGTTTGAGTTCTAAAGGATTGTGGTTAGATTGTCCGACTAGATGGAACTCGACATACATGATGCTTGAAAGAGCTGAGCTCTATCGTCGTGCTTTTCAGCATTTGAAGTTGGTTGATAGGAATTTTGATCGATTTTCGTCAGATGTGGAATGGGAGAAGATCAAGAAAATTAAGAAGATTTTGAAACCTTTTGATGATATCACTAACCTTTTTTCTGGAGTGCATTATCCTACTTCGAATTTGTACTTTTGCAATGTATGGAGGATTCAGATGCGGCTAATGGAGGCATCTAAAAGTATGGATAGTGATATTCGAAATATGGGTTTAGCAATGAAGCAGAAGTTTGATAAGTACTGGGATTCCTATAGTATGATCCTCTCCGTAGCAGTGGTTTTTGATCCACGGTACAAGATGGATTCTGTGAGGTTTTGCTATGAGAAGTTGTATGGGGACAATGATGTTGCTAAAGAAAAGTGTTGTGAGCTTCGAGGGAAGATATGTGATTTACTGAAGTTGTATGGTGATCCTACTGATCAATCTCAATCCCTTGCTGAGGATTTTGCTGAAGATGTTGACTATGGAGATGATATGGATGTAAGTAAACATGCTTCTCATTTTTTATGTTCTTTCAGCTGTGCTACTTGTGCTTGCCCTTGCTGAATGCAATTTTCCAGATGTCATATGAGATTGATTCCACAGTAATCAATCTTAGTGGTAGTGTTAGTCGTCTTAGTTGTTTTCTGATTGATTCCACAGTAATCCACGGTACAAGATGTAATGCTGAATGTTTTCTGATTGAGTTATGAACCCGATTGAGTATTGTTGATGATGAAAAGGTTCTTGTATAGCTGATTACCCTGTTCAAGTTAGATCACAGGCCCTGGAGTTTGTTCATCTATCTCCTAGAAGCTTACCATCCCCTGCAACTTGAGCAGGCATCTTAGCAAATCTGTCATGGTGACTTGGGTAGTCAAGTTTTTGTAATTTTGGTTAGTCCTTGTTTCAGAATATCTCATCTGATGTGTTTTTCATGTTAATCTCTACTTGTTTCTTAAGAGCACTGTGGCTTTTTGGGGCTGTAATTTGTCATGTTACTACTATTATGAGGGAATGAGAATAAGAAATGCTAGACTAGTTTCCTTGAGAGCATACATTACAAGCTAACAGAGGTTTTACTTCTGGTAAGAAAAGCTAATACAAACACAGGAAACTAAGAAGTACATAGAAACAGAGGTTTTCTGGCTTGCTTCAATCATCAGGATCCTCCTCTCTAACTGGTTAACTCTCCCTTTCCCCTTCTGGCCTTCTCCATTTCCCCACCTTATCATCCATCTCCTCCATCCCCCAAATGAAACAACCGCCGCCACCGCCACCCATTTCCCCGCCGCCGCAATGAACCACCGCCGGCCGCTTCACACCCTCCCCTTCCTCTTCAACAGCTTCACCCCCACCAACTCCTCCTCCAGCCTCTTCCTCTACGGATCCGCCGCCGTCGAATCTCGAGTCCTCACCCTCACCAACTCCACCACATTCACCATCGGCCGCGCTCTCTACCCGCAGAGAATCCGCACCAAAACCCCCAATTCCTCCTATGTCAACCCCTTCTCCACCTCCTTCATCTTCGCCATGGCGCCGTACAGAAACACCCTCCCGGGCCACGGATTGGTCTTCCTGTTCGTCCCCTTCGCCGGAATCGAGGGGGCTTCCTCTTCTCAGAACCTGGGCTTCCTCAATCGCACCATCGACAACGATCCCAGCACCCGCATCTTCGGCGTCGAGTTCGACGTCTTCGCCAACCAGGAGTTCAGCGACATCAACGACAATCACGTTGAGTGTGAGCTCGAGGAGGGTTGCGGGAGGGATTCTGCCAGCGCCGTTCGGCCCCAGATTCGGCCGCTTGTCCAGTTGGGAGGGACCTGGAGGCTGGAGGTGTCGCCGGCAGACTCTTGTCGCCGGCGATGACTGTTTCTCTCATCTGCGAAAATAAAATATCATGGAAAATATACAGTTTGGTACCTAAAATATTTATTATCAAGTTGCAGTATATAAAGTTTTCAAATTTGACATCTTGATTCAATGATTTAAATGTCATTTGGATTAATGGATAATCCATCAATCCACTTTATCCAATCCATGGATCCATTAATCCATTTGATCCAGTCCATTTGATCCATGGATCAAACAATCCAATCCACTTATCCATGAATCAATCCATTTGCCACCTCTAATCTCGAGTGGTGACTTTGGAAGAAGTGGTACAGCATTATCTGGATCAAGATCATCCCCGTAGCGTCGCCAGTCATGGGTGAACAAAGTTCCCCTCATCGTCCCCTTAGTTGTCATTATAGATGGTGTATTGAATTAGTTGGATTCTGAAATGTCTGCTTCATTTTGATCAATGTGTATTGAATTAGTTCTATACATTCCATTGGCTTTGTAATTTTTCGGTGTTGAAAGAATAAAGTTAATCGATCGTATGATATTGTCTCAAACTCTCCAGTCTCCACTCTTCTATCAGTCCTCCCTTCAAAATCCTTCTGAAAGCTGTCCAATATCGCATATAAGCGAATGCCTTTCTTTGATATGATGTTCAAGCACGATCTGTCGTCTGTTTTCTTGTATCTTATGTTTGCATTTGCGCATGGCACTTTAACCTATCAAGTTTTACCTGGATCTCTTGTCTTCCTTGTAAGCTTATGTTTTTACCCAGTATTTCGATTTAGTAACTACTCGAACCCAAGTAAATTTTTTCTTTCCCCTGCTTACACCGTTGCAAAATTGGTCTCCTGAATCATGACAGCGCTGTGCCGTATTGTTCTTGAAGAAAGAAAGCTACCGCAGTACGAATGCCCGCAAACCATGTGTGCTTCCCTTTAACCCAAGCAAAACATAATCACAGAGTCTGTTGTTCTTTTCATCGAAGTCTACAACGACCCTAGTAGTAGTAGTTAACCTTAAACAAAGGCAGATGGCAGAACCTGAGTGGCTCCACGCCTCCAGCTTAACTAGGTTGGGGGATGATTTTCTTTGAAGGGAGGGTAACAGATCTTTCGAGTGAACTGCAATTCAGGACCCAAGCAATGCCCATAAACGGAAACTTTTACGGTCTAAATGATCATTTTGGGGGTGTATTTTAGAATACTTATATATAGTCTTCCTCTGTTCTATGTTTCTTCCTCCACATTGCCCCTCAAAAATGAAGCAGCTGCAGCAGATTGGAGTCCTTGTCTCCTTCATATTCTCCATCCAATTGCACCTCCTTGGTAACTGATTGTGCTGGACAGTTTGTATCTTTATAATTGTGTTGATGCATTGATTCACTTGCTAGCTAATATTAGTTTCGTTCTAACTAAATTGGTCATTAATCTACAGGGGTAGCATTGGGTCACCAAGTCACATTTTATGTACACAACAAATGCCCCTTCCCAATCTGGCCAGCCACAGCCTCCAACACCGGTCACCCAATCATCGCCGACGGCGGATTCTACCTCCCGTCCGGTTCAACCCAACGCATAATCGCCCCGTGGGACTGGTCGGGCCGAATCTGGGCTCGAACCGGTTGCAACTTCCACCCCACACCCACCACCTCCAAGAATCGGACCAATTGGCAACCCGCCTGCGAAACAGGAGACTGCGACGGCCGGCTCCAATGTAACGGCCTGATCGGAACCCCTCCGGCGACCCTCGTCGAAATCACCCTCCAAGGCTACAAGGCCAGCCCGAATTACTACGACGTCAGCCTCGTCGACGGCTACAATCTCCCCGTAGCCGTCATGAGCAAACCCATCTCCTCCAAGTGCTCGATCGGCGGGTGCGTCAGGAACCTGAACGATTGCTGCCCGCCGGAGCTCCAGGTGCTGAGCCGGGATGGGTCGGGTCGGGTCGTGGCCTGCAAGAGCGCTTGCACGGCGTTCAACAACGACGCGTTCTGCTGCCGGAATGAGTACGGCACGCCGGCCAAGTGCCGGCCGAGCGTTTACTCGAGGCTGTTCAAGGATGTTTGCCCGAGTTATTATAGCTACGCGTTTGATTCGCCGCCGCCGCTGGTGAAATGTGACGCCAAGGAGTATGTGGTCACGTTTTGCCCTGCGTCGTGGGGCAGCGACGAGCTGCAAGAGATGTGAGATTATCTGTGGGAATGGGAAATAAGGGCAGAGTATGATTTGTGAAAGGCAAATTGCTGTATATATGGTAAAAAATGCATATAATATACTTGAGATTGGGGGTTTAAATAAGGCTTTGTAGTGGAATTATGTCAACAAGGATATTGGAGATGGTGGGGGTAATATGTAGATCACAATGTGCAACACCAAGCTACCTTCTTATAATTATTCTACTGGTAAATTAACTAAATTCAATATATTATTTTTTAAATTTGAGTTAATACCTAATGGAATAGGTATTTGTAGTATTCGGACTAATCGGATTGGGTAATGCATGAAACATAATGAATTTTATTAAGTATGGATAAACTCGAACTCGAATATAGCAGGTGATGAATGGGCATGGTTTTCTCACTATCCTATTCGAACCCACCTGATTATACAATGCATATATATTTTATTTGGGCATGATCATTATTTTCTAAACATATTTAATATTTATCATAAATATATAATGTTTGCATGAAATTGTATTGTTTTTAACTCATTTTCTTCGTCCTAGTTATTTACCATTGTAATTTTCATTTGTGTAATGTCGATGTATGTTTAATTGTTAACATGTTGGTTGAAGTTATAAAGAGAAATTATTATTTCCGAATAACCGTGGATACCAAAAACTCGACTGAATAGGAGTATTGTTTCGATATTCTGACTGATTCTTATATGAGTATGAGTAAAATTCAAACTATTTTAAACAGAGTAACGAATATGCATTATCCAATACCAATCCGACTCAGTTGCCATCTCTAATAGTCGTGACATGCGGATCATGAATACTACTTTCGCTCCACTTTCATTCTGGACTAGTTTTGAGGTGATTTGCTTTAATATCTACCGTATGAGGAATTCTGTGGTGCCGCCACGGTACCAGTGCCGTCATATGATTCTGGCCGGTTCAAATAGGTTTGCAATGGTTGAAGTGGTCTGGCGGGTTATCATTTGGGTGGGTCAGATTTAATTATTAAATTAATGAGAAATTTAAAAAATAAAACAAAATCAACGGAAAAGCCCCATCGTCTCTTCCGTTCCTCCTTCTCACTCCCTTTCTTTTTTCTTGGTCCCGTGAAGTGCCAAGGAAGACCAAATTCGCACCAGCAAGCAATCCCACCAAAAAATTGCTCTAGGTACGATCATCGCTATCAATATCTCGAACCCACAGTCAGCGGAAATCACCACCGTCATGAATCCGATTGTCGCCGCCTGTTCATCTCCACCAACATCTGTGTCGACGTCGCGGCAATCCAGCACCAACATCGATGTTGCCTCCGATCGATCATGACTAATCAGATCCAGAAAACAGCCATTCAAAATCACGACCGTCATCAGCCCCGAAATCCCGACACCCTCGAAATCGCCATAGTCGTCAAGACTCCTCCCCTCTCGTTTTAACCACCGCCGATTCAATTTCCCCATCCATGGCTACACAATTCCTGAACCACCTTCCGTCCGTCATCAAAATCGTCTGGCTGCCCTGTCATTCCCAACAACGTCCCTACCGTGACAATCGATCTGTTGCCGCTGTTCAGCCTTCAGCACGAAGATCGGCGACTCACTCGAAATACCCATTGTGGTCAGTGGCGATCAAGGGATACTTTACCTAGAATCCCCTTTGAGCTTCTATGAGATAAGTTTTCGGTATCCTTGTGATTTTGGTATTTGTTGGATATTTGCTGAACGCGTTTGATTGTTAAGTTCGGGTGAACAACATAATTTGTAGTTGGATGGTTTAAAACCTTAGAGTAGTTATCTAAATCCCTTCCCAAATCTTCTACTTAGTTATAATTTTTGTGTTCAGTTGCCGTGGATAAGTCATGTGAATAATTTTTGAATTAGAAAACTAAGAAACCCCAATAGAACTAGAACTCCTCCTTATCTCAACTAGTTATAGGTTCCTATATATATTTTGGTTTGTATTTGTATAAGTCTAGGCTTTTCAAACCAACAGAAACATCATTTGGTGCAATGGAAGGGTTCGTTCTGTGTGTATCTGATCTGGTTATTTGCTTAATGAGCTTCTCTTATGGCTCTGCCTAAATTGTTGTGTTTTTGTTGCAGCTTGGACAAGAGAACGCCGGAATCAAATGGCTCAAATGAGATTAACCAGGTAATCACTTACAATTTTCAAAATACCTTTTTGTATTTTTGGTTGTTTGTAGTGACAATTGTAGTGTCTTTGTCAAATAATTGCTTAGATGGTAGAAGTGGCGTCTGTTGAACTTGAATACCACTCTCTGTATAACTTAGGAGTCCCTCAGAGTATACCTTCGCTGAACCGTCTTCCATAAAAGAATCATCTTCCCTAACTTGGCATTCCTATTTCAGCTGACATTTCACCATATTTTCGTGATTTTGAAGTTATTTGGCCCCAGCTTTGTTCAAACCGGACGATAGCATGTGTATTTGTTAGTCTAAATTTGCTGGAGAAAACAATAATCTGGGACTCAGAACTGAAATCCCAGATAGCCTACTTTATCAAACCTATCAGCTAGTCTAAATCTGCTACTGCAGATCAAGGTCTCCTTCAAGTTGGTTATGCGGCAACATCAAAACTAAACAAATGTAATCTTATTACCTCAAATGGGTAGTTGTGCTATTTATTTCCTTGCTCAATTTTCACTCGTTTTGAATTTCATTGCTCGACCATATATGATCCTGCCCTGCTGTCTTTATGATCCTTCTGCTGCTACTGCTTGCAATTCCTGAGCTTGGATAGATAGAAGTGTATTTAATGTGTTGTTTGGTACAGCTGAAATCAATTTTAGTAATTAAAAAATTTAGGACTGAAAAATACAATAAGATACTATTACAATAAAAATCCAGCTTATAACTTAGATGCAAAGGCATAACTGTAGATGAGGAATCATATAATTTTGTCTATAGCCTTACAACTTCTCTTCTGCTTATGAGCTGCAACTCTCTGTACAACTTCCAAAGGCTGCAACCCAAATAACAATGATTGTATTCACATATCACAATTTTGCACAATCTACATCAATATTTTTGGCTTATCTTCTTTTGTTTTAAGCTGTCATCATTTGTTTTCTCATTGTGTTTTCTATCTTTCTTTCCATGTACTCCGTTTTTCATGTCTAAAAAATTGCACTCACCCACTGACCAAAAAAAAAATTCTATCCAAAAAGATTGTTAAGCAACTCTTTGATGTTTCATATGTAGATGTCAAAACTATATTCTCTTATGGAAGAGTTGAAAGTGAATCAATTAGCGTTGAAGAATGATATGGAGCAAAACATAAGCGAGTTGAGGAGATCGCTAGATTCTTTAACTGACTGGTTGATGGAGAAGTTTGCTACCATCAGACCTGGTGATCCCTGCGAAAGTGGTATGAAGCACAACAAAGACAAGGGAGTGGAGGTTATTAACATCAGCACGGATAGCTCATGCTCCTTGTCAAGAACCACTGCACCCAAGATGACAGACAAAGCTGCAAGTGCAAGGAAAAAGGTTTGGTGTACTGTCATATTTTGACATGAGTATGTTTCTATTAGTTATTTAATTGTTTTTGTTTTCAATAGGGAAAGGTTGGCGTGAAGCCGCCTGTCAAAGTGAGAAGTCCCATTTTGACAAGGAGATACAATGAAATGAGAAATAAAAGAATATATTCCATTGGGCCCTTTACAACTTCCTCTCGTGCATGCCCAATGGATCTGATTTTGATAACCCATGTGTTTGACCAGTCAAAAGATGAGTGGTATTAAATCTATCTTTTCCAATTACTTATGTTAGTATTTGTTAATGGAAGTGCCTATTATTCAAATTCTTTGTAATTGCAATTTGGTTATTGATAGTTTTTAATTTCCAGTGAGGAGCTTGTAAGATCTCCATGGTTTAATCTGAATCGGGCACAATTTAAGGGATTAGCACCAGATTTAATGTTGTCTTCTCAGGTTGTTGTAAAACTTATTTTGGATTTACAAAACTAGATAGAATAATATGCAAACAGCTTGTGTGTTTACGTGATTATGATTATATTTGGGATATTTTACAGGTTATTACCATGTGTGTGGACTTCTTAACTCTAGAAGAGTTTCGTAAGGAAAAACGTGTGCGATGGTTCTTACCACCAGCCTTTTCTGTAAGTATAAATATTTGTGATGCCTTCTGTGGTGTATTTGCATGATAATCTTGTAAACAACTATTACATCTGTGAGAATGTCTTTTAGATGTCTGTGCGTGGATATTCTGAGGAGAATATTAGACGCGTGTACTGTTCAGAAGATTTCAACGACTGTGAGAAGGTACCAATCTTGTTACGTGGTCTTAGTTGGATGTTGTAATTGGTTTATTTTTGCTCCGAGTTGTTAATTATTATATATATTTTGTAGATTTTTGTTCCCATTCTGCTGGACAATCACTTTTTTCTCAGCGTATTTGACCTTAAGAAGGAGGTCAAACAGATATGGGATTCATATCCGAACTTTCTCGATCCGGGCAGGAGGGAAGAAAAACTATCACAAGTAGTAAGTCAGTTATCTCCTAAAACTTTATATCGTTTGTGTACCTGTTTCTGTTTGGTAAACTGAGTACTCTTTGTCAAGTAGGCAAAAGCACTAGACTCCCTGGTTATGGTGAAGATTATTAAAAAGTTGGAGGTCAACTTGCTGGAATCTTTCACTACTGAAATAGTGGTTAACGCTCCACGACAGAAGAATGGGTAAGCGTACGAATTTTGTGCTCATTTTTTATGTTAGTTATATAGTAGGGTAATAACTAATAACTGTCATTTTAACTTTGACTATTGGTCCTGCAGGGTTGACTGTGGTCTTTTCGTGACGAAGTTGATGAGAAACAGTGGGTGCTTAGATGATTGTGCACGTAAAATGAAGAAGAAGGTCAGTTTCTTCCCAACTTTCTCATCTCTTGAGTTTTGATATTTTTCTTATACCTTTTGTTTTCGTTTCTACCTTCAGTTTGAGAGTCAAGATGAGAGGCTTGATCTAGCATTGTATTTGCTGAATAACAAGGAGAATGAGATTAAAGATGTGCTTCACCGGAAAGTTGTAATGGAAAGTGGTGAAGACATTGATGAAGTTGAGGGTACTGCTGAGAGGAGCGAAACACCCAAAAAAGATGGGAATTTTACTACTTATAAGCTGTAGTTGGTTTTCCTTGTTCAATAATTATAGACTCTTTAGAAGAATAAACATGGCTAGGCTATTGCGTTGGACTGTTTTTAATAATCCTGATAGTGTTTAGTTGTGGGAACGTTGTGGGTTTGAATATGGGGGACCTCGATTTGTTTTAATTCTTTACGAGAGGTTGATATGGTGTGGCTAGTGGTTTTGTTTGTGTGCTTGTTTCGTGGATGGGTACTGCTGTTTTTTCCATATTGCAGCAACTACGCATTTTGTTTTGGCTCTGTTCTTAGGCTGCTTCTTGTACTAGTTGTTTTCTGCCTACTTCATTCACTTCCTGTTTGAGGGAGCAAAGAGTTTCAGGTTATCAAAAACAAGCTCCATGTAGCAGAGTCTGGAATGATGGAGTAGAATATTGCACAAGAGATTATATCCTGGTATGAATTTTAGCTTGTCATCTCTCGTGTGTTTTTCAATAATTGGGTTATTATTAAGTTATCTTAGAATGCACATAGGTTTCGTCTTTCCTGTCATGTTATTCCTTTGCTGGTTTCTGAATTTTGGTTCGTCGTTGATGTATACTTTTTACTTATAACATGCATTGTAATGATATTGTGCAGCCGGAAAATGACAAGCACATGTATTTGGTGGTTCGGATGCCAAATACACTACTGTTACTTGTGCCGCAAGGTTTTGAAGCGTACCAGTGAGCATAACGGACCAAAGAACTGCAAGCAACATATGGTAGCATAGGCTTTGATGTTCAGTCATTACCAGATGGAGGATTCCACTCAGTTTTTATCAAAGCAGACTCAGACCAGCTAGTGTTGACGAATGTTATATTTTGATTGAGTAGTCGTTTTACACTAGTCAATCAATGTATAGAACTATCAATTTGCCTCATCAGATTAGCATGATGTGGAACCTTCACACCCATGCTTAATTGTGGAAACAAAACTCAGATCAATGGGAGGAGAATCATGGTTGTTCTGTTTTTATTGATTAGCTTGATTTACTGGAAACTTTGCTTTTGAAAATCTCTGTGTCTATTTGTCCTACTCTTCCCACGAGGTGTTTCCAGTAGGTTGTTGAGTGGACTCAATTTATCATGAAACTGTCATTATTCTGGACATCCAACGAGGGAGAAGTTTAAAGGTAGCTCACTCACGGTTAAACGAATGGGCTCCTTAGCCATTACTCAAATATCTGTATAAAAATAGAAGAGATTGCTTTCATTATGAATGGCAGGCGACCAGCCTAGTGGTTTAAGACTCTGACTTAATTGACAATTGTGAATACCTACATTGATAAGGTAGTGGGTTCAATCCCCCTTGCACACTCTTTTTTTTTTCTTTATGCAAATTTGTCATTTAGAGCATCTGCAGCACTCTCAAACAAACACAGGACAGGAATGCAGACACCAAGTAGTGGCAAACCAGAATTTTTTAAACCACACCAGATCAATTTTTGCATATCCCCTTCTCTTCCTTCCATTTCTTTTCAAGTGAACCAGCAGATGAACTCTAGCCATTGAGAAGACAGTTTAGAAAAAATCAGCAAGCAGCAAGTGGTCTTCCCAGTCTTGGGTTAGCCAGTTTCACCTTACGCTGCTCATTGCCACAGAATTGGCGATCAAAACTGCAAACAATAAGAACAAACATGTACAACACCGAGATTCTATAACCAACACATGCCAACTGCACCTCCAAGCAGCCCTTAAATCTTGACAAAATGAAAAACACTGCAAAGGGATCCAACAAAAATCAAACTTGGGAAGTCCAAAGCAATAACTTTCCTTGAGATAAAAGAGAGTTATGATCGTTTTAAAAAAGAGGCTAATACCAAAAGAAACACCCTCCAACAACTAGTACAAGTCTGATTCTTTGGGGGAGGAAAACAAATACATAAAAATCTTTTCCTAGTTACTCTGGAGTCTGACTCCTTTCCGAACCGCCGTCAACAGAATCGTCTCGGTCCACACTTTCCATGAGTACTTTGTGATGGATAGCATCCCGAACTGAATTCTTCTCATGGTTCAGTAGATACAATGCTAAATCAAGCCTCTCCTCGTGTGAGTCAAACTGAAAATGTAAATGAAATGCATAAGAAAATAACTAAAACACTTTAACTACAATAATAACAAGATAAGGGCTAGCAACCACCTTCTTTCTCATTGCCCGTGCAGACTGATCCATATAGCCACCAGATCGCAGCAACTTCAAGACGAAGACCCCACAATCAAAGCTGCCCCAAAACATTAAAAACAAAAATGAAATCAAAGAGCTCATTCCAAACAAAACAAGTCATCGGTTACAAAATCAATAACCTTACCCATTCTTCTGTCTTGGGGAATTAACAACCTCTTCTATGGTGAAAGTGGACAGCATACTGTATTCAAAACGATTAAAAACTGACTCCAAAAAGATTGAGTCCAGTTCTTTCGCCTACATGAAGCACAAGATTTGTCGGCATATGTACGAAATTGAATAACTAAGTATGTTTGATCATATACTGAACATGACTTACGATCTGTAACACTTTTTCGTTCCTCCTAACTGAATCCAGATAGTTTGGAAGTGAATCCCAGATATCTATCACCTCTTTCTTCAGGTCAAAAACACATAGAAAGATGTGGTTGTCCAGCAGAACAGGGACGAAAATCTGACATGTACACATATTACGTAAGACTCAACAGAAATGCTATCAGGTACGCTATTTTGAGAAGTTCCCAGCATTTACCACAAGTTACCTTCTCACAATCATTGAATTCCTCAGAACCGTATACGGTTTTCATTGTTTTCCTAGACGCAGCAAAGACACGATCCCCAGTAGCACTGTACACCTGAAAGTATAAATATATCAAATCATAAGTAGTTAAACAACTGGTTCACTCTTTTTATACCTTCATAAGATTGCATATAACTAGTTCTAACAATAACTAGTTAAGTATGAGACTTATTGGACAGCAACAGCCATAAAACCTTTCACATTAGTTAACAAGATCCACAAGTAACGACAATTGAGTACAGTTTGGCATCATTACTAAATCATTCAAAAGGGCGAAAGTTTTAACGAATCAAAAGTTATCATATTCACTACAGACTATAACCTGTTTTGCCGCCTCCATGATCAATGCTACCAAAATATGCCGAATAGGACAGTATAAAAGTAATGAACTTACAGCAAATGCAGGAGGTAGGAACCAATTCACACGTTTGTCATTATGCATCTCCAGCACCGTTAACAGGTCAACGCACATAGTGATGACCTGCACAAATATATAAACCAAAAAGTATATTATGTAAAAAGGCTTGCTCGTTAACTATGCCCATTTATAAAGGCAAGATGAGTTGTATACGAACCTTGGTTGACAATGGTATTTCTGGCTGTAAGACAGTAACCTCTTCACGGTTCAAATGAAACCATGGAGACTTGACAAACACCTCACTACAACCAACAAAATAGACAATTCAATCTTTCACAGTGCCCTTAATTTTTGAAAAAAATGAATTCTACTAAAGTAATTACAATAAAACAAAGTTATTTAAATACCTTGCATTATTAGTCGGATAAAAAACGTGGTTGATCAACTTCCGATCTATTTCTGATAGGGCCTTCGTAGTGATGAAGAGGCCAACCACCTGCATTTTGCCGTCTCTCCTCTCCGTATATTGACGGGTCCTAATAGGACTCCGCAACTTAATTGGAGACCTCATAAAACCTTTCCCCTATCATTTAACAATTGTATTAAAATCCGTATACCAAAAAGAAAAGCAAATAATACAGAAACAGAAGAGGGAGGAGACTACACAACCTTTCTCCTTGATGCTGTGTTTGTCGCATTATTTTTACTCCTTGTTGCCAATGAGGAGCTATCAGAACTTATGTTCAACACTTCAACCACATCGTCATTCTTCTTCCCCCTGCCATTTTCACAGTTCTGATCCGACCTCCCAATCAGCAGGTCCCATATCGAATGTAGTGTTGTCTTAATGTCGTTCATATCAACCTTCAATTCCCTTTTCATAGATAGCTGACATTCTCCCAAGTCAGCCAGAAGGGAATGTAGGTTTCTGATCTGCATAAGAAAGACCAAGAGTGTTAGGTTCCTGAAATACTTCACAAAAGAATTGTGGACATTGTAAGACAAACTTTACCTCAATCGATTCTGCCGCTGTCCGGTCTAACCTGAACATAACATAAACAAAAAAGTAGTGTCAGCAGGTTCGATAAGACTGAAGAAGAAAGGCATCGGGAAAAATAGAAACTACCCTTCCATGACACCAATTCCTAGTATGCTTCTCAACCAAAATACGAAGATTAATTCACTAGGATGAGTTGCTTATATAGAAAAACGTGTATAGAGAGGAGATGAACAAACAAGAGGACTCTTTGAAAATCTTCTGTTGTGATCTGTTAGGTTTTACAATTAAAAATAAATAAATAAATAAGCTTCCTACCTTCTCAAAACTTCTTACTTACCATAATACGTGGGCATCAAAATCCCAATTTTATTAACTCTCAAATCTATAGAATGAAAAAAATCATAAGTTAGGTTGTGTTCGTCATACCTTGTCTGCAGCTGGGAAGCCTGCATCAGTCTCCATGGTCTCCAAACTGACTTTGATCTCAACCGGCTTGGCTTCTCCCATAATGGTCTGTAATTGCTCGGAGCATTCAAATTTATCTGCCACTAATGCTTCTTCGGCGGCTAAATCTTGGCCACTGATGCAAGCTGGCACTACCGTATCAAATTGCACATGAGGACTTCTCAAACGAGAGTATTGCTTTTGAGATTGCAGGCCTCTAAATGTGAATGGAAGCAGGTTCAGAACAAAGGGGAAACTGATATGGCCCTGAAACAAACACAATGAATTGAAGTATTTAACTGATAAACTCTAATCAAGCAAACAAGTAAAAGTTGACACACTGGGCAATTCGAGTACCTGAAGTTTGATAGGCTCACCAAAGTGATTAGCCGAAGCACGTTGTAGATGAATGCATAGGATCTGGTTAACACTCATATAGTTAGCTTGCATAACTAACATGAAGATTTAAAAGCCCTATTGCATTTATGTCACAACATAGATATTGAATGATGTATGGCATGCTAACGTTTAGTCAAGATTTGGTAATCAAGGCTATCAATATACAATCATGGAGAGGCAGGGTCCGAGCCCAGGCCCAGGCCCAGGCCCATTGGATCGGATCATTCTTTAAAACATAAAAGGTAGGTACGCTTTATTGGCCAAAAACGCTGGTTACTGTAGATTATTTTGTCGTTTTCTGTGTACACCCTCTCAGCAACCTCTTCTAACTTCACCTTGCAGCGACGAGCTCTTACTTTCGGAATCGCTACCGCCTACCAGCCTCGACAGATGAAACCTTCCCCTTCCCTGTCCACTCTACCATGCTTTCCGTACATCAAGCCCATGTCTATACTTTTGGAGTCGAAAATCTGGAAGGGCACGCTTCCCGTCAGTTCGTCACTCCGATTTGCCTTTCCCGTACATCCAAACCATGTCTTTCTTCTGCTTCTACAGTGTTGTTCTTTCCCCACAAGTTTGCTACGATTGTACTTGGTGGGAGACAAATGGTTCCCCCTCTTTCCCCCTCCATAATCCCCTTCTTCTCTCTTCCAACGAAACCCTAAAAGTTTCCTCGCTGTTGGTAGCCGTGCAATCCGAACCCGGAAGCGGAGGAAGACGAAATCGATTTGAGACAGGAGGACCAACGGCGGTGGAAAATCGCCTGTGACGGTGAGCTCTTATTTCTCAGTCTTCTTTGTTGATATTTGAAATTCACCTTCTAGATTTTGGACTCTTGCTGCAGAATACGGCGGTAGCAATTAAGATTCCGATGACATGGTTTCGTCGAGTTCATACTCGAGCCCTATCCATGGGTAGGAACAACGGAAACTGACGATGGTGGTGATGATGGACAAGCAGGAGGAATGGGTGCCAGTTGGTGGAACCGCCGATGTGGTGAGCTCTATTTTCTCTTTTGTTCACCGGTTGATCTTCCTCCTACCGCAACCCCAAAAAATGAACTTGCTTCTCACTTCACTTGATTTTACTGTTGCAGGCACATGCTAACCATGGAGCAGCAGCAAAAACAAGGTCCCATTCACCATCAATGCCAGACCATCTTCAGGTTAGGAAGGATTTTCTGGGATAAGCAAAAACCAAAGAGTAAAGAGCTAGGAGGACTTTAGAACATACATTTCTGACTGAAAGCACTTACAAGTTTTGATCTTTAAGAGGGGTAGAGCTAAGAATCTGATACTGTGGGATTACCAGATGGGCAATGCTAACAAGAGATAAGGTGAGAGATGGCAAGAAGGTGACGAAATTGCCACTTGAGACTGAAACCAACCTAATCTGAGTTACTACTGAAAATCAATTTAATATTTCTGTTTTGTTCTTCAATCTGTTCCTCTTTGTTGTTCTGAAATTCTCAATTTGTTCCTGTTCGCTTTGGTTCGGAGAAGAGCAATTGAATTTATGTTTTGCTTTCTAATCTCCCTTTGTTTGTGTTTATGATGGGTCAAGAAATTATTTTATTGTTAGCACAAAAGAATTGCTACCAAGGGCTCAAAATTTCGAGTTACACAAACATACTGCTTGATTTCACATTCATGTTTAGGAAGCAGTGTTTTTTACTGTCAGAATCCTTCGGTTTCAAGTTTTTATTTCTATTTTTTTGTGCTGCTGCACTTTTTTGCCTGCTGTTGTGATGCTGCTTCTGCAAGTTCCATTTAACTTGGCAGCTTCAACACATTATGCCATTTAACTTCGTTGCTCAAAGTTTTAGAACCTTTCATTGATTGTGATTCCCAAGTTTGTTTCCTTCCCCTCTCATCTCTGGACTTTTCATCCTCCACATGATACTAATTATATTTACCATCATCTGCTTTCACAGGTTGATGTACATTGATTGTAAAAGAAGAAACCATCCCATGAGCTTTAGTTCTCGCTGCTTTAGGTCCCTGTTCTCAACTATTTCCATAAAAAAGAAATGTTCCATCAAGAAGGAGACTGTAATCGTAAAAAATGAATGGTAAGTTGCCTTTCTGTTTTGTTTCTGCCGGTTCTCTGTTTTACGTGTATCAATCATGCTAAGTAGGATTCGTACGGGTGTTTCCGTAAAACACTTTGATGGTTATACTTGAACTGCTTCTCTTCGACTGTTTGTATGGGTTTGCTGCTGATTGTTCCGTAGAAGTTGTAGTAGTTGTAGTAGTTGTGGGTTTGCAGTTTAGAGTGACTTACATTCATGGCCACCTTCAAGTTTGATGAATGTTTTCTACCCTGGTTTTGCCTACTCTTTTCCTTACCCTCAATGCTTTGTTTGCATGGAATTCACATGCATCGAACGCATATGCTTCTGCAACTCACATTGCAATGTCACCAACAGTTCCACAGGCTCAAGCCCATACGGACTGCGGAGATAGTAGCTGAAGACGAAGTTAGTCACCAATGGTAGGCTAAAGGAAGTTAGTGGAGAAGCGAATTACTGCTAACTGGCATACCCCATATCCTGAAAATTTTATTCTCTTACCATAATCATTATAACAACTTCATTGGACCTTCAGTGGCTTCATTATAAGTTGTTGATGCAAACTCAGTTGTATGGGTTCGCTCGCATGCTAATTATCCTTTTTACCTACCTTCCACATTTCGAGGGTAACCCTGTTGCCAATTTAATCAACAGCCGCTGCAAGAAGACTTTGCTGGTGTTGTTTTTGTCATTTTCCTCTTCTGTGCTTCACTTGGTTAATCATAACTCGAATTTAGTTCATCAGTTGTGCTTAGAAACTTCAATGAATAGTATAATTCTGACCTCACCAGTGTTCCTTTCTCACCTGCATGTGACTTTGATGATTCATTTGTCAGCCACGCATTTGTTATGGTGAATTCTGAACCTCTACTTTTATGCAGTTTGAATGCTCCACTAGCAGAGATCAACATGGCAGGTACACCATTAAGTAACAAGAATAGGGAGAAAACTATTGATGCTACCAGTATAGACTCTCATCAACTTCTACCATGGTATGTTTCTTCTTGCCTTCCTTTTTGTCCAGATTTTGTTGGCACCGCACTCAGCATAATCAGTTTGGTGTTTTTATTGTACTCTTATTTTCTTGCACTGATTAACTTAGTGACTATAACGGCTCTGCTTCCACTGGATTGGGAACAACAACTTGCATCAGAAACCATCGCTTGCTTCAGCTCTGGCCAAAACCATCTCACCTTCTGTGTTGCCCGTCAACCTGTAAATTCCTTTGTCACTATTGCCTACACTAACCTTCCTTTGAGTTACATGTTCACTGGTTGCATCACTGTGCTTCTGATCACAACTCAAACATTTCCATGTACATATTATAACGATACTATACAAACCAGCAATGCAAAAGCTTACAACATTTCCACCAAATTATGTACAGGTTTCATATCGATATCGAAAGTGATGACATCTCAATCTCATGCATTCTCCTCTTCAACAACAATGTCGCTACGCTACCTCAACTCTGTCATGGGAAAGAAGTTTACCGTCAAAATTGAACTGGACAAGACACAAAGATTGACAATTCCGTATTTTAGTCATCATCGTATGGAATCCACTTGCCTTTAGACTTGAGACTCATTAAGACTCTACCTCATATTTAATGATGTCGAGACATTTATTCATATATTGTGTTTTCTTAGACACTATGTTGTAATGGTACTTGATGACATATTTTACTTAAGTTAACTAAGTGGAGTTTGCTTATTTGGATTTGACAAGTTTAACTCTTTCAATCATACTGCAACAAGTTGTTTAGGAGTTGTTTAGTTCTCGCGGCGTAGCCGCGGGTATTGATTCTAGTGAATGTTAACAGTTAACGTGCTATAACAGCTTCTTCTCATCAATTTGAAGGAGCCATAAAAGTGCCGCCATAATCACCAAACCCAGAAAAGGGGAATCCTTCACACCTTCTGTACACAGCAATCATCCCACTAAAACTTGCTCTATCAATAGAAGAAAAGTCAATTAGATTGATTAGTCCATTCAATGCACCATGGTAGATTGCCTTGGGTTTCTGAAAACTGCAATTTCTTAAACAAAAAGAGTCAAACAAATTCCCTCAATCCCATGTGCCTCACCTTCTTGCTCTGCAAGAACTCGAGGAGATCCGCCATTAATGGCGGACCAAAGCAAGCAAGCAAGAAGAAGAAAAAGGGACAAAAAAGACGCAAAGTGAACCTTTGACAAATACCCCATTCTTCCCCCACCCTCAATTAATCCCTGGGTGCCAAAATCATTCGTTCTCCATACCAAAGCCATGGGCTTGAAGCACCATAGCTCGAGACCCACTTACGTTTCATCATCTCCTCGCCACAATCGAATCCCCATGAAATTCTCCAAATTCATCACCTGGGCAGCCATTTTCTTCACTTCCCTCTTCCTATTCCTCTCCCCACTTACCCAATTCCACTCCCGCTCCTCCTCCTTTTCTTCCCTCCCCTCCGCCGCAAAACCCTTCTCCGGCGACCTCCGCGACGCCAACTTCCCCTGGAACAAGCTCTGTTTCGGCCCCACCACCACATCCGACAAGCTCAAGCTCGCCGTCTTCTCCAAGACGTGGCCGATCGGCGCCAACCCGGGCGGAATGGAGCGCCACGCCGCCACCCTCTACCGCGCCCTCGCCGACAAGGGCCACGAGATCCACGTCTTCACCGTCCCTTCCGACCGCCGCCCGCACCCTGAAATCCACGACAACAACCTCCACGTCTACTTCGCCGCCAACGACCACGGATCCGTCAACTGCTCCCTCGCCTTCGAGATCTTCCACAAAATCAACGCCGCCGCTCGCCCCTTCGACTACGTCCACACGGAGAGCGTCTCGCTGCCGCACTGGCGCGCCAAGGCGGTGCCCAACACGGCCGTGACGTGGCACGGGATCTGGTACGAGATCATGCACTCCAAGCTGTTCGAGGAGCTGTTTGAGAACCCCAGAGGGGAATTGGGGGCGGGGGCGACCCCGGCGGCGGCGGAGCTTGCGGTGGCCATGCCGAAGCTTCTGGACGAGATCAGGTTTTTCAGGAGCTACAAGCAGCACATCTGTATCAGTAATAGCGCCGGCGAGGTGCTGGTGAAGATTTACCAGCTGCCGCAGAGGAATGTCCATGTCATTCTCAATGGAGTGGATGATTCCAAATTTGCTTACAATCCTGATGCAGGGGAGGAATTCAGGGAGAAATACGGCATTCCAGGTGGGCAATTCGTATAAATTTGGTACCAAATTTGTCATTATAACACTTTGGCACAATTAACCTTGTCCCTAATGTCAAGTTCAGTGTCACATACTAATCAACACATTTCATCATGGTTGTTCATCCTATGAAAATTTTCAGGCAATGCTACTCTGGTAATGGGAGTGGCAGGCAGGCTGGTTCGGGACAAAGGCCACCCGATTCTCCACGAGGCAATGTCGTCGCTGATCTCAAGGTACCCCGGAATCTGCCTGGTGGTGGCCGGATCAGGCCCCTGGGGAAGAAGGTACGCCGAGCTGGGTCCAAACGTGAAGGTCCTAGGCGCACTGGAACCATCTCAGCTGTCACAGTTCTACAACGCGATCGACGTGTTCGTGAACCCTACGATGAGGCCGCAGGGGCTGGACCTGACTCTGATCGAAGCAATGCACTGCGGGAAGCCCGTCGTGACGCCCAATTATCCCAGCATTACCGGCACGGTGGTGGTGGACGACCGGTTCGGGTACACGTTCTCGCCGAACGTGAAGTCGCTGGTGGAGGCTCTGGAGGTGGTGATTGGAGACGGGGTTCGTGTGTTGCAGAGGAAGGGGATGGCGTGCAGGGATTATGCTGGGTCGATGTTTACCGCCGGGAAGATGGCGGCTGCTTATGAAAGGTTTTTTCTTTGTATGAAGAATAGTAGATACTGTCAATACCCTCTTCCCACTGACTGTTGATAGGAGAAAACCCATCAAGGATGTTATATATGGCCCTTTGGTTGCATTCTTTGTAGGAAGATTCAGATTAATTAAGCTTTACTTTCTCTCTTTGGATTGTGATGTCTTGATTTGATCATGATTTCATCATCACGATGAAGGTTTCAAATCATAAAGAAATAATTGGGGAAGGCTAGACGAATCATTAAGCTAGTGCTTAAGTCATAATCGTTCAGAGGGAAAGGTGATTACGCGGCCTTAATCACGCGTTACCATTTTGACATGTGCACTGGTAATCAAGGGGTGGTTAATTACTTAATGGGCCATTGAGCCTTGGGTAATATCAATTGATTAACAATCAACAATCACCCCAACCATTAGTAACATGATCCACCCGGTAATTAAGTCTAGTCTTGTAAAATTTTCCTGAAATCATGCAAAAACAAAAGGACTGAAATGCAAAAATTGGAACGCTCTGGTCTAGTCTTTCTCCTCTACAACTAGGGCTGGGCATGCGGGCGGATCATCCGCGGGTTTGGGCCGACCCACTCGCATTTGACCCGAATTTCGTTAAGTGGGTGGGTTTGTGGGTGGGTGACGGGTTGCGTTGGGAGCCATCCGCCGGGTGGTGGGTGGGTTGTGGGTGAGTGTGCGGGTGACCCACTCAACCCAACATCAAAAAGATCAAAGTCGTTGGCGCTAGAGAGAGGAGAGTGGAGACGTTAGATATAAACTCGAACTGCTCCTGGAGTTTGAACCTCAAAGCCAACCTTCCAAATAGAGATCCCCTCTTCTTCCCTTTACTTTTTCCTCTAATTCTTGTGCCTAGATCACCGCTCTTTCCTTTGTGGAATTATATTCCTTAGTTCTTTGCACCTAATAATCGTCTCAATCTGTAGAAAACTCTTTCATAATAGAATTTCTATCCAATTTAAAAACTAATTCGACATTTTCGCCCTATTTCAACTACTTGTTTCCCTCGATGATTATCTTCACCTATTATCATGTCAAGTGGACTCCTTTATATTATATACATTGTGATGTGGGTGAACCCACAAACCCACCCGCATCATCCACCATCCGCCCGACCCAACCCGAGACTAAATGTGGGTGGGTGGTGGGTTAAAAATTATCAATCCATTTAAGCGCGGGTGGGTGCATTTTATGATCAAAATCCACCCGACCCACCCAATGCCCACCCCTATCTACAACTAACATAATTGGACCGTTTGTCCCGTTTGCATAAAATTATTATTTGATATGGATGATTCCAAAATACCTACTATGTAGACTTTCTTACCTTAAGAGGGACCCAAATCCCCTGCGTGGCTCCCAAGTTTCATTTTATAAGCCAAGAAAACTGTAAACAAACAGCAGCCGACTACAGAGCATCCATGGTGGAATTTGCTTCTCCACTCTGCTCTTCCCATACTACATAAACACCTTCCATTTCAACTAACCAGAGCTCCACAACAACAACCCACTTCCCCAAAATGGCCACCGGAGGAGGAGGAGATCAGACATGGTGGGCCAGCTTAGGCTCAGCCCTCACCGGCCTGATGTTCATCTACGCCATGTTCCAGCAGTACTTCCCATACGAACTCCGTGGCCACGCCCACAAGTACACCCAGAAGCTCGTCACCTACTTCTACCCTTACATCCAGATCACCTTCCACGAGCTCACCGGCGAGAAGCTGAAGCGCAGCGACGCCTACTTCGCCATCCAGAACTACCTCGCCGACCACACCACCGCCACGGCCAAGCGCCTGAAGGCCGACGTGGTGAAGGGCAGCAAGTCCCTCGTCCTCACAATGGACGACCACGAGCAGGTGATGGAGGAGTTCCAAGGGATCAAAATCTGGTGGAGTTCCAACAAGAACACCCCCAAAAGGCCGTCCTTCTCGTTCTACCCGAAGACAGAGGAGAGGAGGTACTATACTCTGACCTTCCACAAGAGGTACAGAGACGCCATTACCAAATCGTACATCGACAAGGTTTTGAAGGACGGGAAGGCGATTGCGGTGAGGAACAGGGAGAGGAAGCTTTATACTAACAATCCTAGCGACAGTTGGTACGAATACCAGTCGACGAAGTGGAGCCATGTCCAGTTCGAGCACCCTGCAAATTTCGAGACTCTGGCTATGGCGGAGAACGAGAAGGAGGCGGTCAAGAATGATCTGATCAAGTTCAGTAAAGGGAAGGAGTATTATACTAAGATCGGGAAGCCATGGAAGAGGGGCTACCTTCTGTATGGCCCGCCTGGAACTGGGAAATCGACGATGATTGCAGCAATGGCGAACCTGTTGGACTATGACATCTACGATCTTGAGTTGACCACGGTGAAGGACAACTCCGAGCTCAGGAAGTTGCTGATTGAGACTACCAGCAAGTCGATCATCATAATCGAGGATATCGATTGCTCGATTGATCTCACAGGGCAGAGAAGGAAGGAGAAGAAGAAGTATGAGAGCAGCAGTAGCAGTAGTGATGAAGAGAGCAGTAGTAGCGAGGAAGATGATAAGAAGAAGGATCCGGTAGAGAAGAAGAAGGAGGAGGAAGAGAAGAAGAGCAAGAAGGGGAGTAAAGTAACGTTATCGGGGCTGCTGAACTTCATCGATGGGATATGGTCTGCTTGTGGAGGGGAGAGGATCATCATCTTCACCACGAATTTCGTCGATAAGCTTGATCCAGCACTGATAAGGAGAGGGAGGATGGATCGGCACATCGAGATGTCGTACTGCTGCTTCGAGGCGTTTAAGCTGCTGGCGAGGAATTATCTGGATTTGGATGACCATGAATTGTTTGGGAGGATCGAGGTGTTGCTGGGTGAGAAGGAGATCACGCCGGCTGATGTTGCAGAGTGTTTGATGCCTAAGTCGGAGACGGAAGGTGTTGAGAGTTGTTTGAGGGAGTTGGTGAAGGTTCTGGAGAAGTTGAAGAAGAAGAAGAAGCAAGGAAAGAAGAAAGCGGAAGAAGAAGGTGAAGTGAACGGAGAGGAAAATGGTGACGGTGAAAGTGGTGAATCGTCGTCGGGGAGTGGTGAGTCATCGTCGGAAGACTATGAGGTAGCAGGGAAAGGAAGGAAGAGGAATAGTAAACGATGAAGTGTGGTAACTCTGATTGTTCAGGCGAGACTCTGAAAATTATGGGTCGTTTTGGTTAGAATTTATTAAAGTTTGGATGTGTATCTTTGATCATGGAGGCTAGATTCATTTCATGAACCAAGTCACTGATCTCTGTTTAGATGAAAGAAATAAAACAGGACTGTTGTTGTTGCTCTATCTAGTAACTCTAGTTTCTCTGTTGATCATTCTACAATAGAGTTTTTGTTGAGACTAGCGATTCAGAGAATAATAACAAGACTACAGAAGAGAGCGATAACTAAATTGTAACAAGGTAAAACGATTCGAGATTTGATCATGAGGGTTTTGGCTAGAAGTGTATACCAATTGGTCCAATTGCAAACCGATCGGCTTTTAGACCAAACCGGATTGGACCATGTGACCATATGCTGTCCTTGGCAAAATGCAATTCTAACAAATGGAAGCCATGCCAACAACGTCTATGATTGTTACCGTGATACTACAGTTATCACTTGTTCACAAAACAGAGCAGAGTACTAAGAAAATACAATTCCTATGATGATGAATGAAAGTATGAAACAGAGCATAACATTCTGGTGGCTTTTCCATCTCTGACAAATATTCGCAGCCACAAACATTTCATGCTCTTGACCTCTTAACATGGCACAAAACTACAAACACCTTCAAGAAGATCACCAGAATTCACTTACCACTAAACCAGAAAGAAACCATTGCAGAGAAATAAAGATCAAGACTTGCAAAGATGTTGGGCCAACTGACCTCGTTCCTCCCGAGTCTCTTCTTCCTCTGCACAATGTTCCAGAGAAACCTTCCCCGCGACTTCCAGAACCACATCGGCAAGTTCCTCCAAAAGTCCATCTTCGCCTTCCTCTACCCGTACATCCAGATCACCTTCCACGAGTACTCCGACGACTTCTACTACCGGCGCAACACCGCCTACGCCGCCATCGACAACTACCTCAGCTCCAAGTCCATCCAGCAGTCCACGTCCCTGAAGGCCGACTCCTACAAGGGAAACAAGAACAAGCTGCTGTTAACCATCGAAGACCACCAGGAGGTCTCCGACACCTTCGCCGGCGTCACCCTCGTCTGGTCCAAGGAGAGCTCAAAGCAGAAACACAGCTACTCCGGCAAGGACAAGGTCTACAAGCTGACGTTCAACAGAAAGCACAGGGATCTCGTCACCGGGACTTACCTGAAGCACGTCGTCGACGAAGGCAACGCCATCTCGCAGCAACACAGGCAGAGGAAGCTTTACGCCAACGGGTCGAAGAAGTCGTATACGGGTTCCAGTACGGCGTCGTGGAGCCATATTGTGTTCAAGCACCCGGCGTCGTTTGACACTCTGGCGATTGATCCGGCGAGGAAGAGGGAGATCATGGATGATTTGCTGGCATTTAGCAAGTCGGAGGAGTACTATGCGAGGATTGGGAAGGCGTGGAAGAGGGGTTACCTTCTCTATGGCCCGCCGGGGACTGGGAAGACCACCATGATTGCTGCTATAGCGAACTTCTTGAGCTATGATATCTATGACCTGGAGCTGACTGCGGTGAAGGATAATTCGGATTTGAGGAAGCTGCTGATTGAGATATCGAGTAAGGCGGTTGTTGTAATAGAGGATATTGACTGTTCGCTTGAGATTACAGGTCAAAGGAAGAAGAAGAAGAAAGCTAAGAAGAAGACTACAAAGAAGGGTGAGAGTGAAGAGGAGAAGGAAGGTGAAGATGGTAACGGTGATGAGGAGGTGGAGAGTGAAGATGAGACTGAGAGCAGCAGCAAGGTGACACTTTCTGGGTTGTTGAATATCATTGATGGGATTTGGTCAGCCAGTGGAGGGGAGAGGGTTATAATATTCACGACCAACCATGTGGAGAAGCTGGATGAGGCATTGATCAGGAAGGGAAGGATGGACAAGCATATCGAGCTTTCTTACTGCGATTTCGAAGGATTTAAGGTGCTTGCTAAGAACTACCTTAGTATTGAGACTCACCCGCTGTTTGAGGTCGTTCGAGGCCTGCTGGAGAAGACCAAGGTTAGCCCCGCTGATGTAGCTGAGAGTCTGATGCAGAAGGCTGTGGAAGAAGATGCAGATATTTGCTTGAACAGGTTGATTCGGGACCTCGAGAGTAAGTCTGCCAAGGAAGGAGAACAGAGTAAGGAAGCATAAGTGCAGAACAAGTGAACGAAGCAGAGAAAGAAGAAAGGAAAGATTGAATGAAGGGAAATAATGGGTGGATAAGTTTGGGTTAGTTGTTTGGAATTTGAGGTTTCTTATTATGTTTAGCGTTAATCATGTGTCAGTGTTTTGGAACTACAAATAGACCTACTGGATCAGTGGATTGTTTATTTAGGTTCTTCTAGTGAACTAAAATTCCATCATTATCTTCTTCGGCTATGGCTGTTAAGCCTAAAAGGCAGGAAGGTAGTCAGTAGGAGATTGTCATAAAATCGGGGATTTATCCTGCTGTTAGTAGGAAACTAGAATCAATACCCACGGCTACGCCGCGGGACATTTAGGCACAATTGACATCTTCAAAAGTAGTATATTTATAAAGAAAATAATTAGAAATTATAAAGCAAGTAATTTTTTGTTCAATAGATTTCTTGTTATGCAAGACAATCTACAATCATCTCATAATGTTATTTACAAAACATAAGTTCAAAAGAGTTACCTTAAAGTCCATCTAAACTATTCATTAGCTTTGTAAGTTCTATATCAAACCTATCCCAAAGAGGCAAATACATACTTGTTTACAGATGAGAATCATTATTTCGTACATAAAATCAATCCATATCCCTTTTGATAAAATTCGAGCAATCCTTTTACAAAAGAGAAGATGTTATCAATTCATCATCTATCCATACCCAACAAAACTAAAGTAATTTTATAAATATGTAGGAGGAACTCACTATAGTTCTCTTCATCCTAAAGAAAATTACAATAGTGGAAGTAAACGAATAAGAGGTGAACTCTCAATCTGTCACTATGGTATTAAAAGAAATCTTAGTCATTTATATAAATCAATGCTTAATGAAGAGAACCAGCTCTTCCCTTCTAGAGTCCACAAAATAACACAACTCTTAGCAGATGAATCAAACTAACTAAAAGATCATAGCAAATACTGAAAGTCTAACCCACATATTATCTTAATTTAAACACTCCTGGTTCAGTTAGACGTTAGTCCAACAGCAGGAAAAATAATATACTCCTCCTTCTCACTTGTACTCATTCGTCAGCAAGAGCAAGCCCAGCAGCAGCTATAGTGACAACATTAGGATCTATATCTCCAACACTGCCTCCTCTCTCCTCTCTGCAATGGTACACAATTAAAATGAGATTAAAATAGAACAACATGACACAATTAATGTCCAACAGGAAATTCAAAGGGACAAAGAAACTATACCCGAGTTAAGGACACATGGTGCAGCCTGTCCACCATTGTGAAAGATTTCCCTGACATTAGCTTCGCTCTCTCCAAACCACATCGTCAAGAGCTCAATTAGTTTGCTTGGCTACTAAGTTCATTTACGAAGATACATTTGATAATGATGAACACTTCCTCGCTAGTTGCTGCAAACAAAATCAAAGCAAGGCCTAACTTTAAAACTGCACCAAATTCAAACTCCATGCAGTAGTCTTCTTCCCAACTCTCATGAACTCAGGCAGAACCGTTTTAGAGTGCTCAGACTGCTTACCTCTTGTCGTTCTCCTTCCAAAAGGCATTGGGATTGATTGATGAATGAATCTTCTCCTTTAATGAAAAATAGTTGGCACGTCATAGAGCTTCTCAAATTAGATAAATGAAGCTAACTAAACAGCAAATAACATTTGCAATCTCGCCAAAAGTGCAAGCAAGACCAACTATATATGTTCAGCGAGCAGTTTAAAGTAAGCATACCCTAGATTTGTACACATAATCAGCAAGACAAAAAGGATCAACAGGTAAAAACCTGCAAGGGCCAAATGACAAATGGTTTCCCCAGCCAAAATTCCATTCAGTTCTCTTTGTTACCCAACATTACCCCTTGACTGCCGATGTCGTCTCGACGCCTTCAAATGGCCGCAACTGCCCGCTACATATGTTGAGAGAGTGAATCTACAATTAAAAATGAATCTACTCTGCATGCCAAATGGAATTGGCAAAGAAGGAAGCAGAGTGAATCAAACTGGTAAAATTGGAGAGAAAGCCCCTCAAGGAAAGGAAGGAAAAAACTCAAAGCAAGTGCAACCAAACCAAAATGGAAACCATCAAATATGAAATACCTGTTGTGTCGATCATGTATGCCTCTTTATCTCTCGCTTGAGTTGTTTTGGAGCTGCGGTTAAAAGAGATTCACGCATACCACTTTTCTGTGAATAGAGAAGTTGCTTAGAACAGCTGCATTATAAATCAAACTGGTAAAATTGGAGAAAAGATCCCAAAAGCTAACATTAAGGGAAGGAATGAAAAACTCAAAGCAAGTGCAACCAAACCAAAATGGAAACTATCAAACATGAAATACCTACTCATGTCGATCATGTCTTCCTCTTTATCTCTCGCTTGAGTTGCTTTGGAGCTGCAATTAGAGAGTAGACTGCTGCCAACGGCTTATCTGTTACAAAGCAAACATAAATAACTCAAATTGTTAGTAGCATGAAGCAGTCGACAACCCTTTCCAGCAAGTGAAGTAAATTAGCTGACCTTGAACAATTTCAAGAGAGCTATTAAAAGCATCTTTTTTCTTAATCGACACATGTTGGATGACTTGAACCTGAACCCGACATAACAACAATAGAAAGCAAAAAGAAGCTACAAAATTGGGATAAAGAAAAAACCCTAATAAACCTTGAATTTCATATGGACACCAAAGCAAAAATAGGTTAAAGAAGTGCACCTGCCGTTGATTGTGGGCACATATTGTTTTCCTATTGTTCGATTGTTGTTCATCCACCCTCTCTGCGACCATTCCTCCTAACCTTTCAAATGTTTTAATCAAAAGTCAAATTAAAACAACACATCAACAATAACTGAGCTGAATATTAACACAACAATCACATACTTACCGATTTCATCAAATTGAAACTCAAGAACTTCTAATTTTCTTTCATAAATCATGAAAGGTTAATGCACCAAGCAAGTTTGTGTTTCCCTATTGGCTTTTGTTGAGAAAACATGCATGGTGAAGAATGTGCAGGGAGAACACTGTAGAGCAGATTCACAGCAGTAAGAAGTTTGTGTTTCCCTATTCTTGAAAAATCGGTACATAAGCATATAGCACATCCTTGTTTAGAAAATTGATCAAATAGTGAACTGGATTCAGATTAGGCAAACACACAATAAATGAAAATGTTGGAATGAAAGTTACAGTAGAACCCAAAAGCTCATATTTTAACCATTTGCAGCAACCAGTTTCATTAAACTCCCAAGCACTTCCAAGTATTTACCAATTTACAGCTTTAATTCAGAACTTGCTCATGAATCTAAGAACCAACTAACAAAAAAAAAAAAAAAAAAGCAGCAACGTGAACCAATTGCCCCTATCTAAAGAGTTTAAGCAATTACCAAGACTGAAATGGAGCTCAACAAAGCTGAATCATAGGTCCAAGGTTGCAGCAAAGTGGAAGGGGCAAATGAAAGAACGTTGAGAAAGAATTCATATCATTAACATCATTTGGAGAGAATGTAGAAAACCTGAATCTTAATCCTCCTCCACCAAGTAGCCAAAGATGAGAATAGATTGAGATGAGAGGAGTAAACTTGCATCAGCAACAGCAAGTACCCAGATTACAGTAGCTGCAAAATTATCTCATATCGAAAGCTTTGTATTTTCCATGAAACTCAACAGTTACAAAACTCAAAGAAATAAAAAGCTACGAAATAATCACATCATTCCAAAGAGAGCTGCTTACAACATGATGCTCTCAAATTCTGTCGATTCAGCTTGGGTTTTTCAAATCACCCCCATAAGTATTCTCAGCCTACATACCTGTTGGTGAACATAGCCTCTTCAGCATTAGCCAGGCACTATCTGCATCTGATCCTAACAATTCATTGCTTATTGATCAAATTCTGCAAAAAACTTTTCTCTATCATAGCAAGCTATTGCCTTCCAGAACTTTTCTTCAAAGAGCTACACAAAGAGATGGGGTGTTATCTGTAGGCAGAAACACATTTGAGGCAACGTGGCAGCGGGCAAGGGAGAAGAAGCACAGAACCGAGAAAATAGAGAACCAAAAAGTCAAGAAAGAGAAGGTCATAAAGAAGACCTACCAGGCGCAGCCGTCGTCGTTCCTTGTTCATTACCGTCGTCATCCCCAACCTTGTTTTCCTCTCTGTTTTCAAACTCGACTTCGTCTGAGTGTTCAACACAGAACCTGTTCCTAGGACGACAACGTCGTGTTCATCGGTCAAAGCTTACCTAAACAGGGGATCTATGGAAATGAGAGAGCGATGTAGCCAGAAGGATTCAGACGAAACTGGGTTCTAGAAAGGTACCTTAGAAGCCGACCACCATTATCGTTTTCGTTGCTCGTTCTTCGATCCAAAGATGGGATTGGGCTTGGGAAAGAGGAATGGCGGCTTCGGATCTTGGCGTGCCGAAGCTAGTTGCAGAGCCGATTGCCCCCATTGAAAACCACTTTGGGATGGGGAGATTTGGAGAATGGTGGTGAGAGGATAGAGTCTTAGAGGCAGAATTGACGGGTGAATGGACGTGATCTAGCAGAGGGAATCAGTGGCAATCAATTGTACCTTAATCAACCATTGAGCAAGGCTAGGGCTGTACGATTCATGGCTGGTGGCGTGTGCCAACAGATGCGGTGGCGTGTGTGAGGAAAGACGAAGACCAGAAAACTTGGGAAAGCTCAACGGCATGGCCGCCTGCCGCCTGCCGGGACTGAGGGAAGGTAAGGCAACGTTGGGCCGGGCAACGCCTCCCATGGAAGGCACTCTTTCACTCATCGCCACAAAACGACAGAAAGTGAAACAGTAAACAAAACATTGGGAGAAAAAGCGTACCTAGCTTTTATTTATTAAAGAACTTGTAGTCCTGATACTACAAGGAGAGGAAAAAGTTACCTTGTCCGTATTGGGTAAGGAATATCCTTCCTATTTACTTTTGGAAACCGGCTGATGGTACTCTATATAAACACTTCCTAACACCACTATAAGGAGTTTCTGGGGCAGAACCCCCTTAGATGCTGTTTTCCTGCGCTGTGCGCAATTCACGGAAGGAGCATTGTGTCAATTCCCCGTATAAGCCCATTGATTCCTGACGTGGCGAGGGAGATGATCGATAGTGGAACGGGAACGGGCAGGCTCCGCCGGGCCTGCTTAGTGGGATCGCGGACTTCGTGAAGTATGGCAATGGGCCGGGTAACTGGGCCGGCCCGGGAAAGGGTGACAGGTGGGTTGAAGATTATGTCGTGACGGCGGGCGAGGTTCTTGGATTACTGCGAGCTGAATCACAGCCAAGGCCCAAGAGCCAACTCACCGCTCGCGTCTCCAGCCGCCAACTCAGAGCCCTGTTAGAAATCGAACCTCACCGCGGAGACCCTCGAGCGCTCTCTTCGCCTTCCTCATCAACCGCGAGACTCAGAGCCGTGTTGGAAATCGAACCTCACCGAGACCCTCGAGCGTTCTCTTCGCCTTCCTCAGCAACTGCGGGGCCGCATCTCTGTTTTACTACGTTGTTGAGGAAGACAGCAGAGCCTGTTATTGTTCATGCTCTGCAGTACCGGCTGGGTCTTTTGTCGGGGCAGAATTGATATTTGATTGATCCATTTGGGGCGTTTTGGTTAGAGTGATTTTGTAGCTTCAAATTGATAACAATATCATCACTCGAAGACAATAGCAGCAGACCAGTCTTTCTTCCACCACTCAAAGACAATAAGTGATTTACAGTAAGGTACAACTCTAATCCTTTTTCGTTGGTGAGTTATGAAGTCATAGAACTCAAATTCCACACATATATATTACAAATCAGGTTGTAGGTTCATGTTTGTTTTCTTTGGTTCGATCACATAATTAAGACAAAGTTTGTTTATGTGAAAGGGTACAAAAGAGAGTGCTTATGGTTGTTAGGGATGACAATTTACCCACCCATGGGTAATTTTGCCCAAACCCAAGTAGACCCATTTATTATGGGTAGGGTTTGGGCGATGTGAGTATGGGTTTGGGGTTTGTATATGAGTTTGGGTTAGATATAGATATTATCTAAATGGGTATGGGTTGGATATGGATATCCATTTACTTGAGGGTGTTTTAACTACACATGCAAAAATTGGACTTATTTGTAAAACTTGAAAAGTTTAGGTACAAAAATGTAAGACCAAAAAAATTTAGGTACCAAAACGTAATTTTCCATTGATATTTTGAGGACTTATATGCAAAAAAAATTAAATTTAGGTACTAAATATGCATACCTATTAAGTTTATGTACCAAACTGTAATTTGTATTTGGGCATGGGTACAAACCCAAATCCATTTGTTATAAACCCAACCCAACCCAAAGTAAATGGGTATGGGTACAAACCCATCAAACTTTACCCATATTCATATATTTGGATTTCATACCCAACCCAATTGGATTGGATAGTAAAATATCCATGGGTATGGGCAAAATTGCCATCCTTAATGGTTGTTTATGTGAACCCTTCCTACATCAGATCAGATAAAAAGCTTTCTGTTTGCTGAATTATTCTGTTTTCTGATTGTATTTGCTGCATTTTTCTGATAAGCTGATTGTGTGTGTTGTCCATTTTGTGAACTTGCAGTCACATTAAACCGAGGTTTATTGGGTTCTCATGATTTATCTTGGGTTTAATTGAACTAAAGGGTAGCTGTAAGAAATCACTAGAGACCTTAACTAAAGAAATGCCGCTTTTTCTACCAAAACAGCATATTAAACTAATGAAGAAAGCAGGGGTCTGTAGTATTTGCCAACTTGGAGGGATCCTAAAGCACATTACCCAAACTACAATCCCTAGATTCAAACCCGTCAACACATGGAAAAAATACTAAAAATAATTAAAAACTAATATACACTATATGAAGACTAATGTTACTCAATAACTAAAATAAATACATCAGTTTATTCCGAGAAATAAACTCCACGGCAACAGTGGAATTACTTTATTTAATAGGAATACAAATAAAATATTATCCAATTTCAATCCCATTCCTATACTACCACTGACATAATAGACGGAGGACTGTCTCACCAAACTATTATATAAACATCTGGAGATACCCTGCCAATTCCATCGACCGCCTCCAACCTTTCTTTCAAGAGAAGCAATTGGAAGCAATTCATCTGCATTGTTCCCATGATCCCATCATAGCTGCAACTTTACAGGTACGGTAATTAGTTTCCCCAATCCACACAGTTATTCCACATGTTCATTCATTATTATCTTACAAATTATTGCATTCTCTTTTCTCTTTCGATACAGCTTCTACTGCCGCTGCACTCTCACTTTCACACACAGGTTATTAATCAAATTTTACCGAATTTATTTTTTTCCCGCTCGCAAGTTCAATACGATGATAACATCCATATTTATAAATGCTAATAATATTGTTTATTACTGTTATTTAAATTACGCAAACCCTACATTATAATAGTGCTTAATTCATTATTGTGAGTTAGACCCATATATATTATGAAGAATACAACTTAGTTTGACAGCTGTTTTATTTGAAGGTCAGGCAATATGCAATCCCAACTGATCTCCGATCTGACAACTGAAAAGAGGGACTGGGTTCTGCAATGTCGCGTTTCGAGGAAGTGGCTGGCAATCAATCCCAACACAAATGTTGTACTTCGTCTTGATATGATAGTCATTGACTCAAAGGTAAACAATAACACAAACTCAAACTCTATGATTCAAGTCTTGGACAATTATTGATACGCCTACTTTTTCCCAGGGTAATGATATTTGGATACAGATTCCCAAAGTGATAATCAAAGACTTCGAACCCCTGTTTCGTGATCAAAGAGTCTACACTATCAAGAACTTTAAGGTCAATATGACGATGGGAGATTTCAGGCCAATTCCAAACAGATTTGTCATCAAATTCCAGTCAAACACCGAAGCCCAAGCTTGCGATGACATTCCAGCCATACCAGCTTACAAGTTCTATTTCATCAAACAAGATGAGATTGCCAATAAGTGCAACAAAAAAAAAAAAAACCTATCAGGTTAAAAATATCATTCTCAATGCAAATTTCCCTTAATTTTATGTATGTACAACCAAATTTAATAACTACTAAATGTTCTCATTCCATAGATGTTGTTGGCGAACTCATGTTCTGCTCAGATTTACTTACAACTACTAGACTAACTGGAAAAGTTTCCCACAAAGAGCTGCATCTAAAAATTCCCGAGTATGTACTTCTTTTAGCTTTCTGTTTCAAATAATAGAATACGTTAATCTACTTCTAAGTGCAAATCTAACATAATTTTTTTTACAGAGGATTGGTTGTCAAAGTAACTCTCTTTGGTAGAATACTTACCCAATTGAATGCCATACTTGCAAATTCGGGTGATCGTCGTCCCATCCTGGTCATTACATCAACATATGTCACTCCTTTCAAAGGTAAACAAGCATCTAAATTACCTTAATTGTAATCCATGCATTTTCATATCAATAATACCAACTTAATTAAATAATCGTCTGTTTCTCCTCTCTCTCTCTCTCTCTCTATATATATATATATATATATATATATATTTGCAGGAGAGAACACCTTCACCTCAACTGGGGTGACCTTGCTGCTGGCGAATCCAAGAATTCCAGAAGTCATCAATTTTGTGCCAAGGTGAACTCACGATCCACAATTTTATTATCGTATTTGGTTGCGTTGTAAGTTTCCCGCTTTAAAAATTCAAAAAGATCCATTACCTTCGTTTTTTGTGAATATAGTGACGGCGATGCACCAATTCCTCCAGTCAATGGAACAAATATAACCAAACAAATAATCCCATCCATATCACTAGATGAACTCAATCAATTGAAGATGAAAGATGGAGAGGAGGTACGTATCGTTTTCAATTAAACAAACTAATAGTGATCAAATGCTAACAATTCATATAATATGCAGGGAAATATCTATTCCGTCAAATGCAAAGTTATCAAGGTTAAGAATGGGTGGTGCTATGCTAGATGTGGAACCTGTCCACAAAAACTTGAAGAAGAATCAGATGAGTACTTCTGTGGGACCTGTATGACGACGTTAAAGACCACAGCATCAAGGTAATACGATACTTATTAATATCAAATTGTTTTCTTTATCCTATTCACTACACAATGTAAAACGTTTCGATAATAATATGAAGAGCTACTGCACCGCCGATTTATTCCCAATTGGACTGCAATTCGTGTTGTACCAAATTTCACCCTTTCACAATTTATCATTATTGGCTTGCTCTTTCCTGTTCAATTACTGCTTGCTTTGGTTTCTTTAATTTCACGTGGTTCTGCTTTTGGTTTAATTATTTTTGTGTTTAGCTTTTTGGATTTGGAGTTATAACCATTTCTTATTTTTAATTCTTCAAAAACCCACTTACTGCCCCATTTTCATCCCTGCATTGCATGCCTTCCTTTGGTATTATATACAATATCCGTAGCTACATATGATAAGATTATTATTATATAACATAAAAATTTCATTTTTGATTTTCTATATTTACACACTTCCGACACTAAAATTGTGCTTCTTTATGTTATTACAATTCTTATATAGATTCAGGATACAGCTTCGAGCCGCGGACAAAACAACTCAAGCAGACTTTGTTGTTCTAGATCGAGAGAGTGATCGATTTTTTGGTATATCTGCTGAGAAACTATTCCAAGACAACGATCGAATGAGAGGACCACCACCTGCTCATCTACTACAAATTGAGGGAATGACGCTGAAATTCGACATCAAACTCACTGATTATAACATCGCAAACCCAACAAGTGAGTACACAATTTGGAAAATAGGGCTGGAGGATGATAACAATAACTCAAACGATCACCCCGAATCAATTGAGGTAAGTCCAACTAGCGTGAAATTATATTCACTCTTATTTACAATAATGCATTATAACCAACACGATTTGGAAATTCTATTCAAAATGAACCCTATAATTATAATTTAATTACAATGCCATCTCAACTGCTCGTACATTGATTTTGCAATGCGTTTAATTTTATAGCTTTATGCAACATTCCTTTATTTCCTATTCACTTGCATGTTGCTGCATACTTGAATAGATAAGCATCCTATATACGTCTTCACTTACCAAATATTATGATTTTATGATTCAATAAAACAACAAATGTGTTTTGTTTTTTAATGGCAAAAAACTAATATCATTATCCTAATTATGCAGGAGATCGAAAATGGCATTGGCAATGATGCGGTGGCTAGAATCGGTGTAACAAATGATGATGCTCTTGAGAAGAATGTGGAGTCTCCTGATATTGAACCAAAACAGAGGACTAATGGAGAAGAAGACTACAATACCGGTGGAGATGATGATGTTGCTAATGACAAAGGAAATGCAAACAAGCTAAAAAGAAAACATGGAGTGATAGTCTCTGACAATGAGGAACAAATAGAATGATTAGCGAAAGCAAATTAGGAGTCGGTCCCCTGGCATAGGGTTTCTATATTCTTTTTTCGGAAAACAATTTTACTCAATGAGTCGATTAGTATATTCGGAAAATACTATGATTGTGTGGTTAAAGTTTTTTACTGTTGCACTTTGTTTACATTTGGAAGTGATAAATTTTCATTACAATTAAAAAGCAAGTTTTTAAACACATACATGACAACACGTTAATCACAGTATTATTTTTAAACTTACAAGTAAATGGTATGTTATTAAATTATCCATTGAATTCATTTGGAAGGGGTATAATCATTTTACGGGATTTAATTAATACAAAAAAAAATATTATTTATGCTATGATTTTAAAAGTTAATGTTGATGCTAATTGGTGGAATCAAGTAATTTTTTTTTATATTTGACGGTAAATGTGCTATTTAAATATTTTTAATTATTATTTTATTCAAAATGTCGTATATAATTTAAATATTAATATGAGTTGTAAGAAAATAATTTGAATTATTTAACGCTACTAAGAAATTAAAATATTAAATATTTTCATATACCTTTATTTCTAAATATACTACCTAATAAACACAAAGCTCCCATCTAAATTGCTATTTCTATTTACACGATTGGCAAATGAATCCGGCCAATCGGCCGGGCCTGTGACTAGTTCAGAGTATAGAGTAATAGAAGATTAACCCATACGAATCAACATGTCACGAGCTATGATGGATTCAATGCGAGAACTCCAAAAGAACTTAGGCAGCAGGGGAAGAGCACTTAATAACACGATGATTATCAAGCCAAGGTCTAGTAGTATGATTACTCACCTGGGAATGCGATCAATGATCGCCACTATTAAGTTCGTGGTGTCTCTTTTGCAACAGTTTTTCCGGTACCAACTCCAAGGCACTGTAGAGAGATACTGCCAGAGGGCTCTCTACATGGTCTACCCTTACGTCACGATCACTTTCAATGAACTCAAGGCCAACCGGCTATCTCGCCCTGAACTCTACTCCGCCATTGAGAGCTATCTCAGCTCCCATTCATCCACGCAAGCCAAGCGGCTGAAGGGCGAGTTACTCAATAACAACTTGTCCAAGGTGGTGCTTAGCGCAGACGAGCATGAAGAGATCACAGATGAGTTTCAAGGGGTCAAGCTATGGTGGGTATCCGGGAAGACCATCGCCAACACCGTAACACTTTCTGCCCAAAATGATGAGAAAAGGTATTACACGCTGACTTTCCACAAGAAGCACAGGGATCTCGTCGTTGGACCATATTTGAGCTATATCATGAAGGAAGGAAAAGCAATTAAAGTTAGAAACCGGCAGCGGAAGCTTTTTACTAACAATGGTCCACAGTGGAGATATGTAATGCTTGAGCATCCTGCAACATTCGAAAATCTTGCGCTGGAGGCAGACAAGAAGAAGGAAATTCTTGAAGACTTGATCACGTTTAGCCAAGCGGGAGAGTACTATGCGAGAATTGGAAGAGCTTGGAAGAGGGGTTACCTTTTGTATGGTCCTCCGGGGACTGGGAAGTCCACCATGATCGCAGCCATAGCCAATCTTCTCAGCTATGATATCTTCGACCTTGAATTGACATCCGTGAAGGATAATGCCGAGCTGAGGAAGCTTCTAATTGAGACAACGAGCAAATCTGTAGTTGTAATTGAGGACATTGATTGTTCTCTGGACCTCACTGGTCAGCGGAGGCAGCAAGCAGAGGTTGCGAAACAGAAACCAACAAGGGAAGACAGTGAGCCCAAACTAAGCTTAGTCACCCTTTCGGGACTTTTGAACTGCATTGACGGGCTATGGTCAGCTTGCGGAGGAGAAAGACTGATCATTTTCACGACCAATTATGTCGAGAAACTCGACCCAGCTCTCATCAGGAAAGGAAGAATGGATAAACACATTAAACTTTCATACTGCAGCTTCGAAGCGTTCAAAGTGTTGGCAAAGAATTACCTTCTGCTAGATGATCACCAACTCTTTGACAAGATTCGCCAGTTACTGCAACAAACTCAGATTACCCCGGCTGATGTTGCAGAGCATTTGATGCCCAAAACTCACCCCCCGAATCCTGAGGTGTGCTTGAATAGTCTGGTGAGGAGCCTTCAAGCGGCTGCAGTGAATGCGAGACCCAAAGCTGCTGCAGCCAATGCGAGACCGAAAGCAGATGCAGTGAATGTGAGACCGGAATCGGAGAAAGAACTGCATCAGGAGACTGCTGCAGTGAATGCGAGACCAGAAGAGGCGAAAGAACTGCATCAGGAGAAAGAAACCACTGTGTGTTCAAAAAAAAGGAAAGGAATCACTGACCTTGAAGAAACAAAAGAAGTAAACAAGGGAAGCACCGGACAAAAAGGAATGACACCCCAACCAGGATTCACGGGTATTCTAACTGACCCTATCCGATCAATGCAGGTAATGCCTGCTTTGCCCGGATATGGGTACGGGTATTATCCGGTGCAAAATTTGGCGGGTAGGGTAGGGTATGCGTTGGGTCAATACCCGATTCAGACTGTACCAATACCCGTATCCGCTCCCAAAACCATGTAATTAAGCAAGCAGCACATGTAGTTTCTTATCTCTTACTGCCCATTGTCTGCCATTCTGAAAATGTAGTTGACATGCATATGACATTGCAATTAAAAACGTAAGGATGTGGGCCTCCTAACTTAGAAATGCCATTTGCAATAACATGACAGTTCTTTCATTTTACCGATTAATTTCGTTTAGTTAATTTTATGCATATGATTCTAAGTTACACTCGATGAGCATGGTTAAACTCTGGGTTTGTTAAATATTATTTTTGGGATCTGGTCAGCAAGTGGAGGGGAGAGGTAATAAAATTTACGAAGAACCATGTTGAGATGCTGGACAAGGCATTGATCAGGGGAGGAAGGATAGATAAGCATAACGGAGCTTTGTTACTATGAGTTAAAATGGTTTAAGGTTCTTGCTAAGAACCACCCTAGCGTTGACAATCACCCCGCTGTTTGAGGTTGTTCGAGGTCTACTTGAGAAGACCAAGACTAGCCCTGCTGATGTAGCTGATAGTTTGATGCAGAAGGCTGTTAAAGAACATGCCGAAATTTGCCTGAATAGGTTCACATCCATGACCTCGAAAGGCTGCCAAGTTAGAAAGGGGAAGAATGAAATAGATAAATAAGATGAGGTATTAATGATTGAACAAAAGAGAAGAATGGTTGGATGAGGTATGTTTGGCATCAATAGTTTATGATCATGTTTTTGGTTAAGTATTGTGTCAGTGTTTTGAAACTACAGAAACCTAATGCTGGCTTTATTCATTTAGGATTCTTTAGTCAGCTAAAACTAATACCGGCAGAACAGTTCGGTTTGGTTAATCTCGAAACCGGAAATGTTTTATGGCACTTTCTCTTACAAGGATAATTATTAAGCAAAACCGTTAAAGGAACTCGAACAGTTTGGTTTTGGTCAGGAGCAAGTAAAACCGTCTAACGGTTTGGCTCGGGTATGCAAATATAAATTCACTCGATTAAGCAAAACCGTTAAAGGAACTCGAACAGTTTGGTTTTGGTCAAGATCAAGTGAAACCGTCAAAAGGTTTGGCTCGGGTATGCAAATATAATTCACTCTCAGGCACGAAGAGTTTAGGCTTACATAGTTTCTAGTACTTTTATGGTTTCGACAGAACTGATTAGCACATAAATGATTGAAGCCTATAAGAAACCCAATAAGGGTACCTAATAAGGTTGTCAACCGCGGTTGACCTAGACCCAGTCGACCTACTGGGTCAAGGGTTAATGGGCCACCCGTTTTAGCTTGTTTTAGGCCGGAAATATGGAAAGAGTCATTATATTGTATTTATTCTGATAAATTATATCAAATCTCATCTAACATATGAGTAATAATATATAACATTACACCAAAGTAACATGTCGTACTTAGATCCAACATATAATGAAAATTCACACACACTTATATAACATCAATGTTCAACTAAGGATTCCAAAGATTGAGTTAGGCGAAAAGAAAATTCGGAAAATAGGCGCAATGCGCATACCAAAGAAAAAAATGACAGAATTTGACCTCCAGCCCGATACCTTGTAGCGGTCGACCCGACGGGTGCATGCGACCCGTTTTTCTTACCGGTCAGGGTCAAAGTGAGTCGACCCGTGAGTTGACAACCTTGGTACCTAACCGGTCCAATTTTCAGTTTAACAAGAAAATCAAAAGCCGTTTAGCGCCCCCAGCTAAAACACGATCATCTTGTCTAATTTTGTTCTGAATTAATAATACTCCAATTCTTGATTTGCCCTTAATCTTAGAGGGAGCTTATCGTCCTAATGTTAGAAAAAAGTGACTAGTCCTTATCAGAGTACAATTCACCATAGAGATAGAATTCCTCTATGGTTGAAGAATACAGTAACCTATTAAGAAATACATTCTTCCTTTCCTTTGTACTATGGAAATCGGCTAATGGTGCTCTATATAAACCTTTTATCAATCATAGAAGATCCCCCATTAATCAACATGGCAAAAGCTAAGAGTTTAGTCAAATCGTTTAACAGGACGAACCCATGGAATGGTTTTACTCACCTGGGATCGTTAATCGCCACTTTGATGTTCGTTTGGTCTCTTGTTCGACAGTATAGAAAATTACTGCCGTACCAACTCCGCGTCATTCTAGAGAAATACTGCCAGAGGGCTCTCCCCTTCGTCAACCCTTACGTTCAAATCCGTTTCAGTGAACTCTGCAGCGAAAATCTGATGCGCACTGAACTCTACTCAGACATCGAGAGCTACCTGAGCTATCATTCATCAACGCAGGCCAAGCGCCTGAAGGCCGACTTACTGAAGAACAGTCAGTCCAAGCTGGCGCTTAGCGTAGATAGTTCTGAAGAGATTGCTGATGAATTTCAAGGGATCAAGCTATGGTGGGCTTGTGGGAAAACCATGTCCAGTACCGGATCACCTTCGCTCCATAATAAGACAAGGTATTACAGGCTGACTTTCCACAAGCAGCACAGGGATCTCATCATTGGGCCGTACCTGAGCCATGTCATGAAGGAAGGGAAAGCGATTAAGGTTAGAAATCGGCAGCGCAAGCTTTATACTAACAACGGCCCATTTTGGAAACATGTGGTGTTTGAGCATCCTGCAAACTTTGAAACGCTTGCGTTGGAAGCAAAGCAGAAGAAGGAGATTCTTGAAGACTTGATCACCTTTAGCCAAGCGGAAGAGTATTATGCGAAAATTGGAAGAGCTTGGAAGAGGGGTTACCTTCTGTATGGTCCTCCGGGGACTGGGAAGTCCACAATGATCGCAGCCATGGCCAATCTTCTGAACTACGATATATATGACCTTGAATTAACATCCGTCAAGGATAATGCTGAGCTGAGGAAACTTCTAATTGAGACAATGAGCAAATCGGTGATTGTGATTGAGGACATTGATTGTTCTCTTGATCTTACTGGGAAGAGGAAGCAGACGAAGGTAAAACAAGAAGTAGAGGTCCCGAAGCTCCCGAAGCTTACAAGGCCGAAGTATCTTACTGACAGAGAGCCTAAACCAAGCCAAGTTACTCTTTCCGGGCTGTTAAACTTCATAGACGGAATATGGTCAGCCTGCAAAGGAGAAAGGTTGATTGTTTTCACGACCAATCACGTCAAGAAACTCGATCCAGCTCTCATAAGGAAAGGAAGAATGGACAAACACATTGAACTTTCGTACTGTAGTTTTGAAGCATTCAAAACGTTGGCCAAAAATTACCTTATGCTAGATGACCACCAACTGTTCGCCAAGATTGGCCTGTTAATGAAACAAACTAAGATGACCCCGGCTGAGATTGCAGAACATTTGATGCCCAAGACTCTCCCTCCGGATCCTCAGGTGTGCTTGAACAGTCTAATGCAGAGCCTAGAAGCGGCTGTAGAACGTGCGAGATTGAAAGTTGGGGAAACTATCAATAAGAATACAGAAATCACTGCCATTGTTGAAGAAACCAAAGAAGAAAACAAGGGAAGCACTGGCCAAACAGGATTGCAAATACAAACAGCATTACCTTTAGCTGCTGGAGAGCAACATGACAAAGAGCCTAGCACGAAACCTGTTGTATCTGATGATTAATAGTCTCCTTCTGACCTTCTTAAAACCAATTGTTTGCCATTGTTAATATTTAGTTGACATGCAAATAGCTATTGGATTAATATGACATTTATTTCTTTTACTAATTATTCTCGTTTAGTTGACATGCAGTATGTGTTTCATGCACAGTTACTCTTTATCATATTGTCTAATCTAGTTTTAGCACTCTGTTCGGGCTTTCGCTTTGGCGATGGCCGTTACGAATCTAAAAGGTTGTCAAGAGTTAATAGATGGGGAAATTATATCTGATCTCTGTCAGTTGCTTATACTCACTCCAATCATATCAAACAAAAGTGATCTAAATCCTAAATGATATTTAGCTTAACAATAATTGCTAGGAGTCTGTCAAACAAATGTCAGGAAGCTCTTATTTTGTGAGAAAAGCCAACTTGTGAAAGCAACCAAATGTCACCCGCCAGAAATGGCCACTGTTTAAAGAATCAAACATCATAAAATTAGACTATCAGCAGCAACAGAAGTTCTATCTTGTATTATTGAGAATCAAACACAAAAAGGTTTGAAATATGTCCCGGTTTTCCTTTTCTTTTCGTGGGTAATAGGGCTTTGGCTCCTTTAAAAGTTCATATTCTTCAGGACTATGCACTAATCTCAGCATGCCTTCCCAATTCGAAGAACGAACCAGGCCAAAATAACTCTGAAAGGGGCACTCAAAAGGTTCCTATACTCAGCATGTGCTTGATCCTTTGCAACATCCAAGAGCCATCAATCTATAATTCATCGTTGAAGAAGCCTAGGATCAAAGCTAAATCAATCCGACCAATGGCCAAAATGGTCACTCAAAGGTTCTATACTCTAGGTTAATAAAAGGCTAAAAGGGTTCATGCTACTCACAGTATAAAATAGCTTGCTCTCGAAGACATTTCAGTGTCACTTCCTACGTCAGCTAGCTAGATAAAAGAGTAGACCAAATCGACTTTAATGTTTCATGCTACTCACAGTTTAATATAGCTTGCCCTCCAAGACATTTCTATGTCACTTCCTACGCCAGCTAGATGAAAGGTAAACCAAATCGGCTTGAATATTAGGTAAATAATTTAAGTACTCAATTAAACTACGTCCCTAGTGATTTGTCCTAATGTTAGAGATGGAAACTTATCGTCCTCACTATATAGGAAGAAAAAGAAAAGGCAGTTTGTCGTAACTTGGCAGAAAAGGATGCAATAGCCGACATAGGTACTAGGCTGTACCTGTCATTCTCTGCACACGTATTGGCCACTCGATCCACGTATGTACTTGTAGTCTTGTACCCCAAAGTCGCCTTTTTATATATTCAACTCCCTACAAAGATAACCCGTGAATCACACACCACAAGAGCCATGATTGATTCAGCGAGTTTCCTCGAAGAGAATAGAGGTAGTAGAGGAAGAGGGTTTAACAGGATGAAGCCAGGGGATGTTTTAACTCACCTGGGATCCATAGTTGCTAGTTTGATGTTCGTTTGGGCTCTGTTTCAGCAGTACTTCCCATACCAACTCCGCCACAACATAGATAAATACTTCCAGAGGGCCTTCTCCTTCGTCTACCCTTACATCCAAATCACTTTCAGTGAATTCACAGGCGAGCGTCTGATGCGCAGCGAGCTCTACTCCGCTATCGAGAACTATCTTAGCTCCACTTCATCGACCCAAGCCAAGCGGCTGAAGGCTGACGTACTGAAGAACAATCAGTCCTTGGTGCTTAGCATGGACGATCACGAAGAGGTTGCTGATGAATTTCAAGGGATCAAGCTTTGGTGGGCTTCTGGGAAGAACATCTCCAAGACCCAAACACTTTCTTTCTATCCAGTCAAAGATGAGAAAAGGTATTACAAACTGACTTTTCACAAGCGGCATAGGGATCTCGTCATTGGGCCGTATCTAAGCCATGTCCTGAAGGAGGGGAAAGCAATCAATGTTAGAAATCGGCAGCGGAAGCTTTACACCAACAATGGATCGCACTGGAGCCATGTGATGTTTGAGCATCCAGCAACGTTTGAAACACTCGCGTTGGAGGCAGATAAGAAGAAGGAAATTCTCGAGGACTTAACCACGTTTAGCCAAGCGGAAGAGTTCTATGCGAGAATCGGAAGAGCTTGGAAGAGGGGTTACCTTCTCTATGGTCCTCCGGGGACCGGGAAGTCCACCATGATCGCAGCCATGGCAAATCTTCTGAATTATGACATCTATGACCTAGAATTAACGGCCGTGAAGGACAACACCGAGCTTCGGAAACTTCTAATCGAGACCTCGAGCAAATCCGTGGTCGTGATCGAGGACATTGATTGCTCTCTCGATCTCACTGCTCAGCGAAGGAAGCCGAAGGAGAACGAAGAAGCAACAGGCGAGCAGGATCCGAAGCTGAAACCGCCGAAGGAAGACAGGGAGCCTAAACAAAGCCAAGTCACTCTCTCGGGACTTCTGAACTTCATCGACGGGCTATGGTCAGCTTGCGGCGGGGAGAGATTGATCGTTTTCACCACCAATCACGTCGAGAAACTCGATCCAGCCCTAATCAGGAAAGGTAGGATGGACAAACACGTTGAGCTTTCCTACTGCAGCTTCGAGGCATTCAGAGTGTTGGCCAAGAATTACCTTCTGCTGGATGACCACCAACTGTTCGACAAAATTCGCCAGTTACTAGAACAAACTAAGATAACCCCGGCTGACGTTGCGGAGCATTTGATGCCGAAGACCGTCCCGCCGAATGCCGAGGTTTGCTTGAGTAGTCTGCTGCAGGGCCTGGAAGCCGCGGCGGCGGAAGAGGAGGAGGCGAGATCGAAAGCAGAGGAAGAAGGAATGAACAAGGAGGAGAAAGAGATCAGTGCCATTGTTGAAGAAACGAAGGAGGAAAATTCCGCGAGCAAAGAAGAAAGCAAGTACAATCAGCAGTAGCTGGTCCCAAGTAGCATTTCTTCTAACTGAGATCTTCTGGACATTCACTTTCCTTCTAGCTTTGTTAATTTGAGCAGTAAAATGTAAAATTTCCAGTTATTGCGGTTCCATCATCCGTTTGTCAGAACTCTTGAGGAGGATACATCTACATCGTGTTGTTGATGGTTCATGTCAGTTTCGCAATTCGCATTGTGATTTGGGCCAATTCTCATTTTATGCAAAGCCCATCCAGTTTAACCGTCAAAATAATGAAAGCGAGCTTGTGTGGCGGAGGAAATTCAGGTCTAAAGACGAATAAGGCCCAAGCTATCTAGATTCTAGCCCAACAAAAGCCCAAGTATCCATTAACCCAAGTGCCCATTAGGCCATTAAGACCGCTAAATATAGTAAAAGTGCAAAATATATAAATTTTGACGGAGCTAGGGTGCCATCGGTTTTGTTGGCTTCGTATCTCAGAATGTTGTCTCTTCTGCTTATGGGCGTTCCTACGCGGAAGTTCACGATCCTTTTCTTATTGAACTATTGGCGCTTCGGGATGCCATGCGTTGGTGCTTTTCTCAGTCCGTAACTAATGTTCTGTTTTGTGGTGATGCGCAGGTCGTTATTCGGATGGTGGCCGCGAAGGATTCGAATCACGCTTTGGGGGGGGGGGGGGGCAATTCTGAATGAGGTTCAGGTGCTACGGACTTCTCTTGCGCGTGTTTCGTTTCATTTCGCTCCTCGTAGGTATAACAGGGCTGCCCATTCCGTGGCAAAACAGGCCCTCGCATCGATGGTTCAGCGTCTGGTTGACCATCGTTTTGCTCTTGTTTCTTTTCCCTGACCGTTTGGTCTTGTATATTTTCGTATCTTGCTATTCCTTCCGGAATATCTTTGGCAAAAAAAAAAATGTGTCGGTTTAGCAAGTGAAATTGTATGAACAGTGGTACAATCGGTTTAATTTGTGACAGTTCATGTCGACTTAAAATAATACGACATTCTAAATAAAATAATAAACATTCATTTAAATACAACATTTAACATCAATATCTACACGTTTATACCCGAATCCAAAAAATTACATCAACTTTTAACTTGTATATTTGTAAAGTACATAATAAATTGATCATGTCGGTTATACCAATAAAAATTATACCAATTTCATGACCGGTATCGGTTGAACCAAATTCAACCGGCCAATATCCCACCGGCATGACAACCATACACAGAACAACAATGTTTTAACTGATAGAAACCATATTCATCAACAAACTATAACCTTGAAAAAAGGGCATGAAAAGTTCCATTCCATCCTTTGGAAGCGGTCATCAGCATACCATGGAAAATGCTGCCAACTACACATATAGAAACAAACATATTTACTTATTTATCTACACAACTATTCAACGCATGAACGCAAGGTGTGTGTGAACATAGACAAATGATAGTCACTTTTCCCTGTGACATAGTTTCCTGGCAAATCCTCCCTGGAAAATAGCCACCAGCCCCGGCCTTTTTCACGAATTGACCAGCATATAATAACAATACTTAACTAACTAAATAAACAATAATTAGTGGTTAAACCTTCCAGCATTAACACAGCTCGGGGCTGTCTATATATGACGAGGAGAAGCATCCATAAGCATTAGTTTACCATCTGTCTCTCTATATGTCATAAACCAGTTGGTCCCAATAACTCGAGTTGTTGGGAGAAGGTTATGCTGGATCTTATACAGGCCCGTGTATGGTGCTTAACCACTTCCTTACACGCCCCCTCAAACGAAAGCCGACTTATGGGCTTGAAGTTTGCACAGGCCAGCCCTACCATGTGCCTGAAAGACAACGATTAATATTGGGGGTCGTGAGGACTTGAACACGTGACCTCAAGGACAAACTAGCTCTGATACCATGTCATAAACCAGTTGGTCCCAATAACTCGAGTTGTTGGGAGAAGGTTATGCTGGATCTTATACAGGCCCATGTATGGTGCTTAACCACTTCCTTACACTATATGTATACAAAGAGGGAGAGGCATTGGTGAAGAACTAGTGGGGATCGAGCGAAATGATTGAGAGAGGAGTTGGGGGGTTTCTTGTCGCAGGAGAGATGGTTTTAGCGCTGGTAGCTATACAGACAGAGTCCTCGCCGCCGGCCTGCTAGCTTCTTCCCACCACCGTGGCTTCGCCGGATGGTGGAGTATATAGTAGTACTATAGCTCCATTAATTAAGACCATCCTCCGGTGACACGATACCCTCTCAATTTCTTGTCCACTACTGTACGGTAGCTAGCTAGACATGGGAAGGTGAAAGACTAGTTCTATAGTCTTAGTACGCAGCCGTGTAGGCAAAAGGGTTTTTGTGTCTTTTCCCTTTGGCCGCTGATCATGTTTAGCCCTAGGAGAGTTGTTGATTAGGGTTAATATATATATGCTGTAAGTGTATCGGCTGCAAACTAAGAAATAATACGCTGAGATAGCATAACTTCTCCGTGGAGTAAGCTCATTCACACCGAATGAGAAGAACCACGTAAAACCTCGTCTCGTGTTCTTGTGTTTCTCGTTTCCTACGATTATTTCATGGTATCAGAGCTGGTTTATTGAAACCTAAGTTTTCACAATGAGTGGCATGGATACTGATGGCAGTAGTCACGATCTCATCAACCCTAACAGCAGCGGAGGAGGTGCAGTCCCACCTTTGGTCATCCCTGCCGCGTTGAGGATCCAAGCTTCAGATAATCCAGGTCAGCTGTTCGTTGGTGAACTGTTGAATGACTCCAATTACGGAGAATGGGTCACGGACATGACCGAGGCTTTGATCGCAAAGAACAAGCTCGGCATTGTTGATGGAACGGTGGTCAAGCCGGCTGTGGCTGGAGAGTTACAGGCGGCATGGCTTCAGTGCGACGCCCTCGTCAAGGGATGGTTGAAGACTGCTATGGACAAGGAAGTTCGTAGCTCGATTCGCTACGCGAAGACTGCGCGTGATATGTGGATAGATTTGGAGGCGCGATTTGGTCGTGGATCAGCGCCTAGGGCCTATGAGCTCCGTCAAATGATGAGTACTTTGAGACAAGAGAAGCTCACAGTCTCGACGTTCTTTACCAAACTTCGAGCGATTTGGGAGGAGATGTTAACGATCACGCCTGTTCCTCGTTGCACCTGTGGTTTGTGCACCTGCGAGATCGACAAGAAAGTTATGAGTAATCTGGAAAACGATCGGCTTTTTGACTTCCTTATGGGATTGGGTGATGCATTCGGGACGGTCAAGACTCAGATTTTGTCCATGAAGCCGACCCCGACCCTCAGTGAAGCCTAACGCTTGGTGTCGACTGAAGAACAGCACAAGCAGATCGCCGCAAGTCGTCGTCCCACGGTGGATGCTGCTGCTTTTCAAGCGCGCCAAGAGCGCCCAGCTGCTGATGCGAATCGGCGGGAAGAAAGGGCTCGTAGCACCGATCGGAAGGAGAGGCAGAAGTGCAGTCATTGTCAGCGCCCTGGCCATTCCAAGGAAAATTGCTATGAAATCATTGGGTGGCCAGAGAGGAAATCTCGATCAGGTGATCGGGAGAAGGATCGGGAACCTCGTTCCGGTGAACGCGAAAGGGAGCGCACCGGTCGACCTACCAAGCCGCGAGCTGCGCAGTCCTCCGCTGGAGCTGGCGTCAGCATCCCAGGGCTGAATTTCGAACAGGTACAGCAGCTCTTGGACTTTCTTCACCATAGTGGTGGGCAGCCTGATTTGTCAACGTCATTCGATCCGCAAGTAAACATGGCAGGTACGTCTCTCTCACAATCTGAGTGGATCATAGATTCGGGATGCAACGAGTATATTACGAACGATGAATCCTTGTTAGAGAATTCAGTTGAAGTGTCAGGTTACTTGCCGGTCAGTATTCCGAATGGGGATAAGATTACAGTCAGCCGAATTGGTGATGTTAATTTGTCACATGGAATGAAGCTTAGTCGGGTGCTCAGTCTTCCGTTGTTTAAGTGTAATCTCTTGTCAGTCAGCAGGCTCACTCAGGATTTCGATGTTGCTTTAACGTTTCTACGCGATTTTGCGTAATCCATGACTTACATTCCAGGAAGACGATTGGGACGGGCCAGCTTCGTGATGGACTTTACTATCTTCGACTGTATGGTGCTGACGAGTCTCGAGCTTTGGCCGCTAGCAGTGATGCGAGAGTGGGGGAGCTTTGGCATGCTCGGTTGGGGCACCCGTCGCAGAAGAAGACACCTTTGTTATTTCGATCTAGTCAGAATAAATGCAGTAGTGAGACCTGCGATTCTTGTATGCGTGCTAAACAGACACGGTTACCATTTCCTAGACATTCGATAAAGACTAGTCGTTGTTTTGAGCTTATTCATGTGGATATTTGGGGCAGTTTCAAGGTTCCCACTCAGAATTCAGCTCGTTATTTTCTTACCATTGTCGACGATTTCAGCAGAGCTACATGGGTATATCTCATGTCTTACAAGTCCGAAGTTGAGGGATATTTAAAGATGTTTATCAACTTGGCAGTGACTCAGTTTAATCAGAAAGTGGCACGCATTCAAGCTGACACCGGGTTAGAATTTCAAACAAGCAGTCTCCGTGATTTCTACGCGGATAGGGGCATTGTTTTGCAGACATCTTGTACCGATACCCCTCAGCAGAATGGGGTAGTCGAAAGAAAGCATCGTCACTTGCTAGAAACAGCTCGTGCGCTTTGTTTCCGAGCGAGCTTACCCTTGAAATTTTGGGGTGACTGCGTCTTGACAGCAACTTATCTGATAAATCGTTTGCCTTGCAAAATTTTGCAGGATCGTTCTCCGTACGAGGTCCTTCTTGGAAAGGCTCCCTCTTATGCCCATCTTCGTCGTGTCCTGGGCTGTTTGGCGTATGGGAAAGACAATCATAAAGGCATCTCCAAGTTTGATGAGCGTGGTAAACGGTCGGTTTTTATGGGATACCCGGCATTTCAGAAGGGGTATCGCCTCTTTGACTTGGCATCGCGGACGTTCTATGTTTCTCGTGATGTGCATTTCGTGGAGCATGTGTTCCCTTTTGGCGAGAATGCAAACCCAACATTACCACAACCTGTGTCCTTTCCACCATCCCCGGTTGTGGATGATGCTGCCGAGGAGCAGCCCCCCTCCTCGTCCCCTTTGCATGGTCATGCATCGAATCCCCAGGACGGCAACTCGCCAGCCGAGGCGATCGTGGATCAGTCGGCGTCTACCTCAGCTCCTTCTCCACCAGTCCCTGCGTCGCCCGACCAGCCCGCTGCTGCACCTCGTCGCAGAACCCGTGCTCGTCAAGTCTCCCGGCGCTTGGAGGGTTACGAGGTTGAGCTGCCCCCATCTAACTCTCAATATCCCATGTCCAATTATGTCAACTATGATGCTTTCTCTCCGCAGCATAAAAGCTTCTTGGCGGCAGTCTCTAGTCAAGTCGAGCCCTCTAGCTTTCGCGAGGCCGCTCGGTATGAGGAGTGGCGCATTGCGATGCAAAAGGAGATTGATGCTCTGGTTGGTAACGGTACATGGACTCTCGTCAGTCTACCCCCTGGTAAGCGAGTGGTTGCTTCGAAGTGGGTGTATAAGATAAAGTTTAATGCTGATGGTTCGGATGAAAGGTACAAGGCTCGTCTGGTCGCAAAGGGTTTTACTCAAACGGAAGGGATAGACTACCATGACACGTTTGCTCCGGTGGCAAAGTTAGTCAGTGTTCGCTGTTTATTAGCCATTGCTGCTGTCCGTGGCTGGGTTGTCCATCAACTTGACGTTGATAACGCCTTTTTGCATGGGGATTTGCATGAAGAAGTGTATATGAAAATTCCACAGGGTTTTGCAGCTCCGGGTGATACGCGTGTTTGTCGTCTTCACAAGTCTATTTATGGGCTTAAGCAAGCTTCGCGCAACTGGTATGCTAAGTTTGCTGAGACTCTCACTGGTCTTGGGTTCACGCGTTCTCGAGCTGACTACTCACTCTTCGTGCGTCGTAGTCGTGGCACCTATGTCGTTGCTCTTATCTATGTGGATGATGTTATCCTGGCGGGTGATGATTTAGTCTTCATTCAGCAGGTCAAGGATGCTCTTCATGGTCAGTTTGGTATTAAAAATCTGGGGCCCCTCAAGTATTTCTTGGGGATCGAGGTCGCTCGCTCTCGTGCTGGCATTGCTCTCTGTCAACGGAAGTACACTTTGGATCTGCTTCGTGACAGTGGCTACTCTGGTGGTCGCCCCAGCGTGTTTCCCATTGAGCAACACCATCAGCTCACACGGCATGATGATAATGCCGCACTGGTTTCTCCGGATGATGCTGCTGCATATCGTCGTCTTGTTGGTCGCTTGCAGTACCTTACTGTCACTCGGCCGGATATTGTGTATGCGGTTAATATCCTCAGCCGCTATGTTCATGCACCCACGTCTGCTCATGTCACTGCAGCTGGGCGAGTTCTCCGTTATCTCAAGAATGCTCCGGGTCAGGGCATTCTTCTTCCTTCGAGTGGTCCCCTCCATCTCACAGCGCATTGTGACGCTGATTGGGGAGGTTGTCAAACCACTCGTCGTTCCACGTCCGGCTACTTCATCACACTTGGCGGTGCCCCGGTCTCCTGGCGCACCAAGAAGCAAACAGTTGTAGCTCGTTCATCAGCTGAGGCCGAGTATCGGGCCATGGCTAGCACAGTCAGCGAGGTCATTTGGTTGAGGGCTTTGCTCCGGGATATGGGGGTTGCTAGCACCAGTCCCACGGTTCTCCATTGTGATAACCAGGCAGCACTTCATATCGCGACTAACCCCGTGTTTCATGAACGTACAAAACATGTTGATCTTGACTGCTACTTTGTCCGTGATCATGTCACGTCCGGTGAGATTCTCCCTCAAAAGGTTCACACTGCAGTGCAGCTTGCGGATTTGTTCACGAAGGGTCTTGCCGGTGATCGTTTTCATTCTTTGTTATCCAAGCTGGGCATTTGTAATCTACATGCCTCAGCTTGTGGGGGAGTGAAAGACTAGTTCTATAGTCTTAGTACGCAGCCGTGTAGGCAAAAGGGTTTTTGTGTCTTTTCCCTTTGGCCGCTGATCATGTTTAGCCCTAGGAGAGTTGTTGATTAGGGTTAATATATATATGCTGTAAGTGTATCGGCTGCAAACTAAGAAATAATACGCTGAGATAGCATAACTTCTCCGTGGAGTAAGCTCATTCACACCGAATGAGAAGAACCACGTAAAACCTCGTCTCGTGTTCTTGTGTTTCTCGTTTCCTACGATTATTTCAGAAGGAGTACTGTATGTGAATCTTTTCATCTCTACCTACGTTCTTCTTTCTTCATCATCATCTTCTTCTTCTTCTGTTATTTGGTCTTGAATTTGCAGTGCCGAAGGACGAAGGTAGATCATATGAAATTTTGGCTTTTTTTTCTTCTTCTCCATGTCAAGCCAGGGATGGTTGGTGGGCCCAAAGTTCTTGGGCCCCAAGTTCTTTGGTCCATAGACTTCCGGGGGAGTGGGCCCACTCACAATATTAGACATATTGGCAGTGGCCAGTTTCCCGAAAAGAGGCTAGAAATCCACACTGCATTATCTGGCAGGATTTCTGGCGACCAACACAACCCGGCGATTGTCTCCAAGACTGCTAACGAAGAGGTAGAAGGCTGCAAATTTTGGGATGAAGAAGAAAAGCCGGGAATAAAAGGAGATGCATCAGGAGTAGGAGGGAATCATGAGAAAAAAAGAAGAGAATCTGAAATGTCGATGCCGCCCTAAACTCTGCCAACCGCCAGCCGTTTGACGAAGGGAAAACGCATGGGGGAAAAACGTGTTCGATGAAGCGACGATGCGAAGAGAGGATTCAACGGGTGAGATTAAACTTGAGGTTGTATATGGACGGCTATCCGCGTGGCGTACAGGAAAAGTACGCTACACCCGTCTTAAACGACGACTCAGGTAAATGGCAAGGATGAGCAACGACGATCCGTGTGGGATGCATGCTACTTATGGTAGACCCTTTCGTTACCCACTGGACCCCTTATGCAATTAGGCGCTATTTATATACTAATAATAACATCCAAATCGATGTGACTAAATTTCAGTTTCGTCCAACTTTGACGAATATTGTAGGGAATTTCATTGCTCCAACAAATACATTTGTTCCCAATTAAAAAACTTGTTGGCTAAATTTGGAAATATGCTCTTTTTTGTGAACTAGCGGAAGTTGAAGCGAATTTTTTTTATAATATTGTATGATTTCATAGCTAATCATTGATAGACTCGTTTATATAGTATAAACTAGAAAAAGAATATACAATCAAACTAATTTTAGAATTAAACACTAAATTTCAAATACATATCATCAATCATAATAGGTTCTAACTTCTAAGAAATCATTCGAACTATCTCAAAAAAGTCATACAAAAAGTTTATCAAATTCAAACTAGTCACGTAAAGTCGACAAGCAAGGAAAAGAAAAAAGGAGAAAACGAGAAATAAAAATAATAATCAGGGTTGAATGGCATTAGTTCACGTTATAGTTTTTTCCTATTAAACATTGTTAAAATAGTATAACAATCAAATCGAGACGATACATCTAATTACCAGTCCAACTATTAAAGACCATTTGATGTGCCCCTATTCGTACGAACAAAGAATTGTCCTTCATTGCAATTGTTTTGACGGTTCCACTAAATCAGCCAGTGATCTGAACGCGTTCTTATAACAAACTCCACATAACAATGTAAAAACTAAAGTCAAATTTTGTCACCTTATATGACGATGACGTTCATGTTAAGGTTATTTAGTAATCACGATATTATCACGCTAAGCAACCTGATGAACATACTAGTTTTCATCAATTCGAGTGAATTCAGTGTAATATTCGCACTGGCATTATTGAGATTTCCATCGGTTTGATAAGCTGATTAGTACGAGAGCGAGTAAATTCAGTGTAATATTCGCACTGGCATTATTGAGATTTCCATCGGTTTGATAAGCTGATTAGTACGAGAGTGCTATAGAGATTAGAGAACATATAATTGGTCCTTCATTTGCTTTATTGTAATCGGACATACAATACATAAAAATGATGAAGAACAATCATATGTATCCTCCAACTAATCAAACAGCCCCTACGTAAAAATCATTGTTGGGGCCTGGGGTGTTCTTCCCTTCTTCTTGTTTCACCAGGTTTTGGATCCTCTCGACGAAGCCGTTCACCGTTGCCAGCCCCTTCTCATCTGATGCAACAAAAGAAACAAAACCTCCCAAATTCAACAATTATGCCTAAATAATTGCAATTGCACATACATCAAACAATTACGAATCGCAAAGACATTAGTACGACTTTCTTGTCATACGAGGATTGTGGTCGAGTTCAAACACGTGATTGAATTTTGGTAAAAGAGTGAATGAATTTTACCAAGTCTGGGAATGGTATGTCCCCTAGGGTGATGAACAACCACAGCATCTCCACAATGTAACAGCAGTTCCTTACCATGTGGCTTCAAAAAATCCAGCTCCCCTAATCAAACCAACCAAAAACAAATACAGTAAATTAGCCAGCCAGCCAACCAACCAACCATCTACATCAGCATTTACTTGTAACATTAAATTAGCGTTCTCTCTCTCTCTCTCTGCATCAGCAGAGGGTGACTGGTGGGAGCTCTGAAAGAGAGGTAGGTAGGGGAGCACATTTGAAAGCTGTAACGGCCATTCCACTCTCACATACGACCAGCCAAACAAATGTTCACCACTAAACAATTCACAGCTCAAAAAGGAATCCCATGGATGAAAAAGAAAAACTTTACCGAGAAAGTGGAGGGATGGACATTGTATGGGAGAAGCGTAAGCGTCGGCGGCCACTGATTTTGCCTTGAATTTCGCCCCTCCGACTATTATCAGAAACTTGATCTTCGGCACTTTGGTCAGCGCCAAACCCTGCTCATTTTCATTGCAATAGGCGACTATATCACAATCGTAGTCTCTCGTTTTCGAACTATCGTTACTTAATACAGTTTTCGTAACAAACCCAACAGCACACAGCACATGGAAACCATTTTCAAAAAACGTGGAAGGAAATCTAACCTTGGATTGCAGACCTGGAAGTCCAGCCGACAGAATTGCTCCCTGCCCCAAACAAATTTCGCATGCATTTCACATGAGATGGTTGCCCACAAGAACCAATTCATACAAACTTGCAAAAGGAAAAAAGAAAAGGGAAAGACTTGAACCTGTGAGAAACCGAGAAGGCCGTCAATGGGAGCATGCTTGATCATTAATTCCTCTATGTAAGCTAAGCACTCTTCAAAATTCATGTACTCCGTGAATTCCTGCAACAATCAGCCCGGAGAAAGTTTTGAATACGGCAGAAGTTCAAGAAAAGACAAAAAAACAGAGGAAATGGGATTTAAAGGGGTACCTTGTTGAATTGGAACCACTCGTAATAAGGAGGGTCGAAGATCCCTTCGACCTCTGATTTGCCCTCGGCGGGGTAAGGGGCGTCGACGAAGACTAGATCGAGGTTCTGGAGGACGGATTCCGGCCATTTGATGGTGAGCTGCTTCTTCAAGATTGCTGCGCTGGTCCTGAACCCGTGCAGGCACAGGAACCTGGGTTTCCTCGCCATCTCGCCTTCCGACCCCATTTCTTTATGCTTTGGACTTGTTGTTTCAGTTGAGAGGAGAAAACCAGAAAGAAAGGAAGAACACCCCTGTAGAAGAAAAGAAGGATTGCCCTTCTTTTTCCCCCCCTTCCTGCCTTTCCTTTTCCTATTCAAATTTGATAGGTGAGGAAGAACGAACACGAACGAAGGAGGGAGAGAGAGAGAGAGAGACGGGGAGGGGGGTTCTGCTTCTGCAGGAGGAAGGAGGGAAACGAATATAAAGGCTAGAAAATTTCATATTTTTGTTTACAATTTATTTTAAAATAAAAAGAGCTTCTTTTGTCTTTTAAGAGATCTATTCTTATGATGCCTCGTGTAATATAAGAATCTTCATTAAAAAGAATAATATGAGAATCTTTCTGAATGAAGAGTTAGTATATGTTATTTTAAAGGAAGGTTTTTTATATATGAAATTGCCATATTTCTCATGGATATATATCATATGCATAGATCTTTGTCATTTGTTTATCACCCATTTCGTACACATTGAATCCGTTTAACAACCCTATAGAAATTAGAAAGGAAACAGTTTGAATTGTATGCTACTACAACCCGTGACCTCAATCTCTGGTTCAGCTGTGCCTAGATTCCCGCTGATGCACTTCCTGCAAATCAGCTTAACCCTCTAAACTACTACAACTGCCCGCAGCCTCGCCATGGTGCGTGCGCGTTTGGGATGGAGGATAGATAAAGACACAAAAAGAGGATAGAATTCAGCCTGCATTTTCTGGCAAACGGATTACCAACCAAGATGTGTATGTAGTAACATGACAGTACAGTGACAGACCTTACATTAGAACCCTTCCTCTTTCTGGACCAATTCATTTTCATTCAGCACCAATCTCGATTTTCATTGCTAATGTTACAGGGGGAGGAAATGATCTTGAACATGGAAGATATCAATAATTCCACACCGAAAACCAAAAAAAGAAGCAAGTTCTAGGGGTGACTAGTAACAGGGTATGAATGGGTTTTACCGTGATAATCAATGTGCAGAAGTAAATCCCAGCTGTATCTTCCTAGTTCCTTCTCGCCATAGCCTTCCATCACCATGTATAACACCGTGAATTCGAGTGCACCTTCAGCTTCATCTTACCGTTCGTTCCCCGTACCCAGTATGCTGACATGCTCGATAAATGCTATCAAACTCTTTTCTTTTTTCATCATTTTGCACTGCCTTGGTCGGAAATTCTCAGTGGATAGGAGAGACCCAATCAGCGTTTCCAGTCTTTTCGCTCCAGGGCCCGGTCTGACAACTGTGGTGTTACCGATGATGGAGCAGGGATCAGTTCCGTTCTCCCCTCGACTCCCAATGCACCAGCCACCAGGAGTGAACATGCCGGGACCTCTTGACAGGAGCTCTGAGTCTACTCTGTCGAGGACAGGATCATCCTGCCTGAACTTCCGAGCAAATGGGGCGTTACTCTCAACCATTTTGTCCATGTCAGCGATAGTCAGGTGGTGAGGGTGTTGCTTCGGAGGGTTGTCCCACGCGATGAAGTGGAGGTCACTATTTACAGTTGTGTTGCGGAACTCGAGGGCATTGCAGATGACTGTGTGGAAGTAGCCTTCTGGGGATGATATGAAGTTTGAGTAGTACATTAGGGTTGTTCGAGGCAAATTGTCCCAACCCCAGATCGTGTAATCGATGAATGGCCGAGAAAGCACCATCCATGCAGAACCTGTATACCAAATGAGAAACCAGCAGTTCATAAGTTCGGGAAAAGGTTAGAAAGAATGATCCTTTGACCATTCTTGATGGCCGATTGGCATTTGGGAAATCACGGTATGCAGAGTCCTATACTATTGAATTGAATTTGGCTCAGAGATGAAACATTGGACTTCCCAAAACCACATCATTATTGTATATTTAAATTCTCTGCTGATTCATTTTGCGTCCTTTCAGTCCGTTGAGCAAGAAGTTGTTTGAGTAAAAAGAACAAGGATTTATGGGAAATAACCACTTCCAGTTTACCTTTCCTTTTCCCCTATCAATATCTCCATTTCTGAAGAACTGCTCCCGACCTTTGAAATTTGCCAGATTTCATCTAGGCCAGGTCCTATGGAATGAATCACTGGGACTCCCATAACCAAGAACAAACCTTTGCTTGCTTGGCCAACTAAAAACCAGTGTTACCTATCTACCACTAAAGCAAGGCACCAAACACAAAGATCGTTTCAAATACTTCAGGCCTCTTCTCCCTACTTCTCTCAAACCCAATAATCAAGTGACTTGATAACCAGCACAAAAGAGAAACATGGTTTACTATATGTAGGGTCACTCTTTCAAAGATCCTTAGGGCTTCAACTTTCCCGTACCTCGGAATTCATAATCTATCTCACAGTTCCAACTTTAAAGCCTCCACCATTGCAGCACTAGGTTCAGTTCAGACAAAGCATGAACTAAACTTTTCAGCAGCTAATCACATCTTAGTTCCAAAAGGATAAACAAGACAACTACACCCTTTGGAGCATTTACCAACAGTCTACAAAAACCAGGACAGAAAGTGAAGCTAAACCTTACATGCCAACACAATCTAAATGCAGAAGAAGCAGATAACTAACAAATTCCGATCCAATTCGGAACAAAGAATCCATACCTGTGAAGAGCTTGAAAGCTGTCGGCACACTTCTCCGCTGTGTTTATCCAGAAAACATCAGATTTCTTATTCATATACAACCCAGGATCGACTATAATCGGCTTTGCCCTCTGAACCCTGCCACATTTAAGCAAATCCAAATATCAAGAACAAAACTTGATACCAAAATCCAGCAGAAGAACAACCAACTTGGGAACCTCTTCACTCACTCTTTCCAGCCAATGTCGCTTGTATGATCGATGAAATTAAGATCCCTCGGCAGATAGGAAAACACGTGCAGCAGATCTATCAACCAATCAAAAACATATTCAAAACGAGTTCATCACTAGATCACTGACCCAGCAATTCTGTCAAGAAAAAAGATAAGGAAAAAACTTACCGTCCTGAGTCACGAGTGGGTAATCGGAGGCGCTGAGATTAATAAACCAATCCCAATCGGACCCTTCCCTGAAGCAAGATTGCAGCAGCGTGAAGCGTATTGGCCACCATGGTCGGCCCCCTGTAAGTGACGAGGTTTGCCTTGGTGATCATCTTCACATTGCCGAATTTCACGAAAACCCTATGATCCCGAACGAAATCGGCCAGATCCGCGCGCTCCTCCGGCGGCGATTCGGCGTCCAAGTGCACGACGTAGCGGTTGTTGGGATGGTAGAGAGCCAGCAAAGTCCTTTTGAGCATGTTCCCATCCCCCTTTGACCCCGAGATCAAGTAGGCGAACCGCGGCGGCGGAGGGAGAGTAGAGACCGGCAAAGGCTGCAGCTTGGGCTCCACGAATTTGGAGCTGAAGGAGTAGATTGAGCGGTAGAAGGGAAAGATAGGAACCCCGGCGGGGGAAGAGACAGTGGTGAGGAGTAGGAGGAAGAGGGAGAACAGGGAGCCGATCGCCAGTGGGAAGATCCAGCGCCGCCGGTCTGCCGACGCACCCTGGTGGTGCCGGAAATGACTGTAGTAGCTCTTCAACCGCTTCATTGGGAAATTGGGTAGTTGGGTTGCTGTTTAGTTTCCTTAATTAGAGAGACGAGCAGTAGGGATTAGTAAGGAAGAAGAAGCCGTTTTTTTCTTCTTCAATTTTTGGTTATTCAGATAAAAATGTATTTTGGGTTTCGAATTTGTTGGAGGTGGGAAGATGGTGGGGTTCGTGGGTGGGAGGTTATAAATTAGGTAGAGAGAATGGGGGAGGAAGGCGGTGGCCTGCCGGCGACGATGATGGCGACGGCAGCGGCGGAGAGGAGAGAAAGGGGGAGGGAATAGCGGCAGAAGAGGAGTAAATGGTATTAGCTGGTATTTTCAGATGAGGGAAGACGACATTTTAAATTCTTTTTTCCATTTTTATAGAGAAAAACAAAAAAGGAGTTTTTAAATCTAAAATCTCCTTTCCTTCGCTCTTTCTTTCTTCCTTTGTTTTTCTTTTCTTTTGGGATTTTAGTTTTGTTTCGGAATGGAATTTAACAAATATATAAATATAAGATTAATTAAGAAATGGATTTGACCTCTCTGTTAATTTTTACCCGACTGTAATTTTTGGGTTTTATGAACAGGGAGGATGGATGTTGGGATGTATAGTTACCAAGACAATGGAGTTAGTGAATACCATTGCCGTTTTCTCTTAACCCCCTATTCATTCATGTTCTTACATTTCGCCAACCCTAGAATGACTTAATGGAACTTGAAATAGGGAGCTCTACTTTAATTTGAGAGCCTATTAGTATTAATATGGATATTTAATGAATTCGCGTTGTGATCTATGATGTTCAGTATGCATATCAATTCGAAGGTCTACACCCTAAATATAATCAATTGCATTGTGGGAAGCATTGAATCGACGCAAGGACCACAATTAACAAAAGTAACTGAACAAAACAATTTTTTTTTATAGGTGAGTTTGATTCCAAAAGCCAAAATATTATATTTCATGTATGTTCATGTTATCACAATAGGCGAAACCTTGAAGTTCATCATGCCAAACAATTCTCAATTGATTCATGCTAATTAGCTTTCTCTCAATATACATCAAATACATCTTCACGTTATCGTTAAACAAAGCATAAAAAAAACTATGCATAATTTTTACAAGGAAAGAATCTACCACTTAATGGGAAAACGCCATCCATGCCATCCAGAACTTGTGTGTGTGGATATACACATGTGTGTTGTATAGTTATTGTCAATCAAACAAAGTAAAGTATGAGTTTAAATTCTCCTTGACATTGTTGAGCCCGAAAACAATCAATGGAAAGAAAGGATTAGACAGAGAGAACTAGCAGACATATCAGTTTTTGGAAACAGTGACTTGCTGAGGGTATGCTGGGAGCCATAACAACTTGAGAATCTATCGTTTTGGAAGAAGAAGAATCTTGCGGAAACCAGTTTTTAGCCGGCTATACAACAAAAATTTCTGTCATTTCTTTAATTAAGCTGAGTAGAAAAATGTCTCCGATTGAATTTTGATGATAAACAAACTGTGTATGAATTCGACACTTTCATCATATAAGTTCATCACCGATATGCTAATCGCGTTAAACCATTGACGGCCGAAAGAAGAGATGAAAATTGGGTACCTTGACGTGCTATACGGCCTTACATCATGGCCATGACTACTACGAGTTATATTCTCCAATGACTAATTCCCGACCTCGACAGCCGGACAGACGCTCATGTCAACGAAACTTCTTTCTTCTACTCTTAACTGTATCATTTCATGTAACACGACGTGAAAGTCTTGCCTCATTTTTCTGAGAAACGACGACTCTGAGCTTGGCTTCAAGATCACATCGCCATAATTGATCGCAAAATGGTTCGCAAACAAAGGGACATCTATACACTTAACCCCATCAACCAACCACCATACCTAAACTCATCCCTTCCCCACACCATTTGCTTATAACCTAATCATAGCACAAGCAAGGTATCGGCAATGGATAGAGAGAGAGAGAGATTCATTACCTTCACAGTTTTTCTCTCGTTTTCCACAAGTCCTGCCGCTTGAAGGCTCCACACCAAGTTTGCCCTCCTTTATGACATAGCTGAACAGAAGAATTTGAGCAACTTCCACTACTTCACATTCTAAAACACAGGGACAGAAGAAGGATTTACAATAGCATTACTCACAAGTCACAACATATCGAAATGTATAAGATTCAGCACAACATCAGAGGACCCCCATTTCAATTCATGTGGTCATAAGTTCCCGACATTGCAACCGCCCTCATTCGGTTCATGATCCTCGATGCATCATTCAGTCTGTTTGCCCTTTCAAATATGCCGGCAACAACAAGATGCAATTCCTTCTTGTTGACGTTAGGATCGGAGTCCAGCTTCTCGAATAGGGATTCCACTGCAACAAAATCCCTCCTTGCACCGTAGAGACTCAACATCTGGAAGTGGACTTCATCTGGGAACACACACCCTTCTTCTTGCATTTCCGCATAAACAGCATCTGCTATATCGAATTCCCTGAGCTTCCCATATGCATTCAGGACTAGAGCAATCACATCAGAGTCGGGGAAGTATCCAGCTCCTCTCATCTTCTCAAACACCTCGATCACATTCACGTGTTTCTTGTTCCTGGAGAAGAGATTAATCAAGCATCCGAAGACAGAAATGTCCTTAACCTCCCCTGCATCAAAAGCCTGCCTGAAGACCCATGTCGCCTCTTCTATTCTACCAGCTCTAGCGAGAATTTTGATGGCGGTGTCCCTAGGGATATTATCGGGTCTCTTCAGTTCATGGAGGAGACGTTTGGAGTGAGCAACCAACCCTGCCCTCTCATAAGCCACGATCATTGTTTGATAGAGTACAACATCAATCTCAGCCCCCGAACTCCTTAGCTTCTGAAATAACATTGCCGCCCTGTCTAATTTTCCTGCCTTTTCCCAGATGGAAATGATTGTCGAGTAGGTGATGGGGTTGGGCTCAATACCTTTCTTCTGCATTTCCTGAATGAGATTTGTAGCCTTCTCATGCTCAAGCGTTTTGCCATAGATATTGATCATCGTGTTATAAGTGACAACGTTTTGCTCAATGTCTTTTCTCTGCATCAATCTAAATAGATGGATAGCCTCCCCGAAAAGCTCGGCTTCTCCATAAACCCTCAAAAGCGTGTTGTAACTTACTACAGTAGGTTGGATTCCCATCTTCCTCATGCTCCAAAACAACCGATCCGCTTCTTTAGCCATATCGAGCTGTCCATAAACATCGATCATGATATTACACGTCGTGAGATCAAGTGGGCACTTCACCTCATTCATCTCAGCAAATACTGACAAGGCCTCAAGAAACTTGTCATTTTCGACATAAACAGTCAACAGAGTAGAGTAACTAACGGTATCAGGAATGACCTCCACATCCCTCATTTCCTTCAACAACATCCTCGCTTCCCTAAAAAGCTTTGCCTTCCCAAACACATTGATCATCGAGTTATACGCAACCAAATCAGGGGTAATCCCATTCCTTTTCAACCTCATAAAGATGGAGATAGCCTTGGAGTAATCACACAACTTCCTAGCAAGCTCAATCAAGTTACTATACAACACAAGATCACCCGACACCCCGTCTTGCTCCATCTGTTGAAGCCAGAAAAGGGATGAATCAAACTTCCCCGATTTCCCAAACTCGGTGATGAGGGTAGAGTAAGTATACCTATCTGCCGCCAAACCTCTCTGGCGCATTTCGTCGAACAGCCCGTGTGCAAGCTCCCATCTTTTCGCCCTCAACACGTTCCTCAACACCACGTTGTACGCAAACACGGACGGCGAGTACCGAGCCACCTCGTTGATCCAATCCAGTAGCGCGAGCGACCTCTGCCAATCCGGTTCCCGCGAGAGGAGCGAGACCATGAAACGAATCGACAGTTGCCTGTCGTTGTACGGGGACAACAAGCAGTACAGTTCCTGCTCGTTTCGGGTTTGCCTGATGGAAGAAAGGAGCTCGCTCATGTCTATGGTGCGGTCCAAGTAAATAGGCTCTTTGGTCTGTCTTCTCGATGGGTTTCTGGTCCATACATCTTTCCTGGTCGCGCCGGAGTGGACCAGATGGGCTCCGGCCCCGACGGTGGTCGTAGAATTCGTGGCGGCAAAGGCATCAATGCGGGATTTGGGTATGCGTGTAAGGAAACTGGAGAGGATTGAAGAAGATGAAGGAGAAGAAATGAAATCAATGGATTGCAGAGCAGAGATGGAGAGGGAGTACATTGGTGGGGTTTATTTTACAGGTCTCACCTGGGAAAGAGATTTTCCTGCCAGATGGCGGGTAATACTTTCTTTCAACCTATCGTGAAAATAGTCAGTTATCACGGATCTCATGGGCTGGGTCGAGGTCAGAGGCTCCAACTAGGGCTGATCCAGCAGATTGGGCCTCATTAATGATTTAAAAACTGGTGCATCTTGGGCCAACGACTAACCATTGCAATTCCGTGTTCACTCAAATCCCAGTATCTGATCCCATTTACAAATTACAAAGATGACATCCTGATTGTGATCAAGAGAAAGAGGACCAACTGCATGATAATGGAGGACCTGAGACCTTGTCCAGAAGCAGAAGAGCGAGGAATAGGAGAAGAGGGCGCGGCACGAAGAGTGGCATTTTCTTTTGGGCAGACGAAGTTGCAGCGACTGGGATGGGCGATTCTGTACACACCATTGCTGGCCAAGATGAAGACGTCTTTCCTATTGTCCTCTCCGAAGCTGAATATGTAACCAAGCGAAGGCAGCGCACTAGTCCCTGCATCGGACGAACATGCAACAGGAGAGTCGTGTGCGCATTTTACCTCGAGAAGGTTGGTGCTGAAGTGTCCACTGTCGTCTGGGTTCTCCGTCCCTGCCCACACGTTTCCACCGTACAAATCAGCATAAAGGTACCTGAAGGAAAAAAAAGTAAACACAATACTGATTTAGTTGAGCTGAGTTTGGTCAACCTCAAATTTCAGTAGCGAATGTGGTGATGAAAGTTGTTCACAAGCAATGTGCTATCGGTTGAGCAGCTTGGAATCTAAACTGTGATAAGGATTGGAGTTTGAGCTTCCGTACCTTCCATACATACATGGATCAGTAGTTGAGCGGTAGAAATAGCCACCAGTGATGGAAGCAGATCCCGTTTTAACTTTATTGATCTCATAGTGATTGTACCCCATCACAGGAAAGATTGGGTTCATGGAGCTTTTCATGGTAGATGAATTCGCCGTCACCTTTGAATTTGTGTCGTTGTAAACGGAAGGCCCTTCATAAACCCTCCATCCATAGTTTCCGCCCTTGCTCACAAGGTTCACCTCTTCAAACATTTCCTGTTATATCAAATTCCCCCTTCAATTCACCAGTCTTTCCATGTAACTTGAATTACAAGGCAACTGTAGGTAAAATGCAAGGCTTACCTCGCCAACATCGGCACAGAGGAAATACGAAGGTCTAGTTGCATCAAAGCTACATCCCCAAGGATTTCGAAACCCCATTGCCCAGATTTCAGGTTTGAAATCCTTATTTTCTGTAAATGGGTTATCTCTAGGGATGGAGTAATTCCCCCATAAACCCAAGTCGTTTATTGCTTTTGCACCTACAGTTCAAGAATATCAGGAAAGTCTTGAATCATGAAAACAGTAAATAATGGCATAAGATAAAGCTTGAACTGTTAAAAAAAAAAAACTCACTTGCTACATTGTCAACATCAATTCTCAAGATCTTCCCAAGTAAAGACTGCTTCTCTTGTGAGAAATTTTGAGGATCGCCTTTGCTTCCACCATCCCCCATCATAAAGTACAAATACCCATCTTCAGGTCCAAACAGTATTTGACCACCATGATGTGCACTGTAAGGAAGCCCCATTGTCAATATTCTCCTTACTTCCTGTGGAAGTAACCTCATCCACTGCATTTAGCAACCCGATGAAAAGTAAAATACTAGAACTAGACATGGTAAAACAACACAAGAAGACCTTTTTCTTTCTATACCGTGCTCGGAGGTTGCAATGCAGTACCGTTGGCACTGTACTCAGCTACAACGCTATGGAATTGACAAGGCTGTCCTCCATCTTTTGAAGGAAGCAGTGAAGGATCACAGCCGAAATCTGAGTTACACGAGCATCTCCCTGAGCATGTGGGTGATGTCACCTTATCACAGTTATATGAAGCAAATAATCGGCCATTCTGTTCAAACTTAGGATGGAAGGCTATCCCCATTAGCCCAAACTCGCTGTCGAAATGTACCTGATCAGTCAGGTCGAGAAACGGATTCGATTCATCGAGCACCATCACTTTCCCAGACCCTTCTTCTGGCAGAGTCGCCAGCCAAATCTTGCCGGACTGGCTTGCCAGAAGAACCCGATTTGACCCATCTGGCAATGCAGTCATGTCGAGGTATGAGCCATTGCCAATTTTCTCCAGGCAGACTCCGCTAGAAGGTGGTGTTCCTGGTATATTATTGTGCTTTAAGACTGGCCCTCCTCCGAAACATGTTGTGTTAACCCCTCCAAATGCACTGCAGAAACCAGTCTCTGAATCCCAGAAATCAGTCAACTTGGTAAAGGACTTCCCCGAGGCTGACCAGCTCCACCTCTCAAAGTAAATACAGAGTTTGATACTGAGACATTGTGACATTGATTCCAAACTTCAGAGCAATAGTCATTGCACAGATTGGGTACCAACCGAGGTACAGATCCAGTCCCGTATAACTCTGCTGAAAAAGGATCACATCTCTGCCACCCCAGAAAGTTGACAACCAGAAAATCAAGTTGTTAGGAAATGGAAACTATTTTGTAACAGAAGGATAAACATTACATGGGTGGGTAGAACTTAGAAGCTACTACTCACTGAGCAAAGTATGGATTTGATGATGGAGGCACAACGTGGAGCAGCCGGCACATTCATTGCCTTGAACTGGTTCTGCAACTGAAGGTCTTGAGTGGAGTTACAGCACACACTTCCATTGTACTGACAGAAGCCAAGAGAGGGTTTTGTGGTAAATGGTGCTCCTATTTTCCGAAGCAAAACAAACCAACAAAGAGAAAGATTGATCAGAAGACAAATCTGAGAAGAAAATGCACAAGATGCAAAAAAAACAATAAAAACTTACTTGAATCAGTACACAATGGATGGGTGTAGCCATGTTCAATTAGCAGTGCGAAGAAACAGAAAGAGAAAACTGTGACTGCAACACCGCCCATCTCAAAGGAATAAAACAGGGAGGGGGTAATCAAACCATGGGATCAATTTACTGAGTTTGAGAAATTCTTGGAAATATGAAGAGGCCCAGAAAATTGTGCAGTCAACTCATTGACCATTTTGGTTCAAATAAACTAATAACAACTTGGTCCTAGTGAAATCTAAATATTCTATCAGCCCAATGAGTTTGTTTGTCACTATAGGACAGAAACCTTGGATTTTTCTATTCCAAATCCAGAAACAGGAGCCTAGCTTTGCTGATAAACAAAATCACGATAAGGGTGCAAATTCTCTGACAGTCATTAGTTGACTTTAGTTGAAGGGAAGGAAAAAGAAGGGGGGGGGGGGGGGGGAGGAGGAGGAAAGCTTACCAGAATAGGAATGGATGGAAGTGGAAAAACTTAATTTCTTCAACTTGACATATAAAATGATATTGCGGCTACCACTGCCATATCATTCCAGCAGAGTTGACTTCAATTTTATTTAGTGATGAGAAAGAGGGAGGTAAAGGAGCCATTTTCATCCCCAATGTAACTGATGTGTCGTTGTATACATACCAAATACAATCTGAGCATATCATCATTTCATCTTGGAGCAAGGCACTCTTAACCTAAACCGCATTGAACATTACCAGTCTATCTAGTCTATCATTCATGTTAGTCAGTCGTCTGTCAAATAATTTGCTGAACCCAGTTGGTGAATCTTGAAGATCAGGTAGAGCTGTGTCAGAAAATGGCATTTCCCATACCTACCCAAATTACAAAAGTTACTCAAGGTGAAGGATTTTTGCAAAATTTAAGTATTGTGAAGAAACTGTAACGAATATGCACTACACCATTTAGTACTTACTTTTTTTTGACTGAAGTTACAACTTACAACAGCTCTCATTGTCAGGAAACAGCAATAATGTTCCAAAGTGATAAACAAGAATGCTGATTATTGGTGGAACCCAGTAACAAATCTTTGAGTTCCAGCAAAATCAGGCACTATGTTGAGATTGCTGAAGCTGCCATCAAGTTCTCTTTGAATGTAGTCTACTAGATACTTGCATTGCTCTTCACCATTTGTCTGAAGCACACACCAAAAAGTAGATTAGGGGGATTAACGTAATCAATCAGATCTCAGTATGCAGATTATTCATTATAGCAAGGAGCACCATACAAATAACTCAGTAACAGAGCAACAGTTATCTCTGACTTGGATGTGATTGCAGCTATGGCCTTATACAGATCCCTCTAATAAAGTATATTATAACAGCACATGAATGATACTTCCCAACTACTGAAAGCAGAGAGAACTACGGATTGTCAATTAACTTGCCTCAAAGGCAAAAAATCCACCAGCTTTCAACATTTTAGCAGCTCCAGTAGAAAGAAGGAGAAGACTATCCATGCCACAGTCACCACCATCTAATGCAAGCTTCGGTTCATGTCTGCCAACTTCAGCTTGAAGCTGGGGCATATGGTTGCTTGGAATATACGGTGGGTTACTCACAAGACCTGAAAGTTTTCCTTCTAAATTCCCCAACGGCTCAAACCAAGAACCCTGTCTCACCTCAATCACGTCCTGTTTTCAAGATGAGAATTAAATCTTTGAGGAAATGCAGAAATCGACTTGGTTGTAAGTAGCTAAACTGGGCAGTGGGAACAGACAAATAACATTAGAGTCCAAACATGAACGGAAGTATAGAACTACAGTGAATTTTGGGGAATGTCGAATTCTAAAGCAACTAGGCAGAACTGGATGCATACTGACCTGGAGGCTATACCTCTGCACGTTAAAGTTGGCCACAGAAACTGCAAGCGGACTTACATCCGTGGCAATGACACGGCCAGAACTCCCCAAAACCTTCCCAATTCCAATGGCAAGAGCGCCACTGCCAGTCCCCAAATCTGCCCACGTCCCATTTCGCAAATCATCCGTTCTAGACACCAATTCCTCCACCAAGTCCACAATTAGTTCAGTCTCTGGCCTCGGAATCAAAACCCCTTCCTGAACACTCAGCACCAAATCTCTCCAGTGCTCACACCCAACAAGATACTGCAAAGGCCTCCTTTTCTCGATCCGGTCTTTCCACAAGTTGTAAAGATCATCCAGACTGGCCCTCAGCTTGACATTTTCACAAACACCTTCCTTGCTTGCTTGTCGGAACGAGGAGGGATGTTCAATTGCGTCCTCTAAAAGCCAGTTCAGCTCTCTACACAGGAGGGTTGAATCAGGGCCATTGTCCGCTTCGACAAACGACGACCCAACTGAGGACGCGAGAGTTTTGGCCCATTCATGCCATTTCTGGAGCTGGAGCGAAGTTGCGGCATGAATTGGTGGCCTCTCGAATAAAGGGATTTGGGGCTTCGGCACTACCGTCGAGAGTTGCCGCGGGGAAGAGCAAATCGGCCGGGAGTGGAAACACGCACGGGCGAAGCTTAGTTGCATAGCTAAACACACTTCCTCGTTGACAAGGTATTTCTCACTTCGTGATTTTCCGGCGGGCAAAGCTATGTGTGCTACGGAGTTGAGTAGCTGAGCCAGTTAACCGTGAGGGCTGAAGTGGCGGGTGATATAACGGGGTTAAATTTCAATTTCATCCAAATTGACAGCAGTAAATTTCAGTTTCGTCCAACTTTGACAAATATTGTAGGGAATTTTATTGCTCCAAAAATACATTTGTTTGGCTTATAAAAAAAATACATTTGTTTGCAATTAAAAAATTTGTTGGCTGAATTTGGTAATATGCTCTTTTCGGAATTTGAAGCCAAATTTTTAATATTTTTTTTTTTCAAATTCAGTAGTTGAAACGAAAATCACAGAGAGGAAGAAAGAAAAGCGCGAGAGTCGGCCAATAATCGAATCTCGATGAGAGGGCCTTTTATGCCACATGATGGGCAGCCCTAATGAGTTGACGAGAAACAAAACACTAAGAAACTCGAAGCTAAGCTCCTAGCATCCTCCAAAATAGCTCCATCCCGATCATGATGCAAATCACCTCCAACCATCCGTTTTATTTTATAGTTAAATAGAATTGTTTATATAGTATGAACTAGAAATATATATAACACACTAATTTTAGAATTGAACACTAAAGATAAACCATTTAAAATTTGTATTGTCCATCATTATAGGTTCTAACTTATAACAAATCATTCGAACTATCTCACAAAGCTCAAACAAAAAGTCTATCAAATTCAAACTAGCAATTAGGGCACCACGTAAAGTCAAGAAAGTTAGAAAAAATAAGAACAGGAAACAAAATAAAAGTAGTAATCTAGTATGGATGGTATTAGTTCATGTTACAGTTCTTTCTCTTAAACATTTCTCGTTAAAATACTAGACCAGTCAAAACGAAGGAAGTGATACATCTAATTACAAGTCCAATTATTAAAAACCATTTGGCGTGCCCCTAATTGTACAAACAAATGGTTGACCCTCTATTGCAACAGACATGAAGGTTCCACTCAATCTGCCAGTGAAGATCTTGTTCTTATAACAAATGGGAGTACAAGACAATTTTCATACCAACTCTATATGACAAGCTAATATTTAGAGTCAAATTTTGCCACCTCACATGGCGTTCATGTTAAGATTATCACAGTACGGAACCTCATGAACATACTAGTTTTCATCAATTCAAGTAAATTCGGTCTATATTCGTGATTGGCATAAGTGGGTTTTCCATCGGTTTGATAAAGCTGATTAGACCTTTGGCCCATCTCTATTTCTTGTTAGCCTGCTTGCCTTGCCTTCTGAGTTCTGACCATGCTTCTTTCTCTGTTGTGGCTAGACCATCTGCCAGGTGCTAAGAATACTTAGCGTCCTTGCGACCACCTTGAATCCCGCCTTCAGATTAGTAATAGATGGCCAACTCTTGCGTCAATTGAGGACTGTCTCTTGAGAGAAAATAGCGCGCTTGCGCAGTAGCTCGTGGTTGATGGATGATCGAAGTGTTGACGGAGCCATGTAATGGGAGTCAGTCCATCTAACGGTTAAACCTAAACACACAAGGTTTCTCTCTCAATTGCTGACATTCAAAATTCATGTTGTGTGCCATTATCGTTGGGTTGTTTGGGAACTTGCCAACATCACCAAGGAAAGAAGTACATACAACAGATTTCCAACATTGCAACAATTGTTACTTCCGAGTTTAACACTCTGAAAGTAGTTTTATCCTTAATTCTTGAATTTTACCCCGTCTTTCCTTTTGATGTTTCCTTGTAAGGTAGAGAGTAAAGGGCTTAGCTTCTCAGTGCTTCCTTTTATACTATGTAGCTAGATCTTCTTGTCAAACATCTACTAAGCCAAACTCTCTCACTATACCTTCTACTAGTGTCATATTGCAACCTAGCATTTTCTTGATCTTTCTTAGCTTATCACATAACTCAACTACTCAAGTAAGCAATGCATAAACAAAACCAAGCCAGTACCTCATCTCCATCTCCATTTTCCTACTCTGGAAGCACTTTTGCATCAAGTTCTGCAGCATAGACATGCTGATGGCTTTGACAATCGGTCGTATAGAAGCAATCGTGTCTTCCGACCTTTGTCTGCACTAGTTCAAATGATGTTTCCAAACCGCATAAAGCAAACACCAGTAATACATTGTGAAATGTAATGGGAGAATAAGAAGAGGTCGTGGAAGTCGTCGACATGGTGAAGCAGCAGAGAACAGAGGCAGAAAGAATAAGTAAAAAGAAGGGCACAGAACTCGTTGGAGTTTACTGATGCTCTGATACCATGAAATGTAATGGGAGAACTTGATTTATATTGATCAATATCTGTACATATATAGCAGTTCTAGACTGTTGCTAACAACCTATTCCTAAGGGAAAGCCAAAACAGAGTGGCTGTAGACTAGGAAACAGACTAACAGAAAGAGAGAAAGGTGAGGTATACATGGCTGCTCTATCACATTGCTCATTCTATGGCCCGATTCCATACTCGATGACCTTCCCGTTGCAATCCAACAATGAGTACATGCCATCAAAACCCCAAGTAAACAACTGCATGAGGATTAAGTCCATCTTCCACCTGCATTTTCCTCAAACACCCGATTGGTTCCTCACATAGCTATACATCACAAAACCACCAAACATCACTGCCTCGGTGAAAGCCACTTGTTTTAGTCCTCAACTATGAGATCTCTAGGGCCATATGTATACATCTAGCCGCAAAGTGCAACAACATGTAATAGTGTATCCTCCACCAACCATTCTGTCTTGACCTAATGAATCAACCTCCCTGACTATGCTAAACTAAGCACAAGCTTGCAACGCTGTATTTATACAGACTTCAAACTTCAAACCAACATTTTCATTGCATCACAAAAACGCCTTTGCAATCAACAGGAAAACGATCCAGATGAGGAATTTCGTCGAACACCTGTCGTGCACAGTTCATAAAGTTCCACTGACACATATAATGCCCAAAGCCAGAAGTTTGAATGCGCGCACATGCTATAGCCAACCCATTTTTTACACCTTATTGTGCATGCTCGTACCCAGAAACAAGCACCAGTTCGTCGAGTGGCACCACAACTCGCGAGAGTTTAAATTTCGGCTCCGAGCTGGATGATGGCGGCCTGACAGAGTTTTTCTTGTTTCTGCTTTCTTTTCTAATTTTAAGATGGAGTTTTTACTTTTTAGTCATTAAAACGGCGTCGCTAGGAGGAGTTTTGACTGTCAATTGTCAACCCGACTCAGGCCGGCCGGGTATAGCGTAGGCTAAAGAGTCAAAAGTCAAGGCCGTCAAGGCGCCAAATCGGCCGATCAACTAACAGCCAGACTAAGGCGGCGACGACACTGCAATAGCTAGAATAGCACTATATTAGTAGACCAGGTGGTTTTTGCTGCTGAGACATTTGCAATTCATTCCATGGTCTTGAAAAGCTTCGTCCTCCTCCAATTTGGAAGCCTTTCTTCTTCGCCTTTAACGGCGTCCGCCGCTCGCCGTTGCAATTTTGGTCATCTTCGCTCGGTTACTCCCAGTAGACGCGTCTTTACTTGCGCAGCTGCAACAACAACTCCACCACCACGATCAGACGAAAAGGTGAAACGGATTGCTCTCTCTTTTTGCTTCGTTTGCGTTGTTTGTTTTTTATCTTGTTGTGGGTTTGATTGCGCTCTTGAGGCATCGTAGTCCAATTGTGAGCTATTATTGGTGGTTGTCGATGGAGCATCTGGAGTGTATGGATCACATTAGAGCTAAGTCCTTGGCACCTCATCTGAATGTTCTAGTTGTGGAGAAAGGAAAGCTTCTATCCAAAGTTCCTTCTTCCAATTTTTTATTTCGCTTTCTTATTTAATTTCTTGGATTTGGTCTGTTGAATTGGGGAGTGACTGCCCTTGAAGGTGAAAATATCTGGAGGAAGTAGATGCAACATTACACGGAGAAATTGTGCCTATGAAGCCATGGTTAGAATTCTCATGACTAAGTGAACTAGTTTGTTCGAGTATGGATAAGACAGTGTAGTGCTTTCGTTTACTGCTGCATCTTGACTTACATTGTAATCATATGGATGAATGGTAACCTCAATAGCTAAGAAAGGTTTTGGTTTTTATTAGTTTTCCCTAGCATCAAACTTTAATGCTTACAATTCCTTCAAGCTGCATATCTGCGATTTGAAATTCTAGTAGAGCTACTGTAGTTTCTTTTGGAGGCTTGGTTTGTCTGGATTCACTTTTAATGGGTTGTATATTTAGAATTTACTAACTGGAGGTATTGGTTCATAGATTTTGGCAGGACATTTCCCTAGAGGTTATAGAGAGCTAAGAGAGGGTCTTTCTTCAGCACTCATGGCCCCATGAGACACCATGTCTTGGTTTACAGATCATGGATGGGGTGGCATTGAACTTGAAGGTTTGTGTTTCTTCATTGTATTTTATTCGCTATTGTTTTTAATGAACGACATTGATTGATGAACATCTGACTTAGATTGAGGAGGATGAAACAGGGTTTACTATCAACAACAATTCATCATCAATAGTTTATTACTTGATTGTCTTCTATTTGAGGTCAGAGAAAGAGGATGAATGGTTTTTGATACAGTGTTGTTGGCTGAATATGTATTTAGTTCATGACTTCATATGATATTTTGACAGTTTTCAACTTTGATTATGCAAATGTTCATGAGATTTGGATTACTTGTTACCTCTGCTAAACTACATTGTTCATTTCTTCTTTAATTGGATACTTGTTTGGAAGGGTTATGATGATGATAATAAAAAATAATACTCCTTATAAAAAATAATAAATAATATTGCTAACTAACCATTGTTATGCAGGTAACAAAAAAAAAAAAAACCGGGTCCGGTAAGGGCAGGGCTAGTTAATCCATGGAGTGGGAAGGCCTGATAAAAGCGAAGTCTAGTCCCTCAGTCTTCTTGGCGTCAATCGACGGCTGCGAGAAGAAACGGCCGGAACAGCAGTTCACTCAGCTTTCCCTTTGGTGCCACAGTTTTCTGCACTGCATGCAAACTTTTCTAGACCTGATTGCCAAGTTCGACGCTTTTTACTCTTTTCTCTTCGAGCCCTAGTAAACAAACAGCGTTCTTACTACTTGTGTCAGTGTTTTGACTTGACTCGTTTCTTTCCCTGTTCAGTTTTTCGGCCCGGTGATCACTTTAGGAAGCACCACCGGCAATGGCGACGCCAAGAGAGCACATTGAGGAGCTTCGGAGGAGGACGTTCTCCATTGGGTCAGAGGAGAAAAATCCTCTTGCTTTTATGCTTGATAAAGCGGTCAAATACCTCTCTGCTGAACTCTATGCTAAGGATGTTCATTTCCTGATGGAACTCATTTAGGTCTTTCTGTCGTTCTAAACTCCTTCCCCGAGTCCGCAAAAGTTTATTGTGTTGTTTTGGTTCTACGACCTTGAAATTTTTTCCCCTTAGGTTTCTAACCTAAGTCTGTCCCTGTGCTTATGGGGTTCATTTGCAGAATGCGGAAGATAATGTGTACTCCAACGAGGTGGATCCTTCACTGGAGTTCATCATAACGTCCCGGGACATAACTGGAACTGGTGCACCGACAACACTACTGCTTTTCAATAATGAGAAGGGGTTTTCTCCCAGGAATATCGAATCCCTATGCTCTGTTGGAAATTCCACAAAGAAGGGCAAAAGAAAACGCGGTTATATTGGAGAGAAAGGTGTTGTGCTAATCTCTGTTCCCCTTTTCCACTCCACAATTTTTGTCTTCTTTCTGCTTCTTAGTTCTGCATTGTGTTGGAGCACTTTGTCTTTCTTCATTTGAGTTCTTGTTGGCATGATTTGCAGGAATTGGGTTTAAAAGTGTGTTTCTGATCACATCCCGGCCACATATATTCAGCAATGGGTATCACATTCGCTTCAACAAGAAGCCATGTCAACACTGCAAGCTTGGTTACATAGTTCCTGAATGGATCGATGATGAAGACAAGCCCTCTGTTGCAGATATACAACAGATTTACGGGCCTATTTCACCCTCCCCACTACCACATTGGTCTTGCCTCTTAAACCAGACAAGGTGAAAGCGGTGAAGGAACAGCTCTCCAGTGTGCATCCTGAAGTCTTGTTGTTCCTTTCCAAGATAAAGCACTTTTCAGTGAGGGAAGATCCCAACCTCAATACTGTTTTAACCATTTCAATTACTAAAGAGGTTGACTTAGTTTGGAGAAAGAGTATCGACGCCATGTCCTACACCCTCCACCTGTCTGCCGAGAGCAACAATGGTAAAGGCAATGGTGAATGCAACTACTATGTGTGGAAGCAGAGGTTTCCAGTGAACTTGGAAAACCGAGTTGAAAGTAGAATCGACTTGGAAGAACTGGTAGTGACTTTAGCTTTCCCAAATGGAGAACGTCTTCACAAAGGTGGAGGAAAGCATTCACCTGGCATCTATGCATTTCTTCCCACGGAAATGATCACCAACTTTCCCTTCATAATTCAAGCTGATTTTATCCTGTCATCATCCAGGGAAGTCGTGCTGCTTGATAGCAAATGGAATCAAGAGATTCTCGGGTGTGTCCCCACAACATTTGTTAATGCATTAGTTGCTGTGATCAAAAGCGACCAAGGTGTTCCAGTTGCTACTTTGCGTCAAATGTTTTGGTTTCTGCCAATCGAGGCTTCTTCGTACCCACTCCTGAATGTTGTGAGGGCATCAATTCAGATGAAGTTATCTAAAGAAAGCATTTTGCCAAGTGAATCCCATAAGGATCAGAAGTTCTTTCACAAGCCCTGTGAAGTCGCTCGCCTTTTGCCTGCTTTATGGGATATCCTGGAGAAAGCCAGGGATGGAAATGTCAACCTTCATAATCTATCATCACATGGCTGCTATATCCTTGCTTCTTTGTTTGATATCGACGAGTATAATGCGGTTCTCGGTTTCCTGGGCGTGAGATTTGTGGCACATGAATGGTATGCAAAGTGTATCCAGAGCTCTAATCTCTTGAAGGGAATCTCAGATGAATTGTATGTAGAGCTTCTCCATTTCTTCGCTGAGAACTGGGCAACAAAATTATGGAACACAAACTTGAGAGGTGTACCTTTACTAAGACATGTTGGTGCTCATGGGAATGTGTGTATCTGTAGCATCAATGAATCTGAATCTGCCTCCAAGAAAAAAAGTGGTCGTGTCCTATGTCTATCAAGAGGAGTTCCATATGCATCATGGCTTAGTCATTGGAATGAGGAGTTTTGGCACATAACGCCCTTTTATTTCCTTCCAGAAACAACACAACGTGCATTGTGGTCATTTTCGAAAAGCAAAAATGTGCTACATTGGCTTAAATCTGTGGCAAGGCTTGTTGAGTTGAATGTGTATGAATATTCAAAGTCGATTAGTGAGCATTTAGGTGCTGAACAAAAGCTTGTAGTAGCCTATGCTCACTTACTGTATCGTTCACACTCAGACAAGCTTCTGTCAGACGATGGGGTTTCTTAAGCTGTGTCATCACATGCCACTTGTTGATGCCTATGGGACAGTTTTAAAAGCTACAATCACGTAGTCCTAATGCCTGGTGGTGAAAGTAGATGGATGGAATTGATTGGTTCAAATCCGTGGAGACAAAAGGGTTTTATCGAGTTAGGGGAAGAGTACTTACAGAAGGGATATTTTTGTGGTCATGGCTCAGGAGGTGACAAAGAATTCTTGGAGTTCCTTTAAACTCTTGTTAAAGTTTATGATATTCCTAATTTATCTCCTCCCAATGATGAAATCCCTACAGTGACAGGACCACTCACCAAGCAGAATGCACTGTGGTTGTTGGATTGGATTGATGATCTCAAATCCAAAAGAATACAGATACCAGAGAAGTTCTTAACTTCCATAAGAAAAGGTAGCTGGTTGAAGGTTACTATGAACGGGTCTTCTGATTATAAGCCACCATCTCAGTCATTTTTGCTTTCTTTGAAGAGGACGAAAAACTCAGAATGGGGAAGCATTTTGCAAGATGGATCTGTGGCAGTTGATATCCCTTTGGTGGATTTGAGTTTTTATGGTGAAGATACTATTATTGCTCACAAGGTGGCACTCAAAGAAATTGGTGTCATGTTTGAATACGAGGAAGCTTGTGAGTATATTGGCCGACACTTCATGTCACATATTGATTCTACGACTTCAACGAGAGGCACTGTATTCTCGATGCTTAAATTCATCAGATTTCTGAGCGATAAATTTCTGCCCCCGTATAAATTCATTTCTAGCATAAAAGGGGATAAGTGGCTACAGACTTCATCACATGGTTACCGCTCTCCCGTTGAATGCGTTGTACGCAAGGGGCTTTGGGCTGTTGCAGAGCAAATCTGTGAACTTCCCTTCATCAGTGATAGTTATTATGGACAGGAGATCCATTCCTTTGAAAACGAACTCAGTTGTCTTGGTGTGAGAGTTTGCTTCACTGTTAGTCACGATCTTATTGTCCAACACTTGAAACCCAGTGCTTGCTTGTCTGATGATTTGACAAAAGAAGCGCTTTTCCTGATTTTGGAATGCATGCGTAATTCAAAATCTGCTGCTTCTAAAGTTATCACGACACTACAACAAGCTAGATGTTTGAAGACGAGTTGGGGTTACAGGTCTCCTGGCGAATGTTTCCTATTTGACCCTGAATGGAGCTGCCTTCTGGAGGTTTTTTGGGGTTCTTCTCCGATCATTGATGGTGGTTTCTATGGTGATGAAATTAGCACCTTCAAGGAAGAGCTAATACAAATAGGAGTGAAGATAGATTTCAAGGATGCGATCGAAGCTTTCGTCGCCACTTTTAAGCAGCAGCAGCAACAACATGCATCAATGTCAAAGATTACAAAGGAACAAGTGCTATCATTTCTGTCATGCTTCAGACATTTGAAAGCAATGAAGAAACCTCTCTTTGATATCATAACCTGCACCCGCTCTCAGAAGTGGCTTCGAACGAGGCTTGGTGATTTTAGATCTCCAGCAGAATGCATTCTTTTTGGGCGTGAGTGGGAATCACTCCTTGCAATTATTCGCCTTCCTTTCCTTGACGATGGTGATAATATTGGCTACGGAAAGGGCATTCATGAGTATGCATGTGAGCTCCAGCAGTTGGGGATGATTGCCAGTTTGAAAGGTGGGGGGGGGGGCTAAGTTTGTGCCTTTGTATCTTCATTTCCCAAAGGATCCATCCACCATCACTCCTTCAAACGTACATTCACTGTTAGACTGCATCAGGATTCTACTGCAACAGAAAGATTATACACTTCCCGAGCTTTTTATGAAGAAGGTTTCTCAAAAATGGTTGAGAACTTGTGTTGGCTACAGGAGTCCAAAGGATTGCTGCTTGTTTGATTCCAGTTGGGTGGGACATGGCTCTTCAGCAGACTGATGGACCTTTCATTGATGAATCCTTTTTCGGTCCCGAAATTGCATCCTATAAGAAAGAGCTGGGTGAGATAGGAGTTTGTCTCGATCCAGGAGAGGTATGCAAGCTACTTGCCAATGAGCTTGAGAATCACTCTAAATTAACCACCATAGTCCGGATATATGATTTCTTGAGAGAGCAGAAGTGGAAGCCTCATCAGGAGAATGATGCATCGACGAGGTGCAAGATCTGGTTTCCTGACCATGGCTGGGTAAATTATGAAGAATGCATCCTGCACGATAAAGATGGTCTCTTTGGCTCCCAATTATACGTTCTGGAGAAACACTACAACAACAAATTATTGGGTTTCTTCAAGGAAGCATTTGGTGTTAGAGCTAATCCATCTCTGACTAATTACTGCAATCTTTGGAAGAGATGGGGAAACAGATCAAGTCACAGTTTGACTCATTCAGAGTGTTGTGCATTCTGGAGTTCTGTTGTTATTATGAGCCACCACAAGAGCGATAAGGAGAAAGAAGAAGTCCTTGCTGGAGAGCTCTCGAAGCTCCCAGTGGTTTCCCCGGTCGCCATGGGAGGACAAATACTGATGTCGGACAAGCGAGATGTTTTCATTGCGGACGACCTTCAATTGAAGGACCTCTTCTCGGAGTATCTGATTTTCGCCTGGTATCCTGAACCGAGCTTGCCTGATTTGCCTCGGACTAAGTTGCTGGAAGCTTACAGGGCAATAGGAGCTCGCCGAATTTCTGAGTCTGTGCAGAAGAAAGAAGAAAACTCAGACACCAAAAGTCAGACTTGTTCAGGAAAGAAAAGGAAAACAAAGAGTCGAGAACTCAGACAGTTGAAACCAGAGGATGTTTTCATAGGGAAAGAGCTAGTGAAGATCATACTCGCTTTTCTAGCTGATCCATCTCTCGACAAGGAAGCAAAGGAGAGGCACGAGAAAGTGAAGGCCCTCCTTAATGTTACGGTCTTGGAGACGGTGGAGCCTCTGAGTGTAAGCTACAATTTGACTCTATCTTCAGGGGAAGTATTGAGAAAGGTGAAAGCCACAGAAATGGTTCGCTGGGACAAGGACGATGACAAGTTGTACCGGAGAAGAAAACTGGTAGCAGCAGCAGGAGCAAGAGGAGTCTGATTGAATTTGCTTGTCGTTTCTCTGAAGTAATCGTGAAGGGGATACTTTGGGATAAAGAGGATTGCCATGTAAAGGAGCTTTCCGGGATAATCAAACTGGCTTTTCTGCTCAACTTCGATGAAGCAGCTATTGAGTTCCTGACGAAGTCCAATAATCTTCAGATCTTTGTAGAAGATGAGGAATTCCTCTCATCTGCTTTTCCCCCTCCTAATTAGGTGAGCTACAGCCTACAGTACAATCAGATCATTTCACTTACTATTCTTTGTTAGCTTATTTTGTGTCTGATCTGTTTTGCTCATACAATGTGATCTCTGTGTCTATTTGTATGCTTCTGGGGTTTTTTGTTCCTGAGTTTAGAAAATTGTGAATGCTGGACATGACATTCGAAGTGAGGTTGCTACGTTGGAATTTGATCATGTTCAATATTCCACATTGTTATTGTCAAGGAACCCAATGGCGAGAACCGGCTTCTAGTCAAGGTACAATTCCATAACCAAACCATCACCTTAATCACACATCAGTCTTGCTTTCTTTATACATATCATCATATATATAACCTTTTTCTGTTTCGTCCATTAAAAGGTTTCTTCGTTTCATGTTTCGCAGAGTACCTAAACTTTAATAAAATTGTCTTTCGGTAGATGTGAATGTGATTGTGAGTGTTGCAGACCTCATGAATAGCAAACATCAAGTCTTGTCTTCTACCTATTGCCTGTTAGCTTAATGCTCCTCTTCTTTTTGTGTGTGTGGGGGGTCCTTGAGTAGTAAGTGTGCAGGGGCCTATAAACTATGCTGCATATTCGTTTGATCTCATTCTTTTTTTCTTTCTTCTTCTTTTGATACTGGAGCATGGTTTGAACTTGGTTCCCTCACTTGTTGACCTGTTGATTGGACTAATTTGAGGGAATGCGTTCATTCTTTAGCAGCACAGCTGAATCGTGTGGGTATATCTTGTGTTGTGTATTTCTGCTGCTTCTAGGGGTGTACATGGGTCGGGTAGGTTGAATTTTGACCACTTTAGTCACCCAACCCATACACTGTGGTTTACACATCATAAAACCCAAACCCGCCCATTAAAATCATAACCCAATGGTTTGGATCGGTTCGAATTGAAGTATAATCCCAAACAAAACCCAACCAAATACAAACAAAGTTTCCAACAACTTTTTAACATTTTTCAGCAAACTCTCTTTGCCAAGATGTTTATTTTCCATGGGAATATGAAGTTCAAGTTTCCAATCCAATGAGAAAGTTAGACTAACTATTATTTTTTATTAATTCTATAATTTATCTCCCTCACATTATTGCTTTCCCCTCAGTATATTTATTTACGTGTCCATCTATATGTGAAGTACATGTCACATTTAATGGCACATAGAGAGGGCTTTGTTGATGGGTTGGGTCGGGTGATAATATACAAAATTTCCTTCAACCCGCACCCGCCCATGTATTGCAATTTCTCCCTTCTACAAGATTCGGATGGGTTCGGGCGGGTTGAACGGGTCGCGGGTTACTTTGTTCACCCCTTGTCCTACCTTGGTTCAGTTGTACTTCCCTGGGTAGTATCTTCTATCTTGTGTAATCCCTTATGGAACAAAATTGTCTCACCGTCCTTTTGAAATAATTTGATTAAGAGTGTTAAAGTGTTTGGTTTGTAAGGATTGTAAATGTAGACCAACATAGTTGGATGATATTACCCACAAAGCTGAAAATTGATGTTCATATTCACACAAAATAAAGAAAACAATTTGTTACAAACCAACTCATTTCATAATGAAAGGGAAGATGTAAGGTTAGTACCAAAACAACCCCTTACAAGTGATTGATTTCGTGGATTGTTTGTGCAGGGCGCTCGCTGTCTGAAGGAGCACATTTCACACACTCAACTTGCAGATGGATTATCCACTGTTTGAATCGATGAACCTTGCAGGAAACTGGTGATTTAGTAGGAGAGTTTTAGACTAAAGCAAACCTTTGCACTGCTTGTGCTACTATGTTTTGGCTCTCTGCTTAAATCATGTTTCAATATTTTGTTATGGGTTATAATTGTTCATCCGTGGAGATATGACGGTGTTGGAAGGGTCATGGAGTTGTTGCCAGGAGGTGGATATTTAGTGCTTGTTGCTTTGGTGAATATTGAATAGTGCTCTTGTTGTTAGACATAAGTTGTCATGCAGTCATTCTTGATGGGAGTTCAGTAGCCATTCGTTTATCTATGATCAAATATAAGTTGGATTAGGTTGGTTTCAATTGTATAGTACGCAAGATGCATGTATGTTGTCTTGATTGCATGCTCATTGTAGTATCAGTCCAATCAAGTATCAGTACTAGTTGTACAAATTTAGGGCTGCAAATGAGCCGAGTCGAGTTTTACCTCAGCTTGAGCTCGGCTCGTTAATAAACGAGTCGAGCTTGAGCTCAGCTCATTTATTATCGAGCCGAGTCGAGTCGAGTTCGAGCTAGCTTGTTTACTAAAATCTTGGATTTTATTTCATACTTCATTTTGTATATCATGATACATGTGATTTATTTTGTTAGTTAATCTCATATTATACTTTGTTGGTATCATATATCATTTAGTTAATAAATTTTAACTATCCCAACGTGTTAAACTTTATATGACGAGATATATAATTTAACAACCGTATGAATTAAAATCATAAGATATAGATTGATTCGTCCATAAGTCGATAATCCAGTTGACTCTCTAGCCACATGTTGAGACATATCATGAGCTCTAAAGGAGCCAACTCACGAGTTTAGTTCAAAAAGTCACCGAGTCGAGTTAGCTCGCGAACTTCACGAGTTAAACAAAGCTTAGATCATGTTTGGCTCGTTTGTTAACGAGCAAAGATTCGAACGAGGTTTTCTCGAGTCGAACGCAGCTCATATGCAGCCCTATGTACAATAGAAACAAGCAAAGGAAACATAAAATTTTCTTGATTACTATTTTAGTCTGACTTCGACATAAAATTCTGGTGGCCAGTTCATTGTGTCCACATCCAAACCCACCTCAGCGACCCCTAGGCAAGTTACTAGTCCACTCTCTAGTATACTCTGTTTTGGTGTTTTAAACCATCCAACGGGGCCGAGATGATGTTTTGTAGCTTAAAAACCGACAAAGACGACATGAACATCATACTTACTGGATTGGTAAAGAAGATGAAATCTATTACAGAATGGTGAATCCCAACAATAAGCAATGAGAAGAAATTTCTATTGTTTCGCTCGCAATAGAAAATGCGAATTAGTTCAAAGTTAAATTCCGATGACCCACAACATACAACTATAATTTTTTTTAAACTCTCATTTGGGAAGTCATCGGTTCGAGTCTCTTAAATAACATATAATAGTAAGAATTAAATCAACATCACCCTCATAAAAAAAGTTTGTGTTGATCTTTTAAAATGTAGGTTGAGTCGCGTTGTTTGTCAAGCGTAGTCGAGTTGTTAAATCAGAAACAACTCAGAGCAAACCCTTATGTTATGCATTTAATCCTTAAACCAATCGTTGATGTGGAGCAATTTATAGTAGATAAATAATTTATTCGATTATTTCCAAAAATTGGTGGATGAAACGATTTGATCGAAGAACATAGTGAAAGTTTATTAAATGTAGATAGCGTAGTTATTCAACTGATTCAAACCTTAAACTTGTCGTTGATGTGTAGCGAGTTATAGGATATAAATAATTTATTCGATTGTTTCCATGAACTGGTGGATGAGAAGCAATTCGATCGACGAACAAAGTGAAAATTTATTAAATGTATACAATGTAATTATTCTATCGATTAAAAAAATACAACTATATTGTTGTATGTCATTGATCTTCTTGTTGTGCACTAAGGTTTCTGAACTAATTCATGTTTTTTATTCCCAACGAACCTGCAGTTTTTCTTCCCATTGATTATTATTGTGATTAATCCTTTTGGAATAGACTCCATCGTCTTTACCAATCCAGTAATTATGGTATCCATATTCCTTAGGAGTTTGATCTTCGTTGTTTACGTAAGCTACAAAAGCAGCCGATCTAATATTGTGGGATGGCTGCAAACGACACCAAAACAGAGTCTGCTTGAAAACTTCGTTACGAAAGTGCCATTGAAATTCGCCGTTTACTGCAATATAATGAAGTCCAAGATCGTCCTCCTTTGATTTGCAGTGCACTAGTAACTGGGCTGAGGGGTCACTCAGGTGGTTTAGTATGTGGACATAATGAACTTCCCACCAGAATTTGGCTGAGTTTTGGGGAAGCAAGACTAAGAAAGTGATTAGGAATATGGAGATGGATCGACTAATAGTAGTATCCATTACTCACCAGTGCAGTACGTAGTACTACTGATTCTACCTTTTCCTTTTTCTTTGATTTTATCTCTTCAGTAATTGGGTCTTTATATATGCTCTAACATTGTTGCAATATCTTCTTCGACATTAACTACTATTTATATCTCCATCAATTACTTACCACATATAACACCTTAATTAGGATGAAAGTATATTAATGGTCATTCCACACTCAAAGACGACCAGACAAACGAATGTCAACCACAAAACAATTCACAGCTCGAAAATGAATCTATGGGATGGGGAAAAAACTTTACCGAGAAAGTGGAGGGATGGACACTGTATGGGCAAAGCGTAAGCATCGTCAACCACTAACTTCGCCTTGAATTTCGTCCATCCAACTGTTATCAGAAACTTGATCTTCGGAACTCTGGTCAGCGCCAGGACCTGCCCATTTTGAATGCAATCACTATAATAAACACAACAACAGTAACATAGGAAACCATTTTTAAAACGTGGAAGAAAATCTGACCTTGGATTGCAGACCTGAAAGTCCAGCCGGCAGAATCGCTCCCTGTCCCAGACAAATTTCCACGCAATTCACATGATATGGTGCCCGCGAGAACCGATTCAAACAAACACATAAAGGAAAAGGGAAGACGCACATGTGAGAAACCGAGGAGGCCGTCCATGGGAGCATGCTTGATCATTAATTCCTCTATGTAAGCTAGGCACTGCTCGAAATTCTTGTACTCCGCGAAATCCTTCAACAATCCCCATCCCACAAAAGGTTTTGATTTCCCATAATGGCAGAGATAGAAGAAAACAGAGGAAATGGGATTTTAAGGGCAGACCTTGTTGAATTGGAACCACTCGTAATAAGGAGGGTCGAAGATCCCTCCACCTCGGATTTGCCTTCAGAAGGGTAAGGGGCATCGACAAAGACTAGATCGAGGTTCTGGAGGACGGATTCCGACCACTTGATGGTGAGTTGCTTCTTCAAGATTGTTACGTGGGTCCTGAATCCGTGCAGGCATAGGAACCTGGGTTTCCTCGCCATCTCGCCTTCCGACCCCATTTCTTTATGCTTTGTCCTTGTTATTTCCGTTGGGAGGAGGAAACACGAAAGAAAGGAGGAACAACCCTGTAGTGAAGAAAAGAAGGACTACCCTAGTGCCTTTCCTTTTCCTTAAATTTTGATAGTTGAGGAATAAAGAACAAACGAGGGATAGAGAGCCAACGGGGCGAAGGGTTCTGCTTCAGGGTACCATAGAACTAAACAAAATTTAGTGCACCGGGTACCATTGAAGTTCGTTTTTTGTAGCTTCGTCCACTTTTCCATCCAAAATAAAACAAATATATTTGTCATATCAGTGTGCCACACAGGTAAATAGTTGCTGACTCATTAGGTTTGATTCTGCCCACCCCTCTTAATTAGCTCCCCAATTCCCCACGAGTTAAACGAAAAAGAAAAATTAGCATTGCTCAAAATAAACTCCAAGTCCCAAACAACTCCAAGTTCCAAATGTTTCATCTCCTCTGTACTCATGACTAATAGTTTCTTTTGCCCATTGTTAACCATTTTAGAGTTTTGAAAATGGAAGAACTCGACTGCACCTTTCTCTTCTAAACTTGTGGCTTTTGTCTGGGTGAAGAAAGACAAAGATATGGTGAGTGTTTGGAACAATAGATCTATAAAAGTTTAATAATAGTTAAAAGCTTCCTGCAAGTAGAGCTTGCTATAACAGTGACACTCATGATGGACTCCTGCAAATAGAGCTTGAATAATAGCTAAGAGGTTCACAATACAATGCTTGTCTACACAAACATTCCAAATATTTGTAAAGCAAATTACAGCTTCGGAAGTTTGCAGCTGCCTGCAACTTAAAGGATAAGACCTGGCTATATAGTTAAAAAAGAGATAATTGGCATCTGTTTTTGCTAGTTTTGTTTAGGCCACATTAGTATTAAACTAACAACGATATCGAATATCTAAAAATAACACACTAAACCCCACTTCCACGTCCCCTTCCATGATTTCCCCTTCCTTTCTCACAGTTTTGTTTGGTTGACCTTCCTCTTGAATGTGCAAATGATGCCCTCCCTCTCCCCCTTCTCTGGTAAGACTGAAAATGAGAATTGGAGAAAAATGGTTTAGTTCTAATTTTGAAAAATAGAGATATAAAAGTTGTTCAAAAATGCCTCTCGAGTGGTATACCTGAGATTGCCAATTAGTTGGCGCTGAAGATGCAATGTGAACTTCTTGTTGATTACGAGAGACACTCATGTTGACATTAGTTTGACTCAAAGGACGGGCTTGACTACTTCCCTATATAAACAAACAAGCCAGCAAGTTACAATATAATAAGCAACCATGAAAGAACCCCAAAAGTTCCCAAAAGCAGATGAATTTGGTGAAGCAACTTTTGGATGAATAAGATTTATTGATTGATTGCTTGATGATTACATGAGGCTAGTAAGCCTTTTTATACATGTAAGGAAGAAAAGAAAGAACAATAAACAAGAAGATCAACCATCTTAGAAGCATGGGCTGGAGCAGACTAGTATGAGTTGTCTGGCCATCTTGTATGGAGATTAATTGGAGGTGTGGAAGTCTGAGCAACATGGGCTGCCTGATGGAGTGGTATGGGTGATATGTGACAATCAACTATGGTGAGGTGGATCTGATGATTTCCTGCAAAAGCAGCAACAAATAACCACATTAGCAATCCTTGGCAAATACTATCAACTGTACCTAAAATCCAACCACTAACAGTAGCTGAAACACATTAAGAGAAAAGATTTCCCCTGCCTTTGTCACAATTTTATTTGCTTGACCTTCCTCTAGTCTCTACTAATAAGAGAAAAAATAAAAATAAAAACTTACGGAGGGTGTTTCTTGAGTAAGAATGTGTGCTGCCAAAGTTCTGTGTTGCCCCTCGGTGTGATTAATCCCCTCCCCAGAATACCATGTCTCAGTCACACCATCTTCACCCAGTGCACTTGATTCTGGAGCAGCTGATCCATTTCCTCGCTCAAATCGGTGGAAAGACTTGTTGTGACCCTCCATGCCACACTGCCTACAATGAATGACTGGCCCACTTTTACCCACTCTAAGATTGGTTTGCTTGAAAAAAAAAAATTTGCTGCTCTTTATCTCGCAGCACCTCATCTCTGCTCTTTCTCCTACATAACTTACGTCTTCCCCTTCTTGACCTTTGCTAATTACTAACATAAGATGGTATTACAGGGAATCTATTGGAATCTGCCCATGGTTCTGCTCCAACCATAGATGCAAGTGTGAAACTATAAGTGCTAACATAGGTGGTCACGTCATATCACTTATCCACATACGATTCAACCTTTCAACGCTTGGTAGAATGCTGCATATTGCCTGATGACATGGAATTCCCGTCAAATTCCACTTTCTACATGTGCAAGTATGCTGGTTCAAATGAACAACAACTTGTCCCTTGGGACATCGAACCTGAAAAGTGTTAGGTCCATTTGGTAGGGCTCTACGACTAAAACTTTCCTGCTTAGCAGCCTGCAATTTCTTCAATATTTTTGGACAAAACTGGCCTTTGAAGTTGCTGGTTGCAAATTCTTTCTTCTTCACAAATCTTACCATTAGTAGGCATCGTATGGTCTCAAACATACTAGGGATTGGCTTAACTCTAGCTCCTGACAATACCCTGTTCCGAGACTCACTGGTTGTTAAGCAAAACATCAGTATTGCAATAAGTACGAAAGTGAGGTGGGCGATTTCTGGTGGGAGATTGGAATGTGGAATAGTTAGTAAATACTCCGTTTAATACACGTATTTGTACCCGTACATATTTTATCCGTTTAAAACTTACGTATCCTTATTATTGTCAAGTCGTTCATTTTCACCCGTTCATTTGATGGCTCCCGTCCTAAACACGTGTAAAATCTGTATAACACGTTTAATATCCGTATTTAATGAATTAAATTGTTAACTATCATTTATGTATATATACTTATTTTTAAAATAATTAAGTTTATATATTTATGATTATTAACATACTATTAAACATAACATTAGCTTAGAGGCGAAGTAAAATAATCTACGTATTTTATAGTAACTTTCTCGTACCGTATTTTACTAACTATACCAAGAGAGGATGCGAGGAAGAGGGAATTGATTGTAAGGACACTCTGCACCGTGCAGCGGTTTTTGTAGAGGTTGACGTGGCAAATGCTATATTTTGACATTGACTTATAGTATTTTGTAGATTTAATCTATTCCTCATGTAATATGAGAATCTTCATTAAAAAAGAATACTATAAGAATCAATGAAGATTTAGTATATGTTATTTTTAAGAGAAGGTTATTTTATATATATGAAATTGCCATATTTCTCATGTATATATCATATGAATAACTAGATCTTTGTCGTTTGATTTTTGGTAGATTGTTTTAATCGTTTTGTATTTTCCTTTTTTTAACAAGAGTTTTAAAGTTGGAATGAAACAGAGTCATTGTGATTTACAAGATGATATTGTTTCGTTGGATTGGTAAAGATGATGAAATCTACTACAGAAGAGTGAATCCCAACAATAAGTAATCAGAAGAATTGATATTGTTCCGCTGGCAATAAAAAATGCGAAGAAGTTCAAAGTTAAATTTCGATGACCAACAACACACAATTATAACTTTTTATAAAACTCTCATTTTAGAGGTCATAGGTTCGAGTCTCTTAAAACAACTCATGACGAACCCTGTTGTTATCCAATTAATCCTTAAATCAGTCGTTGATATGGAACAATTTATAGGATATAAATAATTTATTGGATTATTTCCATAAATTGGTGGATGAGACGCGATTTGATCGAAGAACATAGTGAAAGTTTATTACATGTAAATAGAATAGTTATTCTACCTATTCAAACAACACAACTATATAGTTGTATGTCATTGATCTTCTCGTCTTGCACTAACTTTTTAAACTAATTCGTATTTTCTATTGCCAACGGAACTGTAGTTGTTCTTCCCATTGTCGATTATCAGGATTGACCTTCTCGAATAGACTCCATCGTCTTTACCAATCCAGTAAGTATGGTATACAAATTCATTCTTAGTTTGCTCTCTGTTGTTTTTGTAAGCTACAAAAGAAGCCGTTCTAATGTTGTGGGATGGCTGCAAATGACACCAAAACAGAGTGTGCTTGAAAACTTCGTTACGAAAGTGCCATTGGAATTCGTTGTTTACTGCAATGTAATGAATACCGAGATCGTCGTCCTTTGATTTGCAGTTCACTAGTAACTGGGCTGAGGGGTCACTCAGGTGGTTTTGTATGCAGACATAATGAACTTCCCACCAGAATTTGGATGAGTTAAGGGGAAGCAAGACTAAGAAAGTGATTAGAAATATGGAGATGGATCGACTGAAAGTAGTATCCAGTACTCACCAGTGCAATACGTAGTACTATTAATTCTACCTTTTTTCTTTATCTTTGAATTTGTCTCTTTAGTATTTTCTGTCTTTATATATGCTCTAACATTGTTGCAATATCTTCTTCCACATTAACTACTATTTTATATCTCCATCAATTACTTACCACATATAACACCTTAGTTAAGATGAAAGTATATTAATTCTATTTGTACCTGCCAAATGCTCATAAGTTTTACGTTGGAGCTAACGGTAATAAATACAACTCATTATGGTTTTTTTCCATAGAACTAAAAATGTGTTGTTTCCTAGAATGAGTTTCGTTCCGACTTCATGTGATCATAGATCTGGCCATTAGGTTGGGTTGAGTATCTCGGGTTACGGGATCGTAGTGGGTTGGGTCATATCAGATTGGTTGATTTTGGGTCAAGTACTGACCCAACCAAAATATCAGGGTCTGATTTCAGGTCATTCCGGTTACGAGTGTTAAAAAAAACATGGTTCAAAATTCATATGTTTTCCTTGAACACAAATTTTCATATGTGTATGTTAATAGTTTAACTACACATGTCAATTTATATATTTTCCAAATCCTCAAATATTATTGAAAGAAAAAATAAATTACACAAAACGCCAAATAACACATCATGAGACTAATAATATTGCAAACAACACATGATACGATCAAATCCATGCAAAAATTTGTAAACATCACACCAATTTATGATTAATTTTGTGAATTTGAGGTGAATAACCCAACCGAAAAGAAGCAGGTATTCAATTCAGGTCATTTAGATTATAAAAACGTCAAACCAATTCTGATTTATCAAACGTGTTGGCGTAGGATCAGTGGATGGAGCCATAATTTCGAGTCTGTGTGATCCTCTATTCATGTGGGCTAGACTGAGCTGTTGCTACTGTGTATTGGGCTGGACTTGGGCCCATCTCGTAAACTATAACTTAAACGCAAAATTGGATCGTAGCAAAATGAATCAAGTCAACTGGAATTAACCTGCGGGCCCCCATTGCAATTCTATCGTACATCCCTTGGTCAGCGGCCACGAAGGAAGGAATAGTGGCTGCGGTGCCATGATCATATTCGGGCCTGTAAGCTTAGAATGGCAATTAGGATTCATATCCATAAATCCAATCCTATACAATCCATTTGATCCAAATCCAATTGGAAATGACAACTTACAATTTAGAACCCATACTTTTTATATTTTATACTTTGATCTCTAAATTTTTTCTTATACAAAAATATTGGAAATTACGTTTTGGTACTTAAAATTTTTCATTATGACATTTTAGTACCTGAACTTTTTACATTTTACATATTGGTCCAATATTAAGGGTGTCATTTGGATTCATGGATAATCCACTAATCCACTGGATCCAATTCATGAATTCACCAATCTATTTGATCCACCATGAATCCAATACACCAATCCATAAATCCAATTCATTTGCCACCTCTATATAAACCTCTCATCGGAATAAAACTTATGCATTCTCTCTTACAGACAGGCGACCCTCTCTGAAATTCCCCAAAACACCAATTCTCAATTTCTTACGACGTACGGTTGGGGAAAACGATCGAAGCTCAAGAGAAATGGACTAACAACCGATCGAGAAGGAAGAGCGGGCTCAACCTCCCATCCCAACCGTGGGATGAGCGACACGTCCCTCAGGCTTGACAACTATCTCCTGGACTGCTTTAAAGCACTCACCTTCACCTTCACATTCGGCTTGACAACCATCTTGTCCAACCATGGCGATTGATCTTTAGCTCTTTTCAGATAATGATGATTCAACCATCCGCAACATTATGAAGAAAAATCAGGTCTATCACCCCAAAAACCATAATTAGAACATGCACCACGACATCAATTTTTACAATAAGCCTATGTTATGAAAGACATTCAACTGATATCTAGCTAAGGACTATGTCGCATCTAGTGTAGCCACATTATGATCTTCACTACAACATTACATATCTATGGCTCATCAGTTGCTTCTTCCTGCTTAACTTCAAATTGGCATCGGTACTCGTATTTTTTAGCAGAGTATAGGAAACACACAAAGTTGATGATCAATATCCCAGCAATGAAGAAGAAGTAGGAGTCTAGCTTGCCTTGGTTTTGATCATCAGGAAGCCAGTACCCGACTATGTGAACCAATGAAACCAAAATCCCAGCCAAGGAATATCCCATCCCTCGAGCAAGGAAGAGCGGCACCCACCAAGCAACACCTCTCATTCTCTCTGGAAACTCCTGTTGGCTGAAGATCACCAGTCCAACTAGTGCCATCTTGTCGGCAACTCCAGCCACCGTGATATGAGGAACCAACCACAGGCTTGCCATGGATGAGACCATCCTCCTCCTCTCTTCAACCAATCCAGCCATGACCAATGATACAACCCCAAGGAACAACCCAGTCCCAACCCTTTGAAGCACCGTGATCCCTCCTTCTCTTCCACTGATCCTCTGAGCTATCGGGATGAGGAATTTGGCGTAGATCGGGATCCACATCGCCGCAACAAGCTTGAAGAAGACATCATGGAACGACGCAGGGATTTTGAAGTTTGTCTCGAACAGTCTGGTGTTGGACTGTAGAGCCTGGACAGCTACGTAGCTTCGGAGCTGGGACACGGCAAGTTGGAAGGGTACGAAGGTTGCCCATACGGGGAGCAACCTCTTGGATGTAACCTTGGCAAGATTTTCACTTCCTCCACTTGTTGGATGCTACAAAGGCTCCATGGCTCTTTGGGTGATCCATAGTGGTTGAGTTGGTCGTGTGGTGTAAAATACATAAATAAACAAAAATCAAGGTCATCTAGATGAAAAGCACGACATTCCTCTACCTAGAGACCACTAATAATGTCTCGGATAAGGTAAGAGCTGAAGAGAGCGGTTGACTAGCTAAGTAGCTTATATGATATGTACTTATTCAAAATACATATAAGCCACATTAACAAACCCTTATTATTATTATTATTATTATTATTATTATTATTATTATTATCAAACATGACAGGATCTTCAAAATATGTTATACATAACAAGAAAATGTTATATAACATCTACATAGGTAAAATATATTTGGGTTAAAGATGAAGACAGATTGGACAATATCGTTGTCAAGTTTCTTCAACACCTCAATTCGTGAAAACCATTATTTTAGTTAGATCAAAGCTAATGAGTTTCTCCTAAATTCAATAAATCAATACTTAGAATTTCGAAAATCCAACATAGTTTCTCATTTCTCAATACTCCTGGAAATCCAACTTACTTTTGGACTGGCCCTGAGACAAAATAAAAAAACTACAGTAACCAATAAAATACAACAAGGCAGTCATAAAAAAAAGGCAAAATACACTTTCATAGCCATAATTATTCACGTTGTGACAATAATAGCCACTTTTTGAAAAATACATAGATATAGCCACTTTTTTCAAACTTGCTTAACAACTATAGCCATTTCCGTTACAAACTTTAACGCCGTTACTAACGCCGTCAGTAACCTCTGTGTGTCGCTGAGGTGGATGCCACATGGACAATATGTAATTGCCAACTGGACGCCTTCACACCACCTAGACGCCATGTCATATTAAAAGTACTTTTTAACAAAAAAAAAAACAATTAATTTATTAAAAAACAAATAAAAAATTAAGAAAGAAAGAAAATATTTTAGTTTTATTTTCTATTTCTCGGCAGCGCCGCAGCTCCAAGCATCCCTGAACAAGATGGATCATCGCAAAACCCAGTAATCCCAAACTAACGAACCCGAAAGTACTCTACCATTCCTTCGCCCAGACGATGGAGGCTTTGCGATTGGAAGGGATATGGATTCAGAAGTTCGACGGTCGACGGGGACTGGAATTTGCATTTGAAAGATGAGAAACAGAGTGGACTTGTTCTTCCACCTCACGTAGCCGGTGCAGATGAGTAACCCATTATAGATCTGCCTTCCGGCCGCCACTTGGAATCGTCGTCGAGCTTCTGTCAGATACAGATTCAAAACCGTCGGCGCCTCCTTCCCGTCCTTCGTGCTTGGCATCATCGTCGTTCGGCGGCTAGCGCTACGTCAGATCCAGACAGTAAATTCCCAAAAAAAAAACACATGAGCCTCTAACGAGAGATGAAAATTACGATTCAGGGGAGCAAATCCGTCCATGGAGCTCATCCTCACTCGGTTCCTAGACCACATGGCCAGTGCGGAGGCGGTGGGGAAGCAGTCGTCGGGATGGAAGAGGAGAATTAGGTTATCAGCGGTGATGGCGGAGAGAGGACGAGGACGGAAGTGGATTTTCCGGCGCGGAGTAATCGTTGGAGCCGGAGGAGCTGAAAGAGTCAGAAGCGGATTATTAACTATTGGGGAAGACAATAGATTTGGATTGAAACGAGGATTGATGAGAGGAAATCTCGCACTAATGCCTCTGCTCATCTTCCGTTCTCTTCTCTTTCATTTCCTTTTTTTTCCATGTAATTACAGTAAAAACTAAAAAGTCAACATTTTTATCTGGCAATGGGTTTGAAGAAAAGCCGCCACATCACCATAAAACGTTTGTCTAGTCAGCATTTGTAAAGGTATCCTTAAAGTTTTGGACGAAATGGCTATATTAGTGTATTTTTCAAAAAATGGCTATTATTGTCACAACGCAAATAATTATGGCTATAAAAGTGTATTTTGCCTAAAAAAAATAAAAAATACAACAAGGCAAGACAAAAACCAAACAAACAGAAAGCCCCCTTCCTTTTTGGCTCTGCCCTTTTTTCCTTTCTACTTTCGATATTTTAGCTTTATGAATGAAAAGTTCGCCTTTTGCTTTCCCCTCCATTACGTTAGTTCCAATATCCCAATTGCATATCCACAGGTACAAATTTGCATATTCCAGAATCCCTTTCCCGCACCCGCGCGCCGCACAAATTGAAATAAACAAACAAGGCCTTACGTTTATTTTTTTTAAATATCTTATCGTACGTTTATATATAATAAAAAATAAAATTTATGAGCACGAATGAATGATTATCCCGCTTTTCCCAAAATTAGTTATTTACAAATGTGTGTCGTTTTACACCCATCTCTCTCGTGACTCGGCCTTTTCTCTTTGCTCTCTCTCCGTCGGTTTCCAGCTTCTGCCCCTAACTCATTTCCTCGCGCCTCCCTCTCTGTGTATATTCGGAATCGGTAAGGGATTGCGGTTTACGAAACTGGGACTCTGAGTGTGGCAGTTCTTCAGCCGGAAAGGTTGAGGGCCGGATGGTGGCCAAAGGCGGCGGAATGAGCGGGGCGGCGATGGAAGGAGGTGGCGGTGCTGGTGCCGACGGTGGTGGAGGAGGAGGAATGGAGATGAAGAAGATAAAGATTGGAGTCTGCGTGATGGAAAAGAAGGTGAAATGCGGATTCGAGGTTCTGTTTCCCTTTTCGTGCACTTATGAAATCTTTTCGTTTTCCCCTCTCCCAAGTATTTGATACAGAGGACGTAAAAACTGTGAAGCTCCAGTTTCAATCGTGTTCTCGGAACAGGGAAAACCAAGCGTCATTGATCGTTTTGCTAGCTTGTTTGTTTGGTTAGGGGCTGCAATTGAGGTAGTGGATTGCAGGTTTTCTTCTGACTCCTTCCTCCTTTTTCCATAGGTGTCTTCTGCTCCAATGAAACAGATTCTGGACAGGTTACAAGCGTTTGGCGAATTTGAGGTATGGATGATGTTCATTTCGTTTCGGTTTTTGCTTTTCCAATGGTGCTCTAGCCGTGCATTTGGCTTCTTTGTTGATTGTTATGAACTGAGCCAGAGAGTTAATTTGCAGTTTGTGTGTTGTTGATCGTTTACTGAATCAATTACTTTGTTCCTTACCCATGGGGATTCTTCTTTCCCTGTTTTGAGCTTTGTAGGTTATACATTTTGGAGATAAGGCTATTCTTGAAGATCCAATCGAGAGGTACCTTTCTGTTTCCAGATACGTTCTTGGCTTCCATAATTGTTAATTTGCTTAAGGGTGCTGTTCGACCAAGTATTGGATTCCTTTTGTGATCAGCATTGAATTGTCATTGACGCCACGTTACAGAGATGAGTGATCAGTGGTTTACTCTCTTTTGGAAGAAATACACAATCCAATCAGTTGTCACAGTCCATATTCATAAATGGCAGGTGGAATGTCAAGACATTGTAACCGGTTCTTAATTGATTAGAAGCACCTAACTGCCATTTTGTGACCATGTAATTTTCCTTCCCATGCTAGCCTTCTTCACTCCTGTCTGGTTATCTCTGCTAATCTCCTCTTTGAAAGAGATGTGTGTCAGTAACATAGGTGTTTTGTCAGGGACATTTGTTTGCTGGAAGGATGTCATTAGTATGCTTTTTCTGATTACCTTTCTGCGAGTGCAACCTGTGGCCTGGTAAAAATACGTGGTAGATTACCGTATGTAATGAGGGTGACCTTCAAGCGTGAACAATTCGGGGCCTCGTAACGTGATCACTAATATATGTTGATCTATTTCAATATTTCAGGTGGCCTGTATGTGACTGTTTAATTGCCTTCTACTCCAGTGGTTATCCCCTTGAAAAGGCAGAGGCATATGCTGCCTTAAGAAAGTAAGCTCATTATCCACTATCACCAACAATCAGCATATCTTTAAAAGTGTGAATTTGATTCCATACTTCAGCAATAAGCTGGCAGGTTATGTGAAATTCCATTTCAGTTGTGAATAATGAATTGGCAGTTTCTGGTTTTGGCCCTGCATTGCCAAACTGAGCAGTGCAGTTGGTTCCGAGAATTTTAGAATGATATCTGATTTTTACTTGGATACAGAAACTGATCTCTAGAAGTTCATGTGTAGCAAGTTTGGTGACTGACACCTAGTACTTGATGGTGTTATGGATTTAAGTAACTGTTGTGTCTGATCTTGTTCTGCTGTGAAAAGTAGTATGTGATGATTTCTGAAATGTTATGGATGATCAGGGAAGAACATTTTACTTTTTTCTGGATAAAGGATAATCTGGAATGAACCTTAGATTGGCCAGTTTTGCTTCTGCTGTACTTTTTTGTGAGTTCCCGCTGTGACTTTTCTACTCCTAAACATGACAAAACATTGCTGGTTCTGTTTCATGTTGTCTTCATTCTATCGATTTTTTCATGGAGAGTACTGACGTGTTTGACTGATCTTTATTACCAACTTGATCGCCCGTTACTTGTTCTCTCCGGGGAACTTGTTTTATCTGGTGAGTTTCTTGTTGGCAAGCACATGCTATGTCCAGTTGGTATTTAGAGTAGTGAACTGCCAATATGTAGTGCTGCCTAGCAACGTTACTTGTTTTTTACTTTGCTTATGTGGATAGATTCAAATTTTCGGTAATGGGAGTTCCCTATGTCGAACATTTAGCTACACTAGGCACTGATGTTAACTATATATCCTCAGCATCCTTTGACAACTTACCTACTTGATTGAAGTGCTGCCTGAGAATCTAAAACATCTAAATCATTGGTTTAATTTGAGCCCTAAACTTTTGGTGTTGCTCATTCACTGGCCTTATTTGTGATGATTTTTAGGCTTTACACAGGAGTGGTTTCTGTACTTGCATTACATTAATAATTCTCGACCTTGTGGTCTTGATTCAGGCCTTTCGTAATAAATGAATTGGAGCCGCAACACTTACTTCATGACCGAAGGAAAGTATATGAGGTAATTTCTCACCATAACGTAGATTGATATCGATTTTCTGAGTTTCTTGGCAACATTAGAAATCAATGATCTTAAAGTACTGATCTTGGCCTGTTCATAGAATTCTTTGACTTCTCAGGGCTTATATCTTGTTTTAGGTACATCGGTATTCTGCTTTTTGGATGACATATATTCATTGACATACATCTTTCTTTCTTTCTTTCTTTCTTTCTTTCTTTTGTCATGTTTTTGGGGGACGGGTGCATCTCGATTTGTAATTGAAGCGTCTGGAAAGGTTTGGAATCCCTGTTCCCAGATATGCCTTTGTGAATAGAGGATTTCCATACCAAGAGCTTGAATACTTTGTTGAGGAAGAAGATTTTGTTGAGGTTCATGGTCAACGCTTCTGGAAGCCTTTTGTAGAAAAGCCAGTTCATGGTAGGCCTGTTTCGTTATGCAATCAATAAGTTATATAATGCTGTTACAACTTTCATAAATAATATGAAATTCTTCTTACGTTGGATCAAAAGACTAATTTTAGGATTGTGTATCCTGCTAATATTTAGTGATGATGCAATTGAACGATCATAAAAATAAGCATGCCTGCTTGAAAGTATTTATTATTTTACCTTTGTTTTAGAATATAATTCTGTATTCTGTTAGTTTGGGTAGAAAAATCTATGGACATCCTGCATTCCCTGCGAACTCAGCTTTCTTGTATATCAGCTGCATGTATACTTGGTGCTTCCGATTTCACATGTGATAACTTGAATTCATTCATCCAGGGGATGACCATAGTATCATGATATATTATCCCAGTTCTGCTGGTGGAGGCATGAAGGAACTTTTCAGGAAGGTATGCTTGTTTTTCTGCAACTCTTGTTGTATTACTTGAATAAATGCTGAAACCTGGATGTGGCATATCGCAACCTGTGACTTTGATGTGGTAGCTCAAAATAGTTGAAATTTATTGATGTTCTTAGCCAGGGTGACTCCCTATATAACCGTAGCAATAAAAAGTAAAGTAGGACAGAAAGACAGTTTGTATGTGCTCTTCTTTCCTAAATTCCCTTCACACTAATAGATAAATAAGTTGCATTGTTCAAAGACAATGCTTTAGGTCTTCAAAGTTTGCAAATGCTGGTTATTGGTTTGCGATTTAGTTTCCCCAGCGTAAGCAGGGGCTCATAAACTATTGCATCATTTGATTCGCACATAAAGCACTCAAGTAACGTTATCTGGTTTACTTTCAGGTCGGAAACCGCTCCAGTGAGTTCCACCCAGACGTAAGAAGAGTAAGGCGTGAAGGATCATACATATACGAAGAGTTTATGCCAACTGGTGGAACAGATGTCAAGGTTGTTTCCCATTTCCTTCTCCTGCAGTGTAGTGCTTATTG